ATGTTGAAACGCAGACCATGCGGACTGCAGACTGCAGACTGTGCAGACCGTGCAGACTGTGCAGACTGTGCAGACTGAGTGTTATTTTTTTACTTGTACATTAATTTTGTAGTAAAATTTTTACTATAGTTTCCTGCTTCCTCTCATTTTATATGTGCACTGTGCATCACCACCATATGTCCACTGATGTGTGTAAGGGTCATCAGTCGGAAATGAGAAAATCACGGGCTCATATTTACCGGCAGATGTAAAAGCAGTTTTGCTTGCTTTTAGCTGCGCCGCTTTCACGCAGGAGCGAGCACGATGGAGGAAGGCAAGCTCTTTCTTTGTGTGACTTTATTATTTTGCCACGATTATTTATTTTTTTAGTAGAAGAAGCTTTTTCAGGTTAAGTGACTTAAAATAAAACCCTTTTCGGCTTCCTACAACAGCTATGAGAGAGACATTTCCTCAATTTCCTTGATTGTTGATGATCGTCTTTGGTTGCACTCGGTAATTCAAACCGGTGACTTGCCGTCATTTCTTCAAATCTTACTGAGATAACGATGTCATCGTTGTTAGCTCGGGATATCAAACCGAGACGTTTGAGAGATGGGCCTTGCTTTAAAATGTGTAAATAAATCAATGGTATATCTACCTGAAAATAAATATTCTGATTTCCACGTGTTTGACGGTTCCGTGAGCGTCAGAATTAAGAGAAGAAGCAGCGACTTGAAACTTCTCACAGATAATATTCAATGAAAATTAAGAGAAAATATACCTAAAATACACGGCGGGGGATCTAGTTCAATGCGCAGTAAAACCCCCTTCACATCTTCGATGTGTACAAATAATATTACATTTGTTACTAATGAACTATTTAGTTTTGGAGCTGCACAAACAAGAACCATGATACTCGAACAAGATTGTCGGTTTCAAACCACTACCACTTATTCGGTGTATGACATTTGCAGACTGCAGACTGCAGACCGCAGACCGCAGACCGCAGACCGCAGACTGCGGACCGCAGACTGCAGACTGCAGACTGCAGACTGCATGAGGCAGCAAGACTGATTGAATGAAACCAAGAATATCGTAAGGGACGGACCATTAGAAAACTTATGGGGGGCGGGCGAAGTACAAAAAAAAAAAAATTCGCGCGAGGGAAAATTAAATGAAAAAAAATTTTGGCACGCCAATAAACCCTAAGAAATATTCATGCAAGGGCCTGAAAAAAATTCATACAAGGAATTTGATAACGAAAAAAAATTCCTGCAGCTCGAAAATTCCCCTCCCTCCCATAACTTTTCTAATGGTCCGTCCCTAATAAAGGGGGCATCATCATCAACATTACCTTGTTCCGAGAAGTACATGTAAGGCCTAGAAGCGAAGTTTATACTTTTGACGCAAATTACACCGACCTCATTCCTGAAGGAGTTGTTGGCTCTTCTCGTATTGAATTAGAGCAGAATAATGTCTGCCGATGTCACAAACTCGCTCGTGAATCCATAGCAACAGGCTAGCAATTTAGCCTGGTACAGAGGCTCCGCCGCCAAATCTCCCTCGCCTAGTACACAATACCGCCAGCTATGCAGGCTAGAGTTTGAGCAATGATTGGCCTGTTAAAAAAGCCATTGTCGATTTGCTTATTTAGAAATTCAAAATGCACTTCCGGTAATTAGTCGAGTCCAGGTAGGATCTGTTCGGTTTAGATTATTTACCATATCCTTTAATACTGCTAAGATGAAATACGTCATTTAAAAGGTGTTAAATGTCCGTGATCTATCCTAGTTGCTTTTGTCGACGTAACTGTAGTGAGCACGAAGTACTTGCAATCTTAAAACTCTTTTCTTTATAGAAGACTACTACATGTATTTAGACCGGCATTAGTGGGCATTGCTACTTGTCATTCATTATCAATTCACAATAATCAAAGAAGAATAAAGAATCAACGCAATTAGTGATATGCTGGGTGAGTCAATAAAGAGTCGCGTCGGTGAAGAATAGAGAACAGCATCTTGGAAATGAGGCCAACTTCGCTACTTTCTCACTCTCACACGATGTTATATTTTTGATGGTGTCACCTTTATTAGGAAGATTTTTGGTGTCTTTTATTTTACAATCTGAAATCTGTGGTCTGCAGTGTGTGGTCTGCAGTCTGCGGTCTGCGGTCTGCGGTCTGCGGTCTGCGGTCTGCGGTCTGCAGTCTGCAAATGTCATACACCGTCACTTATCACTGACTTATTGGCGTGAATGCATGGAGCAAATACAATGTCGATCTTCGAGTGAAAACCCGCCCAGAAGGACACTCTTGAGAATCGAATAAAAAAAATACATAAACAAAAGTCTTACCCAAATCTTCCGAGCTAACAACGACATGTATCTGTAAGATTTGACGAAATGGCGGCAAGTCACCGGTTTGAATTACAGAGTGAAACCAAAGACGATCACCAACAATCAAGGAAATTGAGGAAATGTCTCTCTCGTAGCCGTTGTAGGAAGCTGAAAAGGGTTTTATTTTAAGTCACTTAACCTGAAAAAGCTTCTTCTACTAAAAAAAATTAAATAATCATGGCAATATAATACAGTTACAGAAAGAAACAGCTTATCCTCCTCCATCGTGCTCGCTCATGCGGGAAACTATAGTAAAAATTTTCGCTGTGGCTATATGGCCGGTAACCGGTCAAGGTGTTAAAAACACTAATGATCACTAATTATGACCGGCATAAGACAAGTCAAGCGATCCTGAAATGCTTTATAGATCTCAAGTCTAGTGTTTGGTTTACGCTGGACTTTAAAGACGAAACCGTGTTTTGTGACACTTAGAACTATTTTCAGCTCGACTGCCGGTCAAGGTTTTCAAAACACTAAATGGCCGGCAGTCCCATATTCTCGGTAAATTTCATAAATCAAAAAAATGCAGCCGTTCTGAACTATCATAAGTGGTGATCCTGATCAAACCAGCCGGTTTTGTGGGATTTCTATATTATGTTTTTGTTGGTCTCGAGTCTTTGGATCAGGGGCACCCAACAAGAATATAATTCAAAACCACTTAAACATAGCATTGTTAAATGTATTTTAGTATTAATCATAACTATAACAAAATTCTCAAATCTGATTGGTTCTCAACTGCCCTGATTTCAGCCTTAATAGGACAGTTTAATAGGACAGTACGCGTCATGCCTAAGTAATTGGACAGTACGCGCCATCACGCGCGCGCTTAAATGGCTTTTATGTTTTCATTGCGAGCGAAAAAATCGTGGAATTTCTTGAGTTTTGATTTAAAAAGAGCCCTATACATCACAAATTTTGTTAAAGTTATGATTAATTGGTAACAGAACTTCGTGTCGTCCAATTCGGTCTGTAATCATACTCGTGATTAAACAAATCGGACTCCCGCTACGCGGTCGTCCGATTTTGTTAATCACTCGTATGATTAGTAATGGTAACAGGACTGAGTGGAGTCCAATTCGGTCTGTAATCATACGAGTGATTAACAAAATCGGACGACCGCGTAGCGGGAGTCCGATTTGTTTAATCACGAGTATGATTACAGACCGAATTGGACGACACGAAGTTCTGTTACCAATTAATCATAACTTTAACAAAATTTGTGATGTATAGGGCTCTTTTTAAATCAAAACACAAGAAATTCCACGATTTTTTCGCTAGCAATGAAAACATAAAAGCCATTTAAGCGCGCGCGTGATGGCGCGTACTGTCCAATTACTTAGGCATGACGCGTACTGTCCTATTAAACTGTCCTATTAAGGCTGAAATCAGGGCAGTTGAGAACCAATCAGATTTGAGAATTTTGTTATAGTTATGATTACAGACCGAATTGGACTCCACTCAGTCCTGTTACCATTACTTAAACGGTAGATATAGGCATATTTTTATCCCCTAAAAATGTGTCATCTGTTCGGATTTCCTAGCTGAAACTCTAGTGATCCGAATATTATAGGGATCAAAAGTTGCCTTTTCGAAAATTTCAGCCAGAAAAAAGGCTACCGAAAATTCAAGGTGACCTTTTAAGAGTAAAAAATCCGTTAAAATGGGCAATTATACCATTTTTTAGATGTTCGAAAATCCTAGGAGGGGCAGGCAAGCAAGAAATTTTACAACAAATGTTCCGAAAATTGTCGTTGGGTGCCCCTGTTTGGATGTTCGTTACTACTTTCCATCCAAAGCAAGGCGTAACAGGCGATGTTTGACGTCATTACATCTTGACCTTTCATGCGCGGCATCCGTGGAAAACCGGCGGGAAAAGTCTCTACGCGTTAGTTCCTTTCTGGAGCTGAAATACACTTCAACATTATCTTGTCGACGTTATGATGAAACAAAAAAGCTTTTTTGTAGAAGGTAATCTTAACTTTGCGTTGATAGAAATAATATCGAGTTTTCAGTATTTGTTCTTTGCCATTGAGTGGACTGCCAAATTTACTGAGAATATAGGACTGCTAGCCATTTAGTGTTTGGAAAACCTTGACCGGTTACCTGCCATATAGCCACAGCGAAAAATTTTACTAGAAAATTAAGGTACAAGTAAAAAAAAATAACACTCAGTCTGCACAGTCTGCACAGTCTGCACAGTCTGCAGTCTGCAGTCTGCAGTCTGCATGGTCTGCGTTTCAACATGACCGGAAAGCGGTGAAATAGTCACATTTATTTGAACCTAAACCAGGTAAAAATTAAAATTAAGTAATTAAAATGATTAAGTCATTTTAATTAAAATTCTTAATGAAGAGTTCTGGGAATATGACTTTCTATCAAGGGGAAGTAATAAATGTTTTCCTTTTCAAATGGGCATCAAATCAACAAAATTACTGACAAGTTCATATCCCGTCATTTTCAAGATATTAAAATATTAAGGTTGACATTCTTCCGTCTTTAGGATTTGGGCCGAATTTCCGCCATTCCGTCTTTTAGGATTCATGTATAGGCTCCATGACGCGTGACATTATGCAAAAGTGGCTTTGATTGGTCGGCTTTATCAAGTTTGATTTTGCAAGTTGTGCAGTAAAATTGTCAGCAAACATTTGACTTCTGAGGACGTTTTACAAAATGGAAGCTGTGATTGAAGCAAACAATAAATTCACCATAGACCTCCACAAAGCCCTCAGAAATGATCAGAACTTCACAAGCAAAAATCTGTTTTACTCACCGAGTAGTTTGAGTATTGCTCTGGCTATGACTTATATGGGAGCGAAGGGGGATACAGCTGGACAGATGGCACAAGCTCTACACTGGAAAGCGATACCTCAAGAACAACTAAACAGTGAAGAAAAACAGTATCTTCATGCCCTCCAAGAAACAAACGAGCAAGGCAACGAATTGTTGGTGGCAAATCGACTGTTTGCGCAGAAGGGCTTTAGCTTGGTGCATGAGTTCGTTGAGGGCACGGAGAAGTATTACAAAGCCGAAATAGCCATGGTAGACTACCAGAAGGATGCTGAAGGCGCAAGGAAAGAGGTGAACGGGTGGGTTGAAGAGAAGACGAAGCAAAAGATTAAGAATTTAATTCCCGAGGGAGTGTTTAACTCGCGTACAAGACTGACTTTGGTGAATGCAATTTACTTCCAGGGTTTTTGGCAAAATCAGTTTGAAACAGGGAGAACGTGTCCCCAGCAATTCTTTGTCTCCAAAGATGAAAAAGTGGACGTCCAAATGATGCACTTAACAGAGAAATTCAAGCATATTAAAGACGGTGGGGGGCTGGCCTGTCAAGTGCTTGAGTTGCCGTACCAAGGAAAGGATCTTTCCATGTTAATTTTTCTACCCCATGACCTCAATGGGCTGGCCAAGTTAGAAGAGAGTCTCACCCATGAAAAATTACAGGAGGCTTTTAAATTTGTCTCACAGTCGCAACCTCAGAAAGTGGAGGTATCCCTGCCAAGATTTAAACTGACCCAGCAGTTCCTTCTAAATGAGATTCTAGCCGGAATGGGAGTCACAGATATGTTCAATGAATTTAAAGCTGATTTTTCAGGCATCACGCCAGGGCCAGAGAAGCCAGTCTATGTGTCTCATGTTATTCATAAGGCATTTGTGGAAGTTGATGAGAAAGGCACTGAGGCTGCTGCTGCAACAGGTGTGGCTATGTTGGCCCGCAAGTCAGCGATGAAAATTCCCATTCCCATCTTCTGTGTTGATCACCCATTTTTGTTTATGATTTGCCACAAGAAGTCAAATGCAATTTTGTTCATGGGTTGCATGTTGAAGCCACCATCAAGCACTTAGTTAAGCAATCCATGGCAAAGCAAAGAAGTAGTAATAACACAGCCACTTGCACCGGATTTATTTAAGAGTGACTATGTCAGATCCATGAGACTAGGGTTGCTCTACATCTCTCATCAAACAATTCTCTGTTATTTTGATTTATACCTTTTTTATGCCTCTTTTCTGGTGGCTCCAGACAATTTCCAGGGATTTTTTCTTACCAAGGAACTGGTGTCTATTTTGTGCCTTACTAAATCATGTGACTGGTTGAAATCACTGTACCCACACCCTGTCCCCGTTGGATGCACTTCTATTCGGTAATTACTACTATAGGTTATGAGTTGGTGTATTAAATTCCAAAAGTAACAGCATTAAACTGCTGGCAATAACAGCTCTTTGTGCTCACAACTTTTGCAGGTTGTTTAATTTTGGTCTTAACACTCCATGCTATAGTGTACCAAAGTTTATTTGAACACCTGCTGCATAAATGTGTCAGTCATACTAGCTTAATTTATAGGGCAAGCATGTTACCCAGCTCTCCTTGCTGTGGGAGTATTTATTCAGTCATGACGTCATTTGCTAGTCAGTGTAGTTGTTAAATATGACTCAATAAACTTGTTGCCAAAATATCTTCATGTGGTCTTTGAAAATAAATGATTTATTGGGATAGAAAAAACTGTGCAAGCTCGTACAGAAAAGTATGGAATTCCTTAATTTTTCATTCTAAAGGATGTCACAAGAGTGAGCCAACGTGCCTAAATTGTGCTCTCCCTAGTATGGATGAGTCTCTCTGAGTTTTGTAGGAGTAAGGTAATACTATACTTCTGCCAGTTTTTGTAAAATTTTACTGCAATCCTCTGACAATTTTTAGAGATTCTTTAATTGTAACATGACCCACTTATAATAAGTGGAGTAGTGATTTGGGAAATTTCTTTGTGCAAGGTTTCAACATAATGCACAGTAGCAAGCCATTTATGGCACTGGACATTATACGTAAGGCTTACATGAAGTACAGACCTCTGCGTGTTTCATGGAGATGAGTCTGCTTCGGATTATTTCCTTTCTGTTATCTATCGTTTTAGTTTCGTCCGAACTACATTATAATGACAATGTAGGACACATTATCGGAAGCATTAATGATTTTGGTTTCGATCTGTTAAAGATTTTCAGCGAAGATAAGAAACTGAAAGATGAGAACTTATTCTACTCTCCGACCAGCATTTCGCTTTCTATCGCCATGGTTTTTTTGGGAAGTAGAGGAAACACGGCGAGACAAATTGCCCAGGCTTATAAGTGGTATAAACACGAGTATGAAGATGTACACTTGGCTTTAAAATCTCTACAGGAGGCAATTCTAGAAACGGGACATGACAATTTGGAGCTAAAGATCGCGAATCAAATCTGGGGACACAATGAGTTGGAGGAGACAGCTGAATTTAAAGAGAATTCCTTGGAATTTTATAATTCTCCCATTGCAAAAGTCGACTTCAAATGGAGTTCAGAGGAGGCGAGAAAGGAGATTAACAACTGGGTTGAAAAGAATACCGCCAGGAAAATAAAGGGCTTCCTTCCTCCCGGAAGTGTTAATCAAGATACGCGATTAGCGTTAATTAATGCAATCTATTTTAAGGGAACGTGGCAGCATGCTTTTTTACAGGAGAGAACTTATCATGCTCCGTTTTACACATCCAGTGACCTCAAAAATATTTTTGAAGTTGAAATGATGTCACGCACTGCAAAACACAACTACTTCATGGATGAAGAAAAACAATGTAAAATTTTGGAACTTCCTTACAGTGGTGGAGAAATTTCCATGTTTATCGTTCTTCCTGATGAGGTCAATGGAGTGTCCGAACTTGAAAAGATGTTAACAACTGACATAATGTTTCACTGGGTCAACTCAGTCGAAAACACAACAGTTGAGATGTCTCTTCCTAAGTTCATTCTGAGTCAGCACTTTGAGTTGAAGGAAGTATTGTATAAACTTGGTGTTATAGACATCTTTGAGCCTGATTTATCAGACTTGTCCGGGCTAAGTTCAGTGGAAAGGCTGCATGTGTCCCATGTAATACACAAGGCCCATGTGCATGTGACTGAACAAGGAACAGAGGCTGCTGCGGCATCTGGGGTACTTATTCAGAAGAGATCCATAGACCCTCATCCGGAGTTCCATGCCAATCATCCATTTTTGTTCTTTATATACCACAAGAGTTCACATGTTATTTTGTTTATTGGTCGTGTCAGTAGACCTCAGATGACTGAACAGGAAAGTGCTGAGACTGGTGGTGATGCGGAAATACCTGATTTTGGTCATCCTATTGATGAGCTATAAGCTTTGTTTTTTTTGTTTAGCTTTACATTCAAACCATAGTCAGATAATGTGTCTTATAGGGGGTGTCAACCAATGTATTGGTCAAAGTAATGACTGACTGTCAACTGATAGACTGTGGTGGCCAACTCTTGGTTGAGACTTGTTCAAAACTTATCTGATACTTGACTGACACTCCACTGATATAGCAACCTATATGTCAACCGACAGTCGTGTCGGCTGATACCGTAAAATTCTGAAAATAAGCCCTGGGGCTTATATTTTTCAAAGGCCCTTTTTGAGGGGCTTATGTTCAGAGGGGCTAATTTATGGAGGGAAATTTGCATTTCTAAATCGATTGGGCTAGCCTTATAGTTGGAAGTAAATTTACCGTTTTTGCATTGCTTTACTTTGTATTTGAGGGTAATTTTCCAAGTACAAGCCCCCAGGGGGCTTATATTAATATTTTGGAGGGGCAATTTAACAGAGGATTTTTTGCGTTACCCATTTGGGGGGCTTATATTTGGAGGGGCTTGTACATGGAGGGGCTTATTTTCGGAATTTTACGGTATATCAGTTGACATCCTCTATAAGACACATGATCCCCAAAAGACTGACAAAAGTGACATCCAATGACAGAAACAGTAGCTTGTCACTCTTTTACGGTATGTGATATAAATATTATATCGTTGTAAGGGAGTGACCCGTATACCAGGAATGTCATTGAAATGAAAATTGTTAAATAAAATAATTATTTGAGATTTTGCTCCAGACATTAATTTTTTACTGAAACTTTGACTGGGACACACAATGTTCATTGTTAACCCTTTAAGCCCCAGTATTTAAATACAAACTCTCCAGACTGATCTCCATACATTTCCTGCAAGAATTGGTTAAGAGAATTTGATAGCAGATCAAAGCTTTTCCCATCAGGTGATTATTTCATTGATTCTCACAACATTTTCCTTTGATTATGTATTGATTTTGTTGGGAGAAAATTGACTTTAATCACTCTTGGGACTTAAAGGGTTAGATAAACATCCCTAAATATGGATCTGACCAGGGGATTGTTGTTTTTGGGCCACACTGTAAATTCTCTCATTCTACATTTCTGTCACCATGCTTGCTAACTTGAAGAGGATTGTGCGACTGACTAGTCCATGTTAACCAAATCACACAAATAACAATGTCTGCAACAGAGAAACCTCTATAGTTAACACTGGTGTTTGAATTTCGTTTATTAATTGTCTCTAAAAAGCGAACAAACATTGGAGCATGTCCTCAGAATATCTGCTGTAGTGAGACTTCGAAGTGCTTCTGCAGGTGAAGGGCCAATACTAATGTCTATCAACATCATCATCATCACTCTCTGAACTACTACTATCACTTTCACTCCTCTTGCGATGTTTCTTTTTCTTGTGTCCACTGCGGTGCTTGTGTTTTTTCTTAGACTTTCGGTGATGGCTGTGCTTGTCCGATGAATGACGCTTATGTTTTCTGTTGTCCGGTATCCCTTTTGATTCAGAAGGATGTCTGTTATCTTTGTTATGGTTTGATGTGTTGTCATTTCCTTCAATGCTTGGAGAGAGTCTGGAGGGAGAGATATTCATTCTTTGTAAATAAGTCTCTCAGTACCCAATTTCTCTCTAAGTTGTCCCCTCTCACTCTGGGGAATGAATGGGAGAACAAACCACCTACCCCTCCCCTAAGCCAACATTTTGCCCAAAGGGAGAAGTATGTGTTAATGTTAGCTTAAGGGAGGGGTAGGAGGACAGTTTCCCAGAAACGTATAATATGATCCGGAAAACCTGGGATGGAGGTTGTTTAGTACCAACATTGAAATATTTGATAAATAATGATATAAAACAACCCAAGAATTGCAACTGACAGAGGACCAGCCAGTGCTTTTATCAAAAAGAAAATAGGAAAGTTGAACTTGGAAGGCTTCAAAAAAAAACTCCAACGAGTAGTCAGGGTGTGGATTGAACTCTGGACCTATCTCCACAACAGCACCATTCCAAGGCTGTACTCCAAGGAAAGTTGAAGGGAGTTCAGTGCTTTGAATCTGTGAAACCCAGGGTGTTCAGTAATATTAGGACTTCTATAAAAAGACTAAGATTTCCTTATTGCCCAAGAGTAAAAGTAAGTTGTCGGGGCAACAGTGCACTGCTAGAGAATGGCCCTGCATTCATCCACTACCTTCGAAAGGGCAAACTCTGATATGTTCACTCCAACAATGTTGCCCACTACTTCTGGGCATATCTAAAGTCTTGAAAAATAACATCGAACGTACCAATCATTATGCGATCAAGACATTACTGAATTTAGGTAATTCTGCTACCTATGACTTTTGCCTAGCAATGGCTGATATGGACGAGCTTGAGCAAAAACGTACCCTGCAATCGCATATTCTATTTTTTAAATGTTTTGAAATAGATGGCCCAAATTATATTTCCCAATTTTTTACACCCCGGCTAGCAAAATACAATCTACAAGACAGTGGCTTAAATGTTGTGCAGCCTCCATATAACAGCCTTGTCATGCACAACTCGTTTTTATACATCCACATTGCCCACATATGGAATCAATTACCAACTGCCACCAAATCCTCGAGCACTTTAGCACAATTTCGTGCTCACCTGAATAATGTCAATTTCACAGGGTGCCAGTGTATGAACTGTATATAACTTTATCTATTTTTACATTTTTACTTACTCTTGGGCTATTATTTTTGTATATATATAATCATATATAATCATATTTTTTAATATTTTAATCAGTTTTTAATGATAAGTCCATTTTAAACTATTTTTAATGCATGTTCTTAGTTTTTTTTTAGGTTTTTTTTTTTCCAGAAAATAGTTTCTTAAAAAATTTTCCCAAAATTACGATGTTCTTAGGTTTTTCTTAATATTTGTATATGCATAATTCACATTTTATCTTGATTTGCATTTTTTAGTTTATCGAGCATTTTTAACATAGGCCCCTGGCTCGGAAGATTGTGCAAACACTTCCCACGTCTTCGACATTAAATAAATCATTCATTCATTCATTCATTCCCCATCTATGAGGCCTTTCAAGGGGGCTGTGCTGTCACTTCCTCAGTCATTTCTGAGACCACCAGTCGCCAGGTAGGTTAGGAGAAAATGTTGCTGCCAATTGAGCATAAATTTTTGTCTACTCAATCTGGAATTTGCGGCAGATATAGTGCCTGGAAAGAATTATTAACCTTTCTTTCTCGAGGGACCCTTCTTAAACAATAAGAAAACATTTCAAACAAAATAACAGAAAATGTTTGGAAATAACAGAAGGGAGTTTTCTCTACTGAAACAGCCAAAATGCAAAAGTGAACAGATGTTGCTTTCACTACTTAAAAAAATGGGGTTGTCGCTGTTACAATTCTCTCCCCCCTTTCCGTTGATTGTTGGTGCTTTCGGAGAGGATTGCCGCCAGTTTTTGGAGCTGTGTCGCCTGTCACTTCTACCCCTTGGATGGCCCCAATGATGCTTGATGATAGCTCCTACAAGCTACATTATGTACACATGTAATACTTACCTGTCTGATATCTGTCTATCATCTGGATCACTCTCATCACTGCTGTGTTTCCTTCTACTCCTCTTTTCATGCCGTTCCGATGTTCTACTGCGTTCTCTATCCTTACTGTTCCTGCGATGCCTACCACGCCCATCATCTCTCTCACGGCTCCAGTCCCTTTTACGATGCCTCCTATGCCTGTCCTGATCCCAGTCTCTCTCGCGTGATCTGTCTCGGCTCATATCTCTGTGTCTGCCTCTCTGATCTCGTCTCCAGTCTCTCTCAGATCGTTCAGATCCCCAGCCATTGCGAGGAGTACGACCTGGAGAGAGTTCATCTCTGTGGCTGAATTCATTGCCTGGATTGTGATACACATGCAGGAAGTTACAGTTCTTGCCTCGAGGGCATCGGTTTCTGTCAAAGAGACCTGCAAAAAAACATTAAAAAAGTGATAAGAATAGAAAAGAAAAGTGATGCCTCCCGTGGGTGCCTCAGGTGTTTTTTCTCTCGCATGCAGCTGAATGGTTTGACAGATCTTTGGTGAAAGGCTGAAGTCACAAGTGGCAAAGCCGCAACCACAAACTGCGCATGAAAAGACTCTGGCACCCAGGGTAAGTGATGCCGTTACAAAAACTAAATTGGTGAAATTATGGGATAGACTGCTATATCCAGGAAGAACAAAAAATAAGCCTGGATCGTAATGCGTTGGAAGGATTTGTATGGAGTCATCAGAGCATAACAGATGGCACTTTTATCTCCCTGCCAATTTGCACTAACAGGCTCATTTTTGGCAAGTGAACATATTTCAGCTTGTTCTTTCTGGATATGCCAACCTATCCTATAATTTCACAACTGTGAATTTTTGTGAAGTCACACTTCTCTTTTCTAGAGAAGGAATAAAACACAAGACAAAGCCATTCTTAAAAGACAATTTTAGCCTTCTTGTGACCAAATTTTCTGGCCACTATATATGGCTACTTATTATGAGGAACATTTGAATATAAGGTCAAGTGAATGAATGGTGAAGGAATGGAAGAAAAGGAAAGAAATCAATGGCTAAGGATTGAATCTTGACACCTCAGCTTTTAAAAAATAAACAATCAATCAGGCAAGAAAATGTGGCAGTAAAGGAGAAATCATTAATTAACAGATCTGAGTTATGGAAATGAGTACACACCAGGTGAGTACTGCTTACTATTATTTTAACAACTGGATGGGAAATTCATGCATCAGAGAGAGCCAGACATACCACAAATTGCTGACTTCCACTTTGTTACTGGAGAGTATTCACAGGATAGCTGCTTTGATGCATACCAGCGAGCATTAAACATTGCAAAGGCTTTAGCGCACTCCTCTTCACTATCAAACAAATACAAATGACAAGTTTGAAATCTTCACATGAACTTTCCAGGGCCCTCACTTAAATTCAATGACTGTTCATGCCTGTAAAATGACAATCTCAAGATGCACAACTTTCCAGGTTTTTTCTTTGACCATATGAATCTGAAAACACTCGGTGGCATTTACCTCCTAAACTGCACGTAAACATTCCCTCTTAAGTGTGGCTCATGATTGCAACAAACCTGAAATAACCAATAAGAAAATTTAATGACCAATTATTAATCTAACATGAAACAGCTCGACTTCTTAAAACAGTAAAATGCATGCTCTATTAATTTATTTTAGGCTGTTTTGTTACATTACGTTCTGATTTATAATGTAGAAGTATCTTTCAATTTTCATTTAACTGTTTTTACGATAAATATCAAATGTGATTAAAATATTCCTTGTACAGTAAAAACTGTTTTTTCCTTACTACCGACTATTTTCTTTGAGCTTTCGATAACTCGAACATTTTTGATTTCCCTTGAAGGTTTGAGTTATAGAGTGTTTTCACATGACATCACGGCGGCCATATTGGTGTCCCAAAACAATGAAACCGCAGCCATGTTGGTGTCCAAACCAATCCTGTGGGAGTTGAACTCGTTTCTCATGCAAACGCTTTCTTTTGTTCCAATAAATTTGCATAGATGCTGGCCATGTGAGTGAAAACGCTCTACTGGGAGTTGGCTGTATTTAGTGGAGCTGAACTCAATTATGGAATAAAATTATCACACAAAGTTTAGACAACCTAGGCTACTGATGATCAGTTATGACACACAGATAATCATTAATCATTAATTTTACAGTAAAAACAATTTGCAGTCTGTTCCCTTCAAATTATTTTTTCATTTATTTAAAACAATTCTTTACCTTGAACTGCACAACAGTTCCAGCCTTCTTGAATTCTGGCAGAGTATCTTCATAAAACTGCTTGAAATTTTCATAGGCTTCTTTGTCATCATACTTAACAAAGAAAAAGAAAAAGAAGAAATTACTACATGTATGTTACAAAAATTTAGTACTAATATTGACAAATTTTAGCAGTCAAAAAAAAAAAAAGTCATGTCCGTCGAAGCCAACAGAGTCCAGTTCTTAATTAACAGCCATGGATCCACATCTCCTTATATAATCTTAGTGTATTTGTTACAGGTCAAAATTAAATTCAGGTTAAAATTTTTTTAACTAAGTAGGTTCTCAATTTCCTTTGTCTCCTGGCCCTAATTCATAAATAATTTGGGCTGACAGACAAAGGAAATAGAGAATCAAACTAGGTTGAAAATTTTTAACATGAATTTAATTTTAACCAGTAACATATTAATTATTACTCTTAGTAGAGTTTGAAGAGTTGAATTTTGTTTTGTAGGTGTTTCTTCATAGCCATAACATCCAAATTTTAAGAACAGGGCACATCAGAAGCCATTGAGTCAGTATATAATCGGTGGCAATACATACCTCAAGGCTAGTGTCCTGATCTGCCTCATCTAACATGGACTGAGACAGTCGAATGTCATTATACATGCCAGGAATCATTAATGTCACACTTGATGGGGGGCGTGGATGCTGTCTTGAACACCTATTGTAGGCAAATATTAGTTGCACGGGATGTTGATTATAGGGCTTTCGTTAAGGGACAGGGGCGGGGGGTGCAGATTCTCCTGCCTACGAGGAACATGACCTCTAGCTACTTCCAAAGAATAATACAAGAAAGAAGCAAAGGAAATGCCTAGTTGTTTGATTACATGCCTTGTTGTGGTTGAGATCTTAGTGACAGCCCTGTGATCACTTGGCACTGGGTACAATTTTTGCTTCAAGCTGTTTCAAAGTATACAATGTTTCATTTATTTAATGAGGACTTGAAGTTTAAAGACATAAATTTTGGTATGTGTAAGTGATTCCTTAAGATGAGGAAGTCAAAATGTTGGTCACCTTTCTCCAAACCTACAGGCTCCTGTTTTCAAGTAAAATGAACAATTCACTGTGTCCTGCATAGAAAAAAGGCAAAATGATTAACTGTAGTCATAATTAACACAAATTAATATTCGCTTATTTTACAGTTTTTGATCGATACACCTGTAGATCTGTAATCCGAAAAAAGATAAAATCATTTTGTTAACAATGGGTTGACACAGTTACTTATCAGGTCTAACAAAATTATGAAAACTATAGAGGGTCTTAATGAAGGTCAAACTCCCTCTTTCACAGACAAAGGGGAAAAGTAAGTAGTTGATTGTGAAAGGTGCTTTGAATGGTTTTACTTTGGGAAGCTGTATGTATTTACCTGCTCTGTGCCATAAGATTTTTTGCTAGTTGCGGGGGCTAGAGGATTATGCCAGGCTTCTTCACTATGCTGAAAATAAGATATTTTCAGTATTAATAATAATATTGATCTGATCTCCTTTGATTCTTCCAAGTAATAAATTTTTTATATTTAAACATATAGCCTGCAATGTAAGTGTGTTTTTGGGGGCAGGCAAAAACTGCTTAATATTTAAGTTCATATTTTTGTGGCCCAACATTTGATTTTTGGAATTTAAAATGGTGATTATGCGAGCAGAAGAAAACGTTTGCAATGCAAGCTACTACTTACTAAGTGTAGAGTTCACTAGTCAAAAATGACAACGATGTGTATGATGGGAGCTATGGTGGTGACAGTGAGGGTGTAATATTGATGAAAATGATGAATAGATGGTGATAAGATGTCAATAAATATATATTATGGTTACAACGTATTGTTGTGATGGTGATGACAAACAAACTATTCAGGATTTTAACCTGTATGAATGCCACATTTTCATAATAACATCTTTATCATTACTATTATTTCACTGGGTCAATTCACACTTGCTTTGAGACTTAAATTGTACAACAGGGCTGAGTTGTTCAAAGCTGGGTTACGATAACCCAGGGTTAGTGTGAGATTTGAATTCAGATTTGAAAGCTTAAAAAGCATTTCCGTTTTAATTCTTTTTGTCTACAAGTTGATGATTGGAAGGTCTAAAAATTACAGTGAAAATTATCAGAGAAAATGCTTTTGAACATAAGAAAAAGAAACCAGGGTTGAATTTAACCCCGGTTTAAGCACTAATCGGCCTTTGAACAACAGTACTGAACCCTGGCTATTTCACTACATAGTAAGTTCTTATTATCAATGACCAAAAATTGACCCTTTGAGTTTCAAGAGTGACAAACATCAATTTCCTCCTAACAGTATGAGAATTAATAAAACTATAAAAGTATCACCAAAGGAAAAATGCTCTGATCTTTTATCAAATTCTCCCAACTTATTCTGTAAGGAAATGTATAGAGACCAGTTGGAAGAATTTGTATGCAGATACTGGGGCTTAAAAGGTTAATGTTATCATCTGAGTTGCAGACAGGTACAGTACCTCAGAAGTTGATGGTTTGTCCAATTCCCTGAATAAGCGTTCCTATTGAAATGAACAGTCCATACATGGCTTGAGGTAACGTTAAGATTTTAAAAATCATAGAGAGAAATTTTGCTATCATCTAAACTGAGCTTTAACTAGCTTGAAATAATCTTGACCTTGATGTAGCATTCTGATGTTTTCTTTTCTCTAATTCCAACTGGCCACAAATAATAGAAAGATAACCAGTGATCAAACTTCTAGGTAGCATACAATGTATGGAATACATATCTGTATGTATTATTAAAAATGACATACCGTAATATAAATGACTTACAGTTAAGTACATTGTAATTTTTGTTTGTTTCTCTTCAAACGACTTAGATTTACATAACAATAATCATCATAGTTAACTTTGCTGCTTTTACTAGGTTCACTTAAAAATGGACATGATAAAATGTATAAAGAGATTGTCAGGGGTTTGCAGGGCCGTTTTAAGCCATAACCATCCTCAATGACCTAGAGACAGTCGCCTTGGTCGGGAGATGCAGTGCACTGAAAGTTTTCAAGCAAAGGCTTTTTCTTTCATCTTGCTCTTCCTCCCAACTCAACTGACTGTCCTTGGGTCACCAAGAATCAGCTCTAACATATGAAAAGGAAAAACAAACAAACAAACAACCCAAACTTTCTATTCATCATCCAGCCGTAGAGAACAAGAAATAAAGGGGCAACATCACGAGGACACTGCTATTTTATACGTCAATTCTGTGAAACATCATTACTTAGGGTCTGTTTACATGGAGGTGGGAGACCCCAGGTAGGCGAGGTAACCCACTTAGGTGGGGTAACCCACCTGTCCATATAATCTCCAATTTTAATTTGATCACATTTTACATGATAGGTGGGGTAACCTGCTGCAGGTTACAGATGTACCTCACCTATCTGGGGTCCCCTGCCTCCATGTAAACAGGCCCTAAGTGCCTTTATCCATACCCATAATGTTCTTGTAGAGATATGAAAACAATATGAAACAAATTTCAACAAGGAGCACTAACCATAATAATTTATTATTTGGTATTTTTGCAGGCATAACATTCAAACTTTCAAAAATTGGCCCAATGTTTTTAAGTTTCAATCGATCTCCATCCTTGTCATCCTTTGTAACAGACAACAGAACACAGCTTGCTTAAATACAGTCTTGAATAAGAAACCTTGAGCATTATTTTGGGAATTCAATTGATGCGCTTAAAGTTTAACCTATTTAAAAAGATAGCAAATAGCATGACATAACTGCTTTAAGTTACTGGTACATACTAAGGAGTATTTAGATGGTACACGTACGCTAGCTTTATCTAAATGGGGTTATTTCTTATAAAAGATACAGAAATGTCTCTGATGCAATGGAGCCCATGTTTCAAGGACGCAGACTGTTGTTTGAAGTTCACTGATGTTGTTTCATGTTTGTTAAGGATCATCAGAAGTTCCTTATAATAATTAACTTAGAATAATATATTGTTCAAAAATATCAAAAGTATTTTAAAGTATTTTCAGTCAGTAATAAAGATAACACACATCTGTTTTGTATACATCACAAAATAAGCTAGAATTAGTGTGTTTGGTTTGCATGGCATTTATATCACAATGAGATGATCTGACAGCATGTAAACATAGCAAGAGAGACAAAATTCAAGTTATGTCAATTAAAGAGCATGTGCTACACAAATTTCAAAGACAATGAAAGAAAATATACATAACTGTATATACATCAATAGCTAAACATTTAATACCAAGATCTGGAAAATATACAACTGTACAAAAGACTGAATCCTTGCTCCTTTTTATGTCTTAACACTGCTGCCTCTGTAAGTTTTAGTTTCGAGTAAGTTTCTTAATATTATGTAACAAAAACTGGTTACTCTTATCTTGAGAGGTAACTTAATTAGTTGGGATACAGGATTTTTTCAATGAATATTCAACTCCATCAACAATGACATCACCTCTTTCTCTTTGATGGCTTTTTGTTTTTGTTCTTCTTTTTCTTTTTCACGTCTCTGTTCTTCTTCCCATTCTCTTTTAATTCTCTCCTGCAACAAACAAAAAATTTAATATCAGCTCTTGAAGCCCTTAAATCAGCATTCATAATTATTGCCCATGCTGTCTTTCAAGGCATTACCTCAATCTTTGGCAATTTTGTCATTACCGAGATTACACCTGCGCTCCCGCTGATCAACAGCCTCTCACTTGCCTCTTACTCGTACATGCATTACCTCTTGTTCCAACTTTTCTTTTAATTTTCTTTCCTCATCTTCTCTTTTCTTTCTAAATCTCTCTTGAGCAATGGCTTCCCTCTCCAGCCACAAACGATGTTGAGTTTTTCTAGAAAAAAATTCAACAAACAAGCAGTTTGCTTTAAAATGCAGATGACTTAAATGTGCTGAAGTAATAAAAGGATTACCCTATATGCCAAAATATTGCTGAACTTGAAATGCACTTCAGTAATGAAAACTGTTTGATAGGATCATGGAAAATCCATTTCAAGAAAATAAATAAGAGTTTTAATGAAGGAGGAAAATGTTTTTAACTGCCATTTCTAATTCATGGAACCCACAGAACCCACAAAACATTAAATAAAGCAATTTTAAAGTCTATTCATACACTAACTATCTCAGTAGAAAAAGTATAGCTTTTAGTCAAGGAGGTGTGATGAGATGTGGAAAGTGGAAGAGATACAGAAAAGTCAAAAGAAGAAAGTGAGCAGCACGCTTGACCCGATGAATGTTCTGCTTGACTCAGATTCTACATTCTTACGTATGATCATAATATTCAGGTATGTATTTTCTTTTTTTAGTACATTGGAGGGGATCCCATAGGTTCTGTAAGTTCTCTTGGTTTCCCAAATTAGTTTTTAACTATGTCTAACTTCAAAGCTTTTTAAAAATTATAATGTATTTCAGCTTTTGTACAGGTTTTGTACAGGTTTCACCACATTCCATCTTGAATCAAATTCCTGATGATTAATGTACAGTGTTGTCACAAATTTTTATTAACATTTTTATGCACCTTTCTTCTTCCTCTTCCAGTAATCTTTTCTTTTCAGCTCTTTCCTTTACTTCTAATTTGGCCCTGGTAAAAACAAAGTGCATTGATTGCAAAAGCCTTCTACAAAAAATACAATTAACTTCTGACTCTTAAGCCTCAAAGACAGGACTACTTATTTCATGCAATTTCATTCATACTGCACAAACTGTACATACATTACCAATACCTGCTGTTTCCGCAAAAGCTGGACATACAACAAAATTTACATCAATTTAGAAACCTTTTCAAGGAATAAAACATCTGTGGAAAATAATGAGTGGACTATCTGCTTATTAGTTATCATTTTTTCTGTTGATAAGCTATAACTTCAACTGTTCCATCAAGAGTTTGAAAAGCTGTGACTGTAGGGGACCTTCTTAGAGCAACGCACATGCATGACTTACATCCTTACCATGCCTATTACTTACATCTACTGCAACAAAAGTAACAACAAACAATAAAAGATAAGAGGATCAAATCTAGGGTCTCGTAGCAATCTGGCCAAATAATTAACTACTTACTTCAAGATGGGGTCATTCTCTATTCTCCACTTTTCTGTAGGAATAAAACAAAAACAAAGAAAGCAGGTGAATTTTACAGTGCCACCGGGAAAACCATGAACACTTGAAATATTTCAGGAATGTTATTGTCTTGTAAAAGAAAAGCCAGTTAGGCATGAGAAAACTAAACCGCAAGCAAGAACGTTAATAATTAGTTTGTGGTTTTGTGACCAGTTTGCATGTCCTGATCTTTGCAGTGATTGGTAATAACACAATAAACATTCCTGCGATATTTCAAGTGTTCACGGTTTTCTCAGTTGCACTATAAGCTCACTAAATGAATGTAAAAGATATGATAAAGATATGGTAAGTGACAGGACAGGGGGTGGGTAAGGAGTGGGGGGTATATGGAGGAACAGGGGACCCAAAACTTCCACCTCCTGTACATTGCATTCCTGGCTCCTGCCACTGTTTTCTTAGCTTCCTCCTTTTAGCCCTTAATATAAGGCACTGTTCTATAATTCCCTGTATATCTCATGCCTCATACCCTTTTACAACTCCCACATCCCACTCTTTCCTCTCCCACCTCTGGCCCTCTATTCTCTCTGGGCTCCTACCCCCATCCTCTCCCCAATGGCAGAAAGCTAAGACTTAAGGCCAACAAGGCCTAATAGTCTACCAGTTTTTGCAAGCAATAACTATCCTAAACTAATTAAGCCACCATTAAAGAAGAGAACTTGCGCAGTGCCTGGACATGCACTTAATGAAAAACATTCAATGAAGAAATCTTGCATTGAATGCTTTGTCAAGGACTTCTTCCACTACAGGGATAAAGAGGGAATTTCAATTTCTTCTTACGTTAAGTTGATCTGACCTGCTAATAATACTAAGTTCTTCACCTTCAATTTCCTCCTGCTCTCTTTTCTTCGCTACTGCCTGTCTCTTTTGCCGTCGTCTTTCCTTTTTAACAAGCCTTCTAAACTGTTTGTGGCTGAAAATATGCCCACATATGTGGATATATAAGCTTATAGTACACAATATTTACTACAAAAAGATAGAAGAGTTCCTTTTTTTCCAAAAGGATACCAAGATTGGATATGATATCAGTATGCTTGGGTCCAGCTGATCCTGATCGATCAGCTATGTTCTGTTTCGTTGTACTTTGAAAGTCAAACGTGCATGATACAAACAATTTGAAAACGACGAAAACAATTTCAACGGAAGGAACATGAAGATTTAATTTACTAGAAGCAGGTTTATACCTGAGTTTAAGAGGGGCATCAGCTCTTTTAGAATCCTTCGTCACATCTTCTTCTCTGCTTTCGCCTTCCTCAGCCGCCATGTTGGTTAGGAACCAGTTTCCCACGTTCGTTTCCCACTGCTGTTGCCTCGTTGTGGTGTAGATCATCCCCAGGTCTTCCCCGCCTTCAGCTCGTTGACAACAAAAATGGCGTCTTGGTCAACGTTTGTTTTGCAGCAGTGAAAAACGCAAATTTTCTTAGTTTTTCTTTCTGAGGACTTATTTCCTTAAAGGAATCAAGTGAGAAAAAGCCATCATGGCTACTATGATAAACGGACAATTGATTTTGGAAGAAGAATATGACGAGAACTACCAGCCTACGGAACAGGGTAAGATATTTGAAAAAAAAAATGTTCAACGTAGGATTAAATTACACAATGAACAAAAGCGGTGTATTAATACTAGTTTTTCACGAATATATCATTTTTTGTGTTCAATGGACTGTTGACGGACCAGTAAGCTTACATATTTATTTGGAGGTCAAATCACTAATTAGTGCTGTGATCTGTATAAATCAGCTGATCTTTTAATAGCAATCGCGTTTGTTTTTTGTATGAGGCTTCTGTTGGAATGAGTTTTTTTATGCTGTAATTATTTCGATGTGTTTGCACGAAGTATTTTTTTACAGTTTTTGGCTGAATTTTTAACTGCATTCTTATTCAAGGACATATCAAAAATAGGAGGTCAAGTCAGTAATTTGCTGGCCAAGTACACTGTAGCCCTCATGCATATCTTACAGTCAAACCAGGTCAAGCGTTCCCGTCGCTAACGAACTAATGAATTCATTCACGGAAAAATGATTTCGTTTGTTGATTCAATAATCCATTCATAAAATGAACAATCCAATATTCATATTTAGCCTCGATTCCATAATCGAATGTTGATTCGATTACTGTTTTTTGAAAAACTACACTTTCCACAAGTTGACCTCAGAATTTTGTTTTTTCCTCTTTTTTTTCTGAGAGTCGAGTGCCGGCGAGTTCTGAAGTTCAAACCCAAACAAACTGTTACATGTACGCCATTTTGCTGCCAGTAATCAGTGCAACAGACCCAGGCCTGACCTCTTAGAAAACACAACGGTCAAACTAAGGTCCGTGTATGTGCGGTGATTGGTGGATTTCGATCCTCGGCCTTTGTCAGTTTCTCATAGTTTCTTTGCGTTTGCGGTCTGTCTATTCTAGCTGTTATTTTGATTAAAGGCAATGAAAAACGCAATCGTAAACGGCAGGAAAAAGGAAGCAAATACGATTGAACACAACAGACAAGAATAAAGAACAGGCAGATTTTGCTCATAAACCAAATCAACATTTGATTATTGAATCGAGGTCCAATTTGACTGTTGGATTATTCATTTTATGAATGGATTATTGAATCAACAAACGAAATTATTTTTCCATTAATGAATTCATTAGTTTGTTAGCGACGGGAACGCTTGACCTGGTTTGACTGTAATCATGCGTGAGGGCTATTATTAGACCCCTCAGCTATATTTTATTTTGTATTGTGGATTGTGGAAATAGGGTATGCTGCTTTTTAGTTATCTACATCAGTATCTGTAGACAAAATTATTTTTGTGGTTATCGTTTGTAATTTGCTCGTAAATGGAGTCACTTCATACATTGCCTGTAATTTTTATCGGTATCCCTTTTTTCTCATTAAGAGTTTTAATGAACAGGTATATCTAATAATAATATGTTGTGCCTGTCTGCTTACAGAGGTATTTGAGTATGCGCTCTCAATTGGCATAGATCCGCGCAAGGAAAGGGATCTTCTGTTTATTGCACGAGAAGGAATTGTAGCTCCCTTACCTCAAGACTGGAAACCTTGGTGAGTTCCAGTGTTCAATGTACCAAGAAAAAGGTCCTTAACTTTACAACAACTAGAAGGGGTTAACTGTAAATATTTTTGGTATACCATATTGAAAGATTTATTCTTTGTAGTATGTTAGATAGGCAGGGTGCTAAGAAAGTCAGTTTTACAGCTTGTCCTTTGGGCAAGCTGTCGTTAGCATGTACAGTATACCAGCCCATAAGTCATTTTAACTAGCCCGGAAAAAAAAAATTTGATGAGCAGGTTTGATAATAGTTCTCCTGTAATTTGAATACCCCCAAAAAACTTCATTTGCCTGTAAGTTCCGTAAGAACAGAATTCTCTAGCCTGATATCAAAATCCACTGGCCCTGAGGTATTGGACACAACTTTCTTTGTACGCTGGATAGGCTTGTATAATTTATTATAGTAAAACTTGACGTACATGTGTTTATTACTTAGCTGAATAATTTGCCAGCTTTTGATTTTCTCTTAAATGTCTTTTTAGTCAAGATTCAACTGGAGAGATTTACTACTTTAACTTCCAAACTGGTGAGAGTGTTTGGGACCATCCCTGTGATGAGTATTACAGAAGCATGGTTCTTGAGGAAAGACGGAGAAGGAGTGCTGCGGGAACGTTGTCAAAGAAAGATAATAAGAAGAAGGAGAAAAAAGATGGGGCCAAAAAGAACAAGACAATGGATGGGCCATTAAAACAGAAGGTTTGAAAACAGTACAAATGAAGGGGACTTGGGATAAAGCCCTAACTGACTTCCGAAAGATTGCTGATTGTGAATTTGTTTCTAAGAAAGTGTGTTATATTAGGTCAAAAGTCACTTTGAGCCTTATTCCTTTCACCCCTTAGAACTGGGATGTAGCTAAGGAAAAGCTGCGTAGGCTTTTTTATTAGTCAAGACAGCTTTTTTTTTCACAACTGCTCCTTCAAAATTCTCCCATGTCTTTGTTTTACCGGAAATTTTTAGCCAGTAGTAAGCTCTTTGTCAGCTGGTGAAATTAGCTGGCAGCTTGCTCTTGGTGACATCCCTGCGCATGCCCCTTTCAAATGCTAGAATACCGAGAAATAAAATTAAAGTGGCCTCATTTTATTTCTTGTACATGTACAGTTTTGTGTAGCAGTGGGAGCAGGATGATGTAATAGTCAGCTTGCAGGGCCTGCAGCCCCACACTGATCACTCTCTGGATATTTATTATTTTCTTAGTTATCCAAAGATCAAATCCACAGCCTTACTTAAACTGGTTCACATGCTGGCAATATTTCTTGTGTGTTTTTCACTTTGTGATATTGTGGTTGGTCTGGTTTGTTGTTCGTAAATATTGTGGATTTAGACTTGGAGGCTTAGCGTGTTTCCACTTGTAAAAAGCAAATAATTTACGTGACGTATATAGTAAAATTACTGTATGTCCAGGTTCAAAATTTTCTCTGGTTTCAAATCTTGCTGTGTTCTTCGACTTTTAAGGGTCAAAAGGAAATGAAAAAAATTAAACCACATCATCTACTCTGTAAGCTTGTCCATCAGTGTTTTGTTTATTTGTCTGTTTGTTTGTTTGTTTATTTATTAATTTTTTTTAATCTCACTGAAGTAAGTTACAAAAAGTAGTAAACAGAAACTCACCCAATGTAAGGGAATCCAAGACATTATTGGATACTGGATTCTATGCTGTCAATTTGGAATTACAGTTACTAGACTCCAGACTAATTTTTTGCTCGTGGAATCCAGAATTCAGGAAATTTTTGTTTGTGAAATCTGGAATCTTGGGCTTTGGAATATGGAATACAGCTCAAGGAATCCAGAATTGGAATCTGGAATCCAAATTCCACTGACAAAGTCCATTTTGTTTATTTGTAATGAAGCCTCTTGGTCCTGGCTTGGCACCTCTGAAAGGCGAAGGCTCCTTAGCTCCTTTGGGACGTTCATTGGGAACAAGCTCTCCACTGGGAGGGACGTTTAGTGGAGGATCTCTTGGCACGGGGCCTATTGGAAGGGGATCTCTTGGAGGAACATCAAGTTCTTTGGGGAAGGGTCCTCTTAACGGAAGCTTGGGTACAGGTTCAATGGGTGGTATTGGATCTGGAAGTCGGTTTCCAACTGCAGGAAAAAGTAAAGATCCCTTTCAAAATGCTCCTCTTGGTGGTGTCAAAGACTCACCTGAGGTAAGTAAAACGCTTTTGTTGCTCTCTTGTTTCTGTTTATTATTATTTTAAGGGCATGTTCAATTGACTGCAGCATGCAAAGAAAGTAGTGTCCGATAGCCTGGGGCTAGTGGATTTTGCTATCAGGCTAGTGAATTCTTTTTTTAATTTGCCCGATGGGCAAGTGACATTTTATGAGGAATTTGAATAACAGAAGAACAAAAAGTTTTTGGGGCTAGTTGAAATGACATCTGGGCTAGTAAATGCTAGCTTCAGCTTGCCCGAATGGCAAGCTGTAAAAATGATTTTCTTTGCACCCTGTGACTGTATTCTGGAATAAGAATAGATGGGATAAAGTCTAGAAATCACTTATTTTGACATTCAGTGCATTGCAATGGAGAGATTTAGAATGACATTTACGGCAAATGGCAAATGTCAGATTCAAGTTGAGAATTTCTCAAAATAAAAAATGTGCAGCAAAGAACAGTCCAAAACAATAAATTGTCAAAGAGAAAACTAACTTGAAGCTACTAATTTTGGGGTAGAAGTAATGAACAGTGTAAAAACAAAAGCTAAGGAAAAACTTGGTTGTGTGGCTCAAATTCACATTTTGCTGTTTGCCGTAAACATGACTCTAAATCTCTCTAATATCTAGAAATCTGCTTGAAATAAAATTTTCCGCCGTATGCAGCATTCAAGTGTCCAAAAATTATGGCACAAGAAATTTGCAACAAAACTTTTCCATATCTCATTCCAGAATTCAATCAATCAAATGCACAGTATTAAGTATACTGTCAGATTCTTCTTTGATTTTCTTACATTTTATGCATTTTTGAAATGCCTATTATAATTCAGTTTTATGTAGTAAAAAATTGTTCCCTTTAACTCTGAAATGTTTTTAATGTTTTTAATTTTTGCATCATTACCTTGAAGCGATGGTCATCTGACAAAGAGAGGTTTGGTGGAGGTCTCAATGATGCTACTGGGACAATTACATTGAGTACTGGGTTAGGAGACAACATCAATTTAAACTTCATGCCTGATTTCTCAGATGATGATGAAAAGGGACATGAGGTATATTAATCATTATAGTCATATTAATTTATTTATTTGTAATCTATAGTCATGTTTGAAATTTACTAATAATCTACTCAGTCTACTTGTATCTTGACCTACATGTATATATGTTTATACATTTCTTTGCTTCTTTGAAATGTAGGACCCATTCAATAATATGAGCTGAAACTCAATAAGTTTTTTTGATCACCAGATTCCATTATTCCGTTTAAAAAATCAAATGGTTTACACCATCCATTTAAGAAGCTTCAGAAAGTATGGGCTGTCGTGTAGGGTGATAAGATTATTTTTACTACTCCTCTCAATTATTCCAGCTGATTTGGATATATTTTGAACCTGGCCCTACAGTGTATGCCCACAATGTCAAACTTCATGGTTAAATGTTTATGCTCAAGATTTTCAACCAGGTGGTTTGAGGGGCTGTCGTTAAGAGCCAGGGACTAGGGATTTCCCCTGGCTACTGTGAGTGTGACTGCTGGATACTTTCATATTAAAATAGAAGAAAAATAAAACAAAAAGAAATCCCTAGCTGTTTGATTCCCTGCCTACTTGTTGTATTTACCCAGCAACTTGAAATCTTAGTGACATTCCTGGGTTTGTGTAAGATAATGGTAAGCACTCCTTTTTACCCTTACAGTTTCTGTTAATTGTTCCTGTCTCTGAACATTAACCTGTTTTTTTTTTGTCAGAGTGACTTTGGAAGGCCAACCATTGATTTGGGTATGCATGATATTGGAAACCTTGGTTATGAGGTGAGTTGCACTTCTGATTTTCAAGGTAGTGATAGTGTGACTACTCAAACCGGGGCACTCGAAAGAAGATTGTCCAATCACAATCATTTCTGAAAACAAAAGATTCTCAAGTTTTTTGGCAAACGGGCCAATAAAATTCAAGTATTCAACTATGCACTCGTTGAAAACTTTAAAACCTTTTGAACTAACCTGACCTCTTAGGAAACAGCCTTCAAATCTATGAGTGTTATTGGTCTGTTTGCCTAAAACCTTGAGAATAATTTGTTTTCAGAAATCTTTGTGATTGGGCAATCTTCATCAAAGTGTCCTGGTTTGAGTAGTCGTACTGTAAATGTACGGTACCTACGTACTATGGTTTCAACTTTGTATTTTGCTTTTGATAATTTTCAAACCTTTTTTATATCCTGGTTTTCTTTTGACTCACTCCCTAAGATGTTTTGATCAATTCATCCTTGCAAATCCAGGGCACAACTGTAGCTTATTTTGATGGCATGGGATATTCATGAGCAAAATCATCCCAAGTAGTGAAAGTTTGACAAAATGTCAAATGAGCCGCTGGGCACTTCCTTTTACCAGTCCGGAGCTCCAGAAGGAGTATTCCATCTACAATTTTAATATGGACAAAATATACATTTTTTATTTTGTAGGAATCAGATTATGAGGAAACTTCCAATCTCAATGCACCAGCTACTCCATCCATGAGTGATGTAGATGATGGAGAAGAAGTTGTAAGTCATAGTCTTTATTATAAATTTCAAGGGAGAAGTTTACCCTGAAAAGTGCGTTACTGTCCTAATATCATAGGCGACGAATTACTCCTTAATTTTGGCACGAAATTTCAGTGTTAATTTGTAATTTCACATGTGAAATTACAAAATTGCCATGGCAACCCTTCCGTACATCTCAGTGTCAAGATGGCGACGAAGTTTTAAAATGCCGTGAATGAAGATGTCAGGGCACAAAAAGACGCTTTAGAAAACCTGAACACACAAGAGAACATCACGAAGGATTCTAACAGGTATTTTGCCAAAACATTCTGAAAAATTCAAAGCCAAATTTAAGGTCTAAACATTTGAGAGAGTGGAGTTCTTGATCGATACGATCCAGAATAAACATGTCAAAAATTCAAGATTGCTAAAGTAATCCGTCACCCATGATATTGCGTTTTGTCCAAATCCTAATAATTTCCCGAGCCTTTAGGCACGTGAAATTATTCCCTAATTTCACTTGTCACCATTTGATTACACATACTAATCACAAATAATGAAGACAAATGGAAGATGCAGAGTTAAGTCCAGGAAGCAGTTTGCTAGCCTGTCGGCTGAAATATATTGGCAATTGTGGCACAGATTTAGCCCATCTGAAATGATGATAATGATGATGAAATCAAAGGTGGCCGTTATTGATGACTGAAAAATCTGCATTTATGAATTGTAACTTTTAAAAAGTTAACTATAAACTTTGTTATTATACATTGTACTCACTATCTGTCGTCTTCATAAAGTTAATTTCACTTCCACACTAAAATTTTCTTTCAACATCGGCTTGAAGTAGTTATGATAAAGTAATGGCAGTTAAATGACAGTATCTCAGAATAATAACTGTGTTACTTTAAATAACCCAGTTAAGTTGATTTATGAGTAAGATGGCCAGAGATACTTTTCTAAACTCGTAGTACAACAGTACTATTGAACACAACGTTTATTGGTCATCTTTAACAGTTATTGAAGGAGTCTGATATGTGCATACTGTAGCAGAGAAACAGCAGTATTTTCACTCTCTCTTGATCTATGCACAGGACTTTGGTATCAACAGGACATTGTCAGACAGGCTGGAAGGAATGAGTGCTGAGCTTCTGACTCCAGCACACAGTGCAACAAGGGCTGAGGTAAAGGAAAACATATACATTCATCAGGAGATTAATATGTCTGTCTGTGTGTCGATCTTCCTGACTAGACTGTTCAGTCTCCTATAATTTTCCATATGATCGTCCTGGCACCAGTTGTTCAAAAGGTGGATAGTGCTATCCACTGAATAAATCATTATCCACTGGAAAGATTGGTTTCCCTAATACTTATCCAATGGATAGTACTACTCATCTTTTGAAAAACCGGGTCCAGATCACTGGAAAGCTCTTACTGTTATGGGTGGCTATTTTGGTTACAAATTTACCGAGTGGATGGGTGTTGGTTTTTATGGCTGGGTAGGGAGGGGAAAAAGAAACGTTTTTTTTTTCGCCTCCTCCCAAATTGTCCGCCGTCCTCCTAAGTTGATTTGATACTCATCCTCAGGTTAGGTGGTACATTTGAAACCAAGATGGCTGCCCATAAGAGAAATAGGTGTTAGGCTTGAATCCCCTGGACCTCCAGATCTTGTCTAAGGAATCAACATGATGGATGAGGCTTGAACCCTTGACCTCCAGATCTGGAGTTCAAGGTGTTGACTGCTCAGCCACACATGCCTCCACATAAGAGTGCTCAATTTTGATGATCTTACAGAACAGTCCTACTTCCTAACTATCTTTGTCTTGGTTTTAACTGAATAACTGTCTTAAGCAGTAATAAGCCGATTGAAATACATACTCAAGGAATGAGGCTTAAAGATGGTTTTGCTCAGTGTGAATAATTTATTGTTTTTTGTTTGTTTTTCTTGTCAGTTTAGGTTTTTGGAAAACTGCACACCTACCCCTCCCTAAGCCATCATTTTGCCTTAATTGAGAATTAAGTGTTAATGTTAGCTTAGGGAAGGGGTAGGTGGGCAGTTTCCCGGAAACCTAACTTGATCCTGTTTTTCTTTTCTGTTTTTTTTCATGGCTAGAGCGGTGGTGTTGCGGCTGGTTTAAAAAGTAATAACATCCTGCTTCAAGATTCCAATAATTCCAGGTTTGTGAGCTTTTGGCCAAGTCTTTCATTCACTGTGTGAGGTTATTGCCTGTGTGCAATGCACATGTCTTCTATTTCCTTTGTTGCATGCAGAAAAGGAGTTGTATGCATAGAACCTTTATACAAACATTGTCCAACCTAAGATTGTAACTTTGAAGAAACTCCTGGGCAATAAAAACTTACCTCTTCTGAGCCTTTTTACTTGAACTAATAATTTAATATTAATTAATTTAAGTTTGTCTATACCACAATTAATGATTAATTGGCATTAGATTTTTAAACTAATCACAAAGGCTGTAAAGCCATAAATAATAATAATAATAATAATAGACACTTATATGGCGTGGTATCCACTAATTGCTCAAAGCGGTGTACAATAATATGGTAAGAAACTAGAGTTAAAAACTATTATAAGATAAAATAAAAATTAAATAAAGCTACTAAAATCAAACATCGTAGGCTAATTTAAATAAGTATGTCTTCAACTGCGTCCTGAACTGGTCGACAGATGTAACACTCCTGAGTTCAGGAGGCAATTGGTTCCATAACCTAGGAGCAGCTGCGGAAAAAGCCCTATCACCGTACGTCTTTAACCTAGTCCTAGGCACGGCTAGAAAATTCTGGGAACTAGAATGAAGTAATCGTGGACCATTATTGTAGCGTAAAAGTTCGGATAGGTAAATGCTCTCAACAGTCAGTTATGGTCTTGTCGAACTTCTCTAATATGTGTTGATTCTGTTAATGTATTCTGTTTTTAATAACAGGGAAATTGGTGCCAAAACAGACAAGAATGAAGATGAGCGAGTCCAGAGAGCTAAGTTACAGGCAGAGGCTGCAGAAAGGTCATTACCCATAATTATATCATATCCAATAAGGGACAAAGCACTGAGAATGAAAATGAGTCTGGCTGCCTTGAAAGCTTAAATTGCTTGCATGGTTTCCGTTTAATATGTTCATCTGTAGCCTTAAAAAGCTAGCCTGTGTAGCCGGCAGGATTGTTATTTAGCACGAGCAAAGTTTTGGCCGAGAAACTGCAAAGCCGTGCAGAGAATGGGGAGAAAGTGCTTTGAAATCTTGGCATTTGCGCGTGTCAAAGCAAAAGCGATTCCGCCAGCTACTCAGTCTATAAAGTGCTTAAACCATCTTGTACAACATAATAAACAGTACCACAGGAAAGTACTGCTCAACCTATAGCTATCATTTCAAATGGCCACACTTTAGGATTTAACCCACGACTCAAAAGTTAGAATCATGTTGTACAGAAAACCGTCGGGCACGAAAATTTTCCGGGAGTTTATTTTGCGGATTGGCGATTTTTGTGTTTAGGGGGAACTAATTTTTGAGATTAGGTTTTCTTGCTGGGAATTAATTAGTAGCTTTATTTTGAAAGTTCACGCTTTAGAATTTCAACCACACTCAAAAGCTAGAACCACCTTTTACAGCATGATAAACAGTACCACCTGAACGTACTGCTCAATAGACTTCATATGACCGGTCACACTTTAGGTTTTTATCCTGTTAGATAAGGGGCCTCTAGGATAATTGAAGGAATCAAACTTAAGCCGAATGACTGATTTCTCTGTTTTTCCTTTTCCTTTGTGCTAAAACAGAAGAGCGACACAACAGAAGGGACAAGAAGCAGCTCAAATACAAGAACAAGAAAGGTGACGCTTGAAGTACTGATTGCAAACCGTGTTGTGTTTTGTTGTTGTACAACTATACCTGTATCATGTGCCACCTCAAACTGAATTTATGAAGAGAGCTTTTTCTTTTGAAATATCAACCTTCTAGGTTCTCTCGCAGAAGGGATAAATAATTCATTTTTTTAACGTATAAGAGAGCTATCATGTTGTCGAGCCCTAACTTGCCTATTGTACAATATGGACCAGGGGCATTGCAGCATTAGGGTGGATTTCCACTGTTGCGTAATTTTCACGTGCGTAAGCACCTGCGTGAATAAAATAGAGGCAATGTAAGGAAGGTCGCGGGCAAACGTAAGAGTCGAACCTCGCTCAACTTTTACGTTTACGCCCAACCTTTCATATATTGCCTCTATTCTATTTACGCGCGTAAAAATTTACGTGCGTACGCACGTAAAACTTACGGACCCTTACGCAACAGTGGAAATCCACCCTTTCCCTAGTCTGCTACACAGCCGTTATTAGTGTCGGAGCGTTGCGTGACGACACTAATAACGGCTGTGTAGCAGACTACCTTTTCCCTCGTGTTTCATGTGTGTTAAATCCACCACATTACACTCAGTTTACACGAGAAAAACGCGTAAAACATGCGTGTTAAAAAATACACGCAAAAAGTAGCACCAAAAATTTTGTTGGATGTTTTTGTAAGATCGTAAGCATTGGCAGTTGTTTAATTTTTGATTATCCGAGACGTACACTGTACGCATGCCATGTTTGAAATCTTCTCCCTACGCGTTGTTCACAGATTGCGCGCTCGGATAGCGGCCATCGAGTGTTTAGCTCCTCTTCCCAGCGGAACGCTTTGCACGGCTTTCTGGTCGAATACTTCACCTTTTTTTCTCAGTCAACGGTCACAGAATAATTCAACGCGGATTTCCATTTTTTGCCACAGTGGACAAGGATAAGAATGCTTTAACCATCAAATGTTTTGATCCGTCAAACCCAATTTGTTTTCAAGTTCACTGGATTTTCCTTTTTTTCAACGGTGCCGATCCTTCGTTGATTTTTCGGTGAATGCTTATCCTTTCAATTTTTCATTTTTTAAAACAGCACTGTAAGGCCTCATTAGCGCAATATTTTCTTTCCATTATTTGTTTTTATGGGTGGACCTTTTGAAACTATGGGAGTAGTGGCCATACGAGTAAAATGTTAGCGTCAAACCTTTCTCTGCCGCTTTATACTTTCACAATGATATTATTTCACATTCATTTCTAATAATCTCATTAGTGCTCCTTACAATTTCATCTGTAGTTGTTATTACCAGGGGTCAAATTAATAAAACTTTTACTAATTTTATAGCCACTGTTTCAGAAAACAATAGGGCTATTTACATGGAGGTGTGGGACCTCTTGTAAATTACACTATCATGTATTAAAATGTGAAAATTTTTCACTGATTAAATTGACCCTTCCTGGGTATTATGTAAACAGGCCCTTAAAGTTTCATTAAATTGACCGCAGTTCCAATTTCAATGCCATTACTCAGTTTCACATTGGAACTCTTAGTAATAGTCGTAAAAGGGCTTTGTCACACAATTCGCTATCTTCTTAGAAAGATAAGACGTGTCTTCGCACCAATTGAATTCCAAAAAATAATAGTCCAGTTTTGTTATTACGACTATATTTAGGCATTGCCGAGAAGTGCTTCCTGTCATCTGTTGTACGGATGATAACTATGATAAGAATAGACATGGATCGCCGGCCTGCGAGCAAGCTCTCCGGGGCGCTAAAACTTAAAAAAATAAAATAAATTCAAATTTTATCATGTTTTACTGCTTTGCCCTGCAAAACTCCCCAAGAAATTATTATGGTTAGTGCTCCCTGCTTGTTCGATATCTTCTTCATAACTCTAAAGGGGCATTTTGTTTATGAGTAAGGGAACTAATGACTTAAGCATGGCATTCAACTAAAACAACCTCGTGATATAGCCTCTTTAATTTTTAGTACTTGGCTGCGTGTTTTAATTCATTCTGTGGGTTAGCAAGTCTGTTTCCAACCTTTAAGTTCACTGCAGTCAGAAAACAGCGAAGCTGAAGCATCCACCACGACGGCGATAGCAACGAAAATGTCAAAAACCCCACATGGTTCACGAGCAAAACAACAGCCCTGCTCGTGCATCACACTTCACACTTTTTGGTACATTTCTGTCAAGTCCATCGTGCACGACTACCACGTGAAGCTTCCTAATCCGACCGTGTTTCATAGAGGACGTTAAAACACGACGAAGAATTTTTTTTTTTTTTAACATGGATACAGTCCAAACCAGTCCACAAGCGTTCAACTCTCGGAAAAATTCGCCTACATTTGAGTAAGGTTAAGTAAACACGATGGAGTTTTAAAAAACGAAAATTCGTTTTTCTTTGCTGACGTTTTCACTGTCCTTGTCGTTGTGGTTAAGGGTTTAAGCTGGCTAGTGTTTGTTTATTTGTCAGTAAGTCTGTCTATCAGTCTGAGAGTCAATCGGCAGCTATCCATTCGTTTCTCAGTCAGGAATCCATTCAGTCCTCATCCTGAGAGTTAGACGAAACCTTTCGTTTATTTTTACCCGCAGACTCGCAAAAGAAGCAGCTAAAACCATCGAAGACATGAGAAAAGCTACAGAGAAGGAACTGAACGAAGCTAAGCAGAAACTAGAAAAGGAGAAAGAAGATGCGCTGAAGAAGGTGAAAGAGCAGTATCAAAAAGAACAGGACAACGAGGAAGAACGTCTGAGAAAAGGACACGATGCTGTCATGAAAACACTCGGGGAAAAAGCCAGGGAAGATGCTTTAGAAGAGGAGGCTATGCTGCAAGAGGGCAAACAAGATGCCATGAGAAAACTAAAGCAGCAGATTCAGCGGGAACAAGACGAAGAAGAGGCTGCTTTGAGGAAGAAAAAGGACGAGGCTTTGGATCTGATAAGAGAAGAACTACAGGTATGAGCTGTCTTTACTCAGTTTATTATTATGTTTTGTCTCCCTTCCCTTTAAAGCTTCCTGGATTTTTTTTAAAGCTGTGATTTTGCGAGCAGTTCTTTTACCAAGCCAGGTTCATGTAATCACAAGAGGAATATAACGTTCCCTGTTGCGGCCAAAGGTTTAAAAGCATCAAAGTTTCACATGCATATATAAAGTACTTCCATTTACACCGGTTCTCACAATAGAGGATAAAACTTAGGGCCCTTTTCAAAAGTCAGAACTGGTCGGCCAGACCATGGCACGACCAGTCATTGACAATGAAATAGGCTTTTTCCAAGAGTTTTTGCTTAAAAATCATCTCCTACGTGCTTGCTATTTAGGATTTGACTGATCTGCCTGCCGGGATAGTTTTGATTTTAAAAAGTGTATTCGGTCTCATAACGGCGGGAATGGCCTGGCCGGCGTATTGTGATAAATGGTAAGCGCTTTTTAGTATCATTGGTACAAAAATTTAGCAATTTTTGGACGAGGTTGAACAACGTATCGGGATTTGTCAGTGGTGAGTTGTTTTTTTATGAAGCCATCTGTCATTTTCCACGCAAGAGCGCTCGCAAGAAGAAGAATAGCGTGGTTTCATTTACGCATAAGCAGAACAAAGCCAAAACACAGTTGGACGACATTGCGCATTAGCCTGAGAAAAAAGCCGACATCTGGCGACGCTACCACCGTTTTCCCCGCTAAATGACGTTTGAGAAACGAGCTCAGAAATTCCATACTGATGACGCGTCACTACTCAGATCTGGGTAGTGCTTCTGATTGGTTGAATCAAATTTCCCACGCGGCGCGACCACTCAGAAGCACTACCCAAATCTGGGTAAGAGGAGAAAAGCGTCATTTCGTTTACGCATGAGGAGAATATTATTTGCAGCCAACCACAGTTGGACGACATTGCGCAGGAGCAGACCATTATTTGTAGGCAGTTATTTGCAGGTCACGTGGTGGGCTTTCGGCCAATGAAAAGGACGAACAATTTGCATCGAATGATAATATGCTTTTTTGTCTTTTTATTTTTTCATTCGCCAAACTGAAGGAACAAGAAGAAGCTGAGAAGGAGTTAATGGCAGATGAAAGAGAAACAGCATTGAAAAACATGAGGGAAAAATTTTCCTCCGACATGGAAGAGGAGAAAAAGAAACTTGCTGAGGAACAAAAAGAAGCTTTGGAAGAACTGCGGGAAAAACTAGAGAAAGAAAAAGAAACGGTAAGTCACTTCAATTAGCAAGGATTAGAACAGTGGGTTAGTGCCCGGCCTTTTTGCTACTTTCGTAGCAAGAAAATCTACTTGTCGTGAACTACAGATCGGACGGGACTTGTTTTCAGCTCTGATGTGACAAACATCTTGCATACTGCAAGAACTGGAATGTTGATAGGTAGTCTTTCTCGCAGCTGTTCTTGTCTTGTCACGGGACGCCCTTCCCCAAAAAACGGCTGCTCACATTCGAACATGTGAGATAGGGAGGAGCGTTGCGTGACGAGACAAAAACGGTTGCGAGGGAGACCAGTTGATAGGTGGCTTATCTGCAGTGATAGAAATGTGATGAGGAATTTGAAGCCTGGTGAAAGATTTTCCGTTCGTCATGTCACTTGTTTCCGGCTCATTTCGCAGGCGTTGGAGGAGCAGCAGCAAAACAACGAATATGAGCTCCAACAGCTGAAAACAGAATTGATTGAGAAACACGAGAAAGAAATGCAGGAATTACAGACCGAGCTTGAGGAAAACCACAATAATGATTTGGCTGCAGCTAGAAAGTCTGCAATGGAGTCCAGAGCTAACTTTACCATGAGCATGGACTCGCTTGATGTTGAGGTATGGAGTCAATATCGTGATTTGCTCAAGAAAAATGTAAATATTTGCAGTTATCCCAGAACCAAACGTAACTCATCCACGTTCTTTTTATGTTTCATGCGTAGCGTGCATGGCAGGCATTGAAAGGGGTAGGGGATTAGGGGGATTAGGGGAAGAAAAAAAGGACGGGGATCGCACTTTTCTTCTCCTCCCTTCCCAAAAGTAACTCACCCACCTTCTTTTTCATGCGTAGCGTGTAGCAGGCGTTGAAAGGTGTGGGGGGAGGGGGGTAAAGGAGAAGCGAAAAGGGAGGGGGCATCGCGTTTTTCTCTCCTCCCCGTCTTTTATGCCTGCCACGTGGGCTATTTCATACCCCGCCAAGTATAATTTCCGGTCTCCGAGTTCTGTTTGGTAAAGTGGACTGTCTGAGAGCGTTTCCCTTGTTAACAAGTCATCAGAAGCTTGTTTGGTTTATTGTTGTTTATTAAAGGTTCAGCAGGACTTTGTTAAAAAGAAGAAGGATTTGGAAGCGAAATACGAAGAGCAGTTGGTGAGTAGTCATTATTTTTTCAAATATCTACAAAAACGTTTATGTTCCTGCTCTGGAAAACTTTGACGTTAATATCTCCAAAAAGAAGAGTCAAAGTTTTGAGGTTTTAGTTTGAGATTAAATATTGCTTTAGTTGCGAGTTTGAGTACGAGTTTAATTTTGAATCTGAGTTCAAAGTTTCTGTTCGAGTCTGAGTCTGAGTTTGTTTTCCAGTGCTTGTTCACGTTTGAGTAAATTTTAAGTCTCATATTAAGTTTGTATCAAAGTTTGAGTCCGTTTTCGAGTTCGATCCGTTTCAGTTTCAGTTCGAGTTTGGGTTGGAGCTGGGGTTCGAGTGCTTGTTCACGTTTGAGTTAAGTGTTTAAGTTTTAGTGTGTATCAAAGTCTGAGTCCGTTTTCGACTTCGACTTCGTTTTTATTTTAGTTCGAGTTTGAGTTGTACCTGGGGTTCGAATGCTTGTTGACGTTTTAGTTAAGTGTTCAAGTTTTAGTTTGAGTCATGTTTGAGACCATACTCGATTTCATTTGACTTCGAGTTCGATTTGGACCAAAGACTCTACACGACAAACATTTTTAACTCAGGCCTCACATAGGAGAGGAAACAATTTTTTTTCCAATTTTCTTGCTTTCTTCAGGAGTCCTTGCAAAATGGTTACGAGAAGAAAATTTACAAGATCAAACAAGACTGGAAAGAACAGGTACTAGTAGTCACATGTGACCAGTATGTACCCGACTGAAGAATGCCTCCTTGTAACCTCCCTGCCTCGTACTCAGACCTTTCTCCCACCTTGCGCAAAGGACGGCGGGACGGTATAAGTGCGGAACGATGCTTCGCTTTCTATTCCTTTCGTTGATGCCTTACGCCATGTATGTTTCCAATCATTCCCCTCGTGGCGCTAATCTCCCGAAACGCCTGTGGGAGAGGCTAGGAACCTCAGATATATAAGAGGAACCTGGGAAGTCCATCTGGAAATTCCTCTGATAGCCTCGAATTTACAGAGTAGTAATGTGACCATAAACAAATTTGTTAAGCTTTTCAATGGTATCATATTTTTGTACAAAATGGTATCTATAGCTTTCTTTTTTTAATATACCGGGAAACATTTTCTTAAACAGTAATTAATTAGGCTTTAGTACGATATGAGGAACTGGGCAAACATCAAAGGTGTTATTCGCCTCAGCCTACGGCTTCGGCATACAACGCCGTCCCTGATCTACATAATTCTTCATATCATCACAGTCTCAACCAATAATAGGCTGATTTAGCGACAGAATGGGAACGTCAGTTGACGACGGCGCGCGCAAATCAAACAACTGGATTGACCAATGGCAGAGCCGTAAATTGAGCACCGGAAGTCGTGTTTAGTCCTTTCCGCGCGCTTTCCTGTCGTCAACTGACGTTCCCGTCCTGTTGCTAAATCAGCCTAATAAGTGTTTAATACTCTTCATTAGGAAACAAAGGAGAGATTCGACTTGAGCGAAAAGTGGGAAAAGGAGAAGAGAAACTTATCTGAAGAACACAAAAAAACCATGGCCAAACTTCAACAGGACGTGGAAGCTGAAAGGAAAAGACTGCAAAAAGAACACGATGAAATGGTTAGTTGTAAAGATAAACTCTTCATCATCCCACACACGAGCGTGAGGAAAAGATGGAGGAAGATCCAAGAAGGCGGATCATCCGAGCGGCATATTTTTTCTGTATTCAGTTTACATGCAAAAAGTTGTACTTGTCCCTAGCGCTAGGATCTTCCTAGCTGAGAGGTAGGAAGATCCTAGTAAGACGATTTTTCTAGCACCATGTAAACTTTGTTTTCGCTAAGAAGATCCTAGTACTAAGAACAAACCAAACAAAAATGGTGGTTGGCCATTCTGTGGGTAGTCAATACAATAAAGGCCGACAGTTTCGTTTGGCTGCTGCTGAAAGGTAGTTATTAACGCTAGTAAAGAGAGCAGAAGTGTCAAAATTGCATGTTTGTTATTGTCGCTGGCATTCTTTAATTCCTCCTCCACTTGGTAACCACACGGACCGACATTTCTGCATGTAAACCCAAAGAAAAGTTGTTCCGCATTCTAGGATCTTTTGGGTGCTAGGATCTTCCTCCCCCGCCCCATGTAAACAGCCCCAAAGAAAAACATCTTACTCCCCGACGTGTTTTTTTAAAACCCCTACCTTTCCACCTGTCTGTCGGCATCCTTAATGTCTTCTTAACTTTCGCACTGAAATTCGCCCTCTAAAATCTCAAAAGCAGAACAGACTTTATTGTGGAGGATATTTTTATCCGCAGGAAGAAAGAATGAATAATGGTCGAGACAATCTTCAGAAGCAACGCGAAGATCTTGAAAAAGAAGAAGAGGAATTGTTAGCCGAGGTAACGAAACTAAGGTCTTACTTCGCAAGAGTGGCTTCTTATCTGGAAAACAAAACCAAAGCTATTACAACCAGTCGATCGCACAAAACTGAACTGTACCAACTGATGACTGAGCCATCAAAACTTGCTGCTACCGCAAGTGTCAAGTGCAGGAAAATCTTCTTAAGATACACCGTTGCAAAGCACACCTGGGATGCTTAACACTTACACAAACCAACTCACTGGTTAAAAATATTCAACAAGTTAAATCGAGTCTTTGTGACAAGGAACCGTAAAAAAAATTAGCCAAATCAGCTGAAGAGACAAAAAGCTAGAAATAATGCATCGCCTCAAACTACAGCCCATATTTTCCTAAGCCGAATACCGTGAACCATGTGATTTGCCCATCTTAATTTTCGGTTTCCCCACGCAAATACGTAACCCTATTCTCGCTGTTCAAGGGTAGGTCGTGATGAATAGAAAATTTTAACTTATGTCTTAGTCTTGCTTGATTATTATGGCGTCCAGATTGCGCAAACTTCGATTGCGTCCGATGTAACTCGATAGAAAGCGTTAGGGTTGGGGTAGAGAAGTTTCTTTTTTTCAGAAACCCTATCTATAGCACCTTCCTAAGTTTTCGTATACCTTTCAAAAAAGAGTTATCTAATGTTTCCTTTTTTTTATTTTTAGCGAAGAGAGTTGGAGGAGAATCGACAGCAGATAGAGGAGGAAAGACGAAGATTACTACAGCAAAGAGAGGTAATAAAATCGTTACTACATTTATTACTTGGTAACATTGTTCCCAGCTGCGGGGTATCATTATTGCTACGCTTTGAGGATAGCCACGAAATCTCGCACTATTTTGTAAGGAAATCGAGTGCTCAAGATCGAGGTTTTTAGTAGTTTTGGAAGTGATACAATAAAATTATCATGTAAATATAAAGAAACAAAGAGGGCTGGTTAGTGGCTGGTTCCCGAAGTTATTTTCTTAAGATGCGGATTTCAATAAATGGCTTCGGGCCCGTAAAGGTACCACGGGACTCTGATCTGTTTGGATCCTGTTTGCGTCTATTCTAAATGGCCAAATAGTGACGTAATATGGCGACACTAGGCAAATCGGCCTAGAATAATATTTTAAATAAGTGTAGTTACACATAATAGCTAAATATAACAATACTGAAGTTGCTGAAAAATGTCGTCCGCAACTAACACAAATATTGTAAAAGCAATTTCATTTTAACTCACTGCGTTCGACCAAATGAAAATAATTTTCTTCAAAATCCCTTATAAAAATAATAAACACAACGGGCAAACTAGGTTTGTAAGTCACGTGAAGCCAACATTATTTCAGTCATAGTTTTCTGGGCTTTTTAAAACATTTTTATCGTCTGTATTTAAGGCCCTTTCTCGAGCCGGCGAGCAGGCAGCGGCATCGATAGGAGAGGACGAGACTCTTGCGAGGCTACAATTAGATGAGGTGAAGGCGGCCATCTCAAACAGTGAACAAGAGCTGGCTAAACTGAATAGGTATGTGTGTAATAGGGATACAGTAAAATGCTGCTTATATGCGCCCCAACTTATAAGCACCCCCAGATATAAGCCCCCCGTCCAGTTTTAGGTCCTTCTTCCTGCATATACAAAGCACATCCGGTTATAACCCACTCCCCCCCACCCTTGGATATTAGCCCCCGTTCCAATTGCATTGACGTGAATTCGATTTATTGGGACGTTTTCAAGCTTACTCAAAAATCAGTAAATGCAAAACATATTTTGATCGGCACTGCTATAGCTTGTTTTAAAGCGCGTTTTCTATTCCGGTTGTAAGCCCCATAGGATACAATTCCCTCCGTTTATAAGCCCTAAGAGTGATCAGCATGAAATTTCTCCTTATTATATCAATGCTTTAGAAAACAGGGTGGTCATGAGAACTGAGTACATGATCAGGGAAGATGAGTCTAATTGATATTTCAACAAATTCTCCCCACTACTTCTATTAAAAAAATATAGGGACGGTAAATGAGAATCTCAATTTTGATATATAAGGTTAGGGTATATATAGGCCCCCCTGTTTATAAGCCGTCCTAAAACCCCTTACGAAGTTGTATAAGCGCAGGGCTTATAAGCAGCAGTTTGCGGTATTATGGTATTAGGGACCTTAAGCAAAGACGTTTTTGAGCGACGCACGTCAACCGGAAGTGAGGCCTTCTCCCTTTTTATATGCCTTCACGCTAACAAACTTGTATTGCTGAGTTTCTTTTCTCTTTTAAAGACGATTTACCCGAGTGTTTCAACCAAAGCGCTCCCCAATGATGCAAAAAGTCCACTTCCGGTTGACGTCCGTCGCTCAAAAACGCTGTTGCTTAAGCTCCCTATTATGGAGTCTGAGTGAATCCTATTAGAACAGTACTAAGCAATGCCTCTGTTGCTGCATCTCTGTACCTCTTTCTGCAAATCATTAATGTCGATTATCAGGAACCCAGCGATTATCAAATTTGTTAAGGACGTTAAAACACAGTGGAGGTTTGTTGTATTTTCCTTTCTCTATTGGAACTTTTCCATAAGGAGGACAGAGAATCGGTCGTTTAGTCGTCATTTTGCAAAGTTGACATTATCTTGTTTATATTTGGTTTCAGACAAAAAAGAAGCCTTGAAACCGAAGTGGACAAGCTCAACTCTTCCAAGGCCGAGCTCCAGCGTGATATAAGGTGAGCGACAAAGTATAGCGATGGCCGCAAACGGTGTTGATGCAATGTGATTTCTGCCCAGTATACACTGTTTTAGTTGGTGGAGCGTTGGTCTACGCATTGGGAGGTCGTTGGCTCAGTTCCTGGGGCAAAGGTCGTTGGTATCGCTACGTTGTTTAAGACAAGAGACTTTAAATTTTTTGGAAAAATATTGTTTGTACCACATATGTCTACCGCTCATTGCCAACCGTCACATTCCTTTAACCTATTCGACCCTAAACCGTCCGTAGCCGCCCGTGCGGATCCACGTCCCTTCTACCGCTTGTGACACCGTTAGTTTTAATGGTCAAAGAAAACGTAGTCAGCTAACTTGTGCAGGGTAAAGAGATCTTTCAGAATGAGCACAATTCCGCAGTCAAGGAGGCAAGAGAGAAAGGCAGAAAATCTTGTTCCACTACCCACCTATCTTTCCTTTCATCTAATCGTAAGATCCTAAAAGCTTTCACAAAAACTTTTCCCACCAAAAGGTACTGACCACCAAACGGCCGGACTAGCTTCAAAACGCGTTTTTCTGCAAAATTTCCGGGGGCGAATGGTTTAAAATCTTCCAGTGCAAAAACATACCCTGTTTAATACTCAAGACCCTGAAAACCATATCCTTTTTAGGGGCACATAGCCATTTTAGCTGAATGAGGGAGTACCCCCCCCCGGGACACAAACGGACTCCTCAGTCAATAATTCATGCTAAGTACATGAAATTAAAGAAAAGTATTTTTTTTTTGTCAGCCAGAATGCTCGCCCAAGTTCTCTATGTAGTGCACGTGTCTTTTCATTGTAGTTCTTGTTAACGTGTACTTTGTTTTTGTACTGCCCGTCTTTAAAAATAAGGATTCGAGCAAAGTTTCCATCAGCTTTTTACATGAGTATTACATGTTCAAGATGCTCAGGGAGTTCTTACTATATTTTGTCTTTAACAGCAATCTGACAAAAAGTCTAAAAGAACTAAAGGAGAGTTGCCAAAACCAAAGCGAAGAATTACAAGATCTCTTAATTCAACGGGATAAAGTGCAAAAAGAAACAGCCATGAAAGAAGAAGACGCTCTAATAAATGAACGAGATGGTGAAAGCTCTCAGACAGCCGCTACACCAAGCAAGGACCGAGATGCGAAAAAAAGACCCAAAAAGGAAGTGGCTGATTTGGGCTTTGAGGATGAGGCCCTGCAAGTAGAGGACCTGGAACCTCCTGGTGTCGCTGCTGCTAAGGTAGGTTTACGTACTCGTACCCAGGTTCATTCCGGTTATTTTCGGCCGAGAGTGCGAATGCATGTGAAACAAAAGCTACGAGTCACGTGCAAAGGGGAGTTTGTTGCGTTCGTAACGGCAATGATGCGAATACGCATGCAATAAATCCCAACAATGTCGGCCCAACACTGCTGAGAGTTGTTGCGTCCGTGTTGGCAGTGGTGTGCATACCGATGCAACAACTCCCAACAATCTTGGCTCAACAATGCTGGAAGTTGTTGCGTTCGTGCTGGCAGTGGTGTGCATACGGATGCACCAACTCCCAACAATGTTGGCCCAACAATGCTGGGAGTTGTTGCGTTAGTGTTAGCAGTGGTGTGCGTACGGTTGCAACAAATCCCAACTATGTCGGCCCAACACTGCTGGGAGTTGTTGCGTTCGTATTGGCAGAGGTGTGCATACAGTTGCAACAACTCCCAACAATGTTGAGACCTGTAGTGCATCATGGGATGGATACAACCCATAAGACTTTGGAGACCATGTATAATGCACGTGCGTGGCCCCAACAATGTTGGAAGAGCTCTGCAAATGAATCCAACATTGCTGCGCTACGCGTCGGTGATCACGGAACAGAAGAAATGTTGGGATTTGTTAGTTCAAAAGTTTGACCGGTTTTAAACTTTTGCGCAACAAAAAAATCAAACTAACAAGTGCATAATACTGTTGTCTGTTTTTTCAGGCTGAGGATCGTGTACCATCAGATGCCAAAGGTAACAGTTTTTCTTTTTGTCTTTAAAAATAAATAAATAAATAAATAAATAACAGAAATTTAAAGAAATAAGCATAGAAGCATAAATTTGATGTGGGAACGCAAATTTAGTTGATGGAGATTTTTCTCGCCTACTTGTCAGGCCTACATTAATGTCTTCTTTTTCTCGTAGTTCATCCTGACAGCGATGATAATCTTTCACCCGGGGAATTTTCTCCGCGTACTCCAGTTCATTCGAGGGCAAAGAAAGGACGTGCACGACCCAGGGCATCACAAGAACCAGCTGCTGGATTTGCAAGAGCTTACGATTTAGGTAAGAATAATAGTGCTAGGATTGTGGATCGATTTTTGCTAGTCTTTAAAGTAAAACTAACTGGCGAACTGCTCTTTAGAGTATATGGTTCAGAGGAAGTTCCCCCACTACCCCTTCCCTAACCCAACATGTTGCTCCAAGTAAGAGAACGGTATAAGACTCTTGGAAACTGTTTTTTTTTTTGTTGTTTCTCCTGATTTCATCCGTTGTAACGGTTACTTTTCAGTGGACTTGTCATCAGACGAAAGTTCGTCAGAAGATGTACAAGGAACATTTCTCTACATGCAAAAGCAGGCTGAACTGCGTAACAGGTAATAGTTAAATACCTTCTAAAGTGGTTGTCTGTTTTTGCTATTCTTATTCTTGTTTTAAATAAACATATTTTTTGGGTTATTTCAGTGACTTGAGAAATCGTATTGCGATGGAAGGAGATGCCATCACTAGAGCCAAAGAATTCTTACGACGTCAACGGCGTTCCGTGCAGCGAAGACAGGTAAGCTTTGTATTTCGATTTTAAATTGAATCGTTCAGAAGAAAAAGTGACACACGCCGGTTTCTATTTTCACTGCAATCTCCTCTGCCGTTGCCGAGCTTCAGAAAAAAAGCTTTTGAAAGTTTATTATTTCCCTTTCTGGATGACTTTATGAAAATAGTTTGTTGGGTCAACAGCCTTTAGGCCTCCAATGTGTTTTTTAGATTTTTCTGACCAATACAGTAGCAAAAGACAGTACGATTTTTGCCTTTCGACCACGAATGGTTGGTCACAATTACAACATTGGCTTGCGGCATCTATTGGCCACCGATGTTGGTAATTTTTACAGTTGCACTTCCACTATTGTTATCCAACAATCTAAAGCAACAATGCTCGCATTTTCAGCAGTACCTAAAGATGGATTTCCACTGTCGCGTAATTTTTACGCGTAAATAAAGTAGTGGCAATGTGTCAAAGGTCACGCGTAAACGTAAAAGTCGAGCGAGGTTCAACTTTTACATTTACGCGTGACCTTCGATACGTTTCCTCTGTTTTATTTATGCGCGTACCCACGTAAACATTTAGCACGCGACAGAGGAAATCCACCCTGGCAGAGAAAAAAGTCGCCTCGAGTGTATTAAGGTGTAACGGCGAGTGGTCCTCGAGGTGAAAGTATACGACACGTTGCCAAGTTTGGCTCAGAAGATGACAATAATGATGATGACGATGACGATAGTGATGATAGATTTTCATCCTCACCTTCTTCCTCCTTCTCGACATCATCATCATCATCATCATCGTCATCGTGATTATTATTATTATTATCATTATTGTTATTATTATTATTATTATTATTATTATTATATATTATTATTGTTATTATTATTATTATTATTATCGTCGATTAACAATTCTTTTTTCAGGCTGCATTGGAAACTGCTCGAAAAGAATTAACCAGTGACATGTCGCAAAACTTTGCACGTGGAAAGGTATGCCAGTGTTATCGTAAAAACTATAAAAATTGGCGTATTCTTGGAGAAAATCAAGGCTTTATGATAATTACAATTGACTATTCAAACCACAATAACACAGTCACTGTAGAGTTGACCTTGTTTTCCTCTTACAGATTATACATCAGAATGGTAAAGCTAAGTGTTTTTTTTTTCCTAATATGTAGGCATTGTCCGGTCGAAGCGCTGATTTCCTGGAAGATGTAAGAGCACGTTTGGATGAGGTCAGTGAGATTAGACTTAAAACAAGTTCAGGTTAGACCCCAACCAATCTTGAAATGCACGCTCTTATTTTGGGTGGGAGAAAGCTGCCTCTGTTTATGTTCCGGTATCTCCGTAGTCGCCATCTTTGTAGGCTGATTTAGCAACAGGACGGGAACGTCAGTTGACAACGGGAAAGCGCGCGGAAGGGACTTAACGCGTCTTCCGGTGCCCAATTTGCCGCTCTTCCATTGGTCAAGCCAGTCGTTTAATTTGCGCGCGCCGTCGTCAACTGACGTTCCCGCCCTGTTGCTAAATCAGCCTATTATTTAAAACACGAACGACAGTGCTTCAAAAACGTCCCTAGAGTATTTCATCTCAATAGGATTGCTAAATGATGAATTTGTCTTTTTAAAACGCGTTTATGAAAAAAGTTAAACAGAAGCTACAAAAATAACTTGAATGTTGGGCTGAAATATTCATGCAAATGCATTATGCAAATCAAGTAAACAGTTTGAGCGTCCACTTGCCTTCGCAATACGCCTATCCAAATGAAAGAAATTTCACACTCAATCGGCTGCACAAGAGGAAAAAATAGTTTGAGTAGAGTGTCGCTAAATCTAACTGCAACGCGTCGCAATGATCGGCATTTTTCATGTAAACTCAAAAGTGCTTCTATCGTCTGGTTACTCATTTGTTGCTTTAAAAAAAAAAACGAGGGGGAACCCGGTACAGTCACTAATCTCCCGAACGATTTGAACTGGCACTCACTAAAACTGAGACGCACGACTTACCACCATGATAGTGAACAATAAAATCAGGGTCAATATTCCGGAATACATTTCACGCCCAACCCGTGTTACATGCTGTTACCATAGCAGCAAGTTTATAAATATTGTTAGTAACAACAATTACAATTTTTTTCACTAGAACTCTAAAAGAATGGAACACTTTACCGTCCTTTTATTAGAGCAGCCTTCCGTGGACGCATTTAAATCTTCTGTTACTAATTATTTTAATCTCCCTCATTGATTTTATACATCGTTTTATTTTATTTATTTGTTGTTATTATTATTATTATTATCATTATTATTATTGCACATTTACAGTGATGGGAAATCTTTGTGAATTATAACATATAAAATAAAGAGTTTATCAATGTCAGTTTACAAAGACTGAAAAGCCCATTGTATTTCTTCAATCTAGGAAGAAGCGGAGCTTGGAGTTGTGATGGACAACATGACCGCTGGTCAAGAACTTTTGAGACAGAAAGAAGACAGGCTCAAAGTAATGGAAAACGCGCTGCTCGGCGGAGGACTGGTGAGTAATTTCAGTCTGTTTGTAATCATTTCGTTTATTCGATCAAATTTTAACAGCCGGCTATTGCATATATGCCAACTCTCCTGGATACGGCACTGATCTCCCGCTCTCCCTTATCTCCCGGATAAAATCGACTTTTGAGCTTTTCTGTGCTTTAGTTTGAAATTTAGCTCATTTTTTCTTAAAATTCGAACTTTTCTATTCATTGTACGGTTTCTGGGACATTTTTGGACGTATTTAGTCACTGACAAAGATTGTTTCGTCATTACAATGATGAAAGCGAATTTTGATTCCCGTATCATAATTTGGCGGCTGGTTTAATTTGGGAACGAGGGGGGAAGGGGGCTGCGTTGACATTTAGGGGGAGGGCTAGTGCAAAAGAGAGAGTCTCCAGAGTTCAGATCTCCGGAGGTTGGCATCTCTGCTATCGATAAAGCCCCGTTATCACATTACAACGTAAAGAGTATCGACAATTCCATCATTCCCATAGAATTCCCTGGTAGAAGGCATGGTGTGAAGCCGATCGCTTTCAAAAGAGATGTGTTACGGCTAGCTTGTTCATTTTGTTCATCGATGCCAATTGCCCCTCCTTATTCGCTATCTAAGGGACCGGTCGTTATTTATCGCCTGGAGGGGGGCAGAGGATGTTGGGAGGGGGATCACTGAAAACTTTGGAAGGATTCAGAGGGGGGACCACTCAAATTTGCTTGGAAAATGAAGACATGGTGGGGGGATCGCGAGAGTCATCAATTACTACTAGGGGGGATCACTTCAGTGAAGTAACATTCAAAGAGGGGGTCGGCTAAATTTCACCTTGTTTAGCCCCAAATCCTCCCCCGCCCCCTCAGGCGATAAATAATGACCGGTCCCTAACCTAAGAAATCACTTGTCAATGACAAATCACAGTTTCGTGCCCAACAGTACGTCTCCCAAACATTATATCAGACGTTAAAACAACAAAAATGAACTTGAAAAACTTCTAGGCTAACAAGTTTTCATGACCACAATTGCAATCCGTTTCAATCTTCTTTTTTCCATCTGTGCCTCGTTTTGTATTTGCTTTATTATTTATATCTTCTTTTCATGTTTTGAGGGGTTATTTTTATGTTTCGCTCAGTTTGCTGGCGATTAGCTGAAATCAGTTCTTCGTGCCTTTACTCATATACAAAATGCTCCTGTAGAGTCATGAAGAACAAATTTCACAAGGGAGCACTATCCATAATAATTTTTGGTCGGTTTTGCAGGCATTTCATTGAAACTTGAAAAGTTTGGCCCAGAATTTTTAACTTTCAATCTATTTCGATCCTTGCCATGCGTTGCACGTAACAGATGACATGAAACAGTTTCCACGCCTAAATATAATCTAAAATAACAAAACTGAACGATAATTTTTTTAAATTCAATTGATGCGAGAAATGTTTTAGCTTTTTAAAAGATAGAAAATAGCGTGACAGAGCCCCTTTAATTGTTTTCGTTTTTTTTCCTCAGTCAACTGCCTCGGACTCAGAGGCGACTTTTCGTGAAAGCCGACACGCCAGACAAGCTCGCCCATCGGCAAAAGATAGATACCGTCCGCGAAAAACACCGCGTAAGACGTTAGACGATGACGACAGCAGCGGCATTAGCAGCAGCGACTATGGTGACGTCATAAGCGGTAATGTGAGGAGAAGTGACGTCAAAATCGGAAGTCGCCAGCCCAAGCCAGCTATTCGGAGGTATTCGGCTGGCGATGAGACTTCCGAAGCTGTTCAATACTCCCTGCAGCAGATCAACTCGGATCTTGCACGGATTTTAAGGTTGCTTAGTACCCGACCTCAAGCCTTAGTAGCTGAACCAGCCAGGCACTCATCAGGTGTCACGCAAGCGCCCTTTGTACCTGAGCCAGTCACACAACCATTTGCTGATTCATTCAGAGGTTCGCGTGTCACTTCCGCTTATCCAGAATCGAGACATGGCTTTCATGCACAGGCTCCTTACCAGCCTGGTCCTGAACCTTTATATTTGAGAAGTGCTGGTGGTCCTGTGCTATCCAGTCATCGAGGACAAGCTCATAATTTGTAAGTTGTAGTTTCCGCTTTCTATAAATACATTTTCTTTAAGGTACGGTCGCAATTTTTGTGACATTGCTACTCAGCCAAAACTACTTGGTCTAGCCAATCGAAACGAGATTTTTTTCTTCTTGAAATGTAAACTCCACCGAACTTCAAAACCAAAAGCAAGATGGTGTGCCAAAACTTTGGTAACGTGTAAGTTAAGTATCTTTTTATTTTTCGTTAACCTTCAAAGCAAATCTTCGTGTTCTTAGGCTTACGTTAAAATGTCGTCTTTTTCCGGTTAAATTACAATTTTGTAAGGTATGGCTCATTGTCGTTTGGTTTATCTTTCTACAGTAGTCGGGTTGCCAGCGCTCCATCTCAACTCCAGAATCCCTACAGAGCCCAAGGAAGCGCCGAAACACAGCTAGAACGGAAGTGGAAATCCTACTTTGGAGGTAAAGTGCGCATGTCCGACCACCTTCTCGGCTATATTGAGCCGTCACTGTTCTTTGACAAGCGTCTTCAATACAGTAAACACCTGCTAATGAGAACCTACTTTTTTGAAGGCTAGCAAAATAGGCTCTTGTATTTTGGGGTAGTTATTGCCAATTTAGGCTAAGCAGGTTCTTAATTAGGTACGTAATTGTTATAAAGGAGATAATAGACTGTTGATAACCAGAAAAATAAATAAACTTTTTATTTATTCACAACTGTATTATTATGACCCTAACGAAACTGATTACCGAATTTGTATACAGTTTAGTACAGTATGTTCTTGTACTTAAATTTACAACTCATAGTTACACACCTTTGTTAAATTGTTTATCATAATTTACCTGTAACCAACTCATAAGAACCTGCTTGATCTTGCTTGGCTAAACAGGTTCTTATATTTTTGGGTATTAAGTGCAAAATTTCTACCAGGAGGCTCGATCTAAATCCACAGGTTCTTATTAGCGGGTGTTTACTGTACCGTCTTTCAGTTGTCTCAGAAGCATATGCTTCTGGTTGTCTTTATAGCATCAGTTCTTTCCATGCCTTTTAAGTTGTTTGGTTGTTTGTTTTTTACATTTAAATCTAGGTCTGTTTGCTGCTGGTGCTACGTTGAGTTTTGAGAAGATATCTGACTCACCAGTTGATGGTCTAAAATCGCTAAAATTCTTATTTCTCTCTTTGCAGATCAGTCACGTGATTCGCCAGCCTCGCTATCACTCGGACCGACGACCACGGCGACGACCGCAAGGTTTGAAAATTTACCAACGTTCTGTGTTTAATCTGACATCAAAGTTATTTTTGCTTTTGTTCTTAAGAAATCATCCTTTTATTGGTCTTCAGGGACCCAGCAAGCATCAAGGACTGGACCTCAGAGAGAGAATTAAGTACTGCTGAACGACTGCAGTCTCATGCGCAATGGCTCCGAAATTTCCGTCGGGACACGGGTCTCCAAGGTAACAACGCGAGCGGACTGGAGGAGAGAGTCTTGTCGTATCCTTTTGTCATTTTTTCGATATACAAGTATTCGTATAACTCTTTTACTTCTTGACTGAATTTTGGAGATGTTAATGTAGCCCTAACTTCTGAGCTTATCAAAGTAACAAGTCTTAAGTAGTACTTTCCGGTTATACTGTTTATTTTGTTGTACGAGATGGTTCTAACTTTTGAGTCTGTGGATGAAATCCAATGGTGTTACCATTCAAATGAAACCTCTTCAGCAGTACTTTCACATGGTACTATTTATTTAGTATGTAGTTCTACTGTAACTTTTGAGTCTGCGGATGAAATCCCACGGTGTTACCATTCAAATGAAACCTCTTCAGCAGGACTTTCACATGGCACTATTTATTTAGTATGTAGTTCTAACGTTTGAGTCGGTGGATGAAATCCTATGGTGTGACCATTCAAATGAAACCTCTTCAGCAGTACTTTCACATGGTACTATTTATTTAGTATGTAGTTCTAACTTTTGAGACTGAGGATGAAATCCTAAAGTGTGACCATTCAAAACCTTTTTGGTAGTACTTTTACATGGTTCTTTTTTCCTTTCTAAAACGTAACAACGAGATCCCTCTCGAGACACCATTCAAATAAAAAAACGTCCCGGTAATTAACGGTCTTTCTGTGTTTGACAGAAAAGAGCGAGAGTAAGAACACATGACTGGTACTAAATGTTGTACTTAATTCTGAAAGTTTTTATGTCCCTAATAATCATCCTGGTAAATATGTTTTTGTGGATGCGATTTGTCCTCATTACTTAACTTTCTTTTGCTGCCTTCTTACCGCTGCTGGCACGTGTTAAGACAACTCATATCACAAGAATAGAACAAACCAAAAGTAAAATACATGAGAGCCCTTCGTATTTGTCTTAGTTTGGGCTTCAATAGTCCTTCCACTATTTGACCTTTGGTATGCGTTTATCCCGGTCCCTCCCCCCCCTCCTCAGTGTAAGTTATAATATCTTAGAATTTGTTGTTCGGGTGATTGCATCCTTAACCCCTTTCTAGCTTTCCCGCAAACCAACCACCAACGAGCAGCTTTCAAACAGATCAAGGAATGCCACGTAGTCGCACATTAGGGTCCAGGCCACTTCGGCTGGCCCTTAGTGACAGTAATCAGATTCGATGGGTTTAATCTTTTTCAGTTCATTAGCCCTTATGTTAACACCATAAATTCCCACCTAAAAGTTGTACAGAATACACTCACATACAAGCAGTGAACAGCAAAGAACTTTGTCCGCAAACCTTGAGGCTTGGTGGTTGAATTTACCACTCCAGAAACTTTTAGGGGAATGGTTTTAAGCTTTCGGCGCAACGATTTCTGGGATCGTGTGGTTGGCAAGCGTTAGTTATGATCGGTTGATGGTAGTCAAGGCAACCATTAACCAATCATAAGTAACGATCCCAGAAATCATTGCGCCAAAAGCTTGTACCCATTCCCCGTAGAGATTGTGGAGTGTTCTGACGTCAACATGGAAACAAGAGGTCAGAAAAAGAGGAGGTCAGAAAAAGGACAACTCAATACTACTAGGCTGGCCATTTAGAAATACGTGACTTCATTGACCGTATCGACACAAATTTGACAACAAACGGAGTGTTAGCAACTGTATAACGTGTAAAAAGGAAAGTAGCCAGTAAAATGTTAAGAGAATTAATTTATACTGTTGTAGTGTGCCATTTTTCTGAAATATTACGCATGCGTTATACAGACTGTTGATTTGAAAAAAAAAAACTATGACCGCTTTCTTTTCTACCACAGCATTTTCCAAATTTCCGAAAAAGAGGACAACCTAGCGAGGTATACCCAAATTTTCTCCCAGAAGTTTTCTTTCTTTTCAATTTTGCTCCCCGAATCTCTAGAATTTTTGGTTGAATAGTTCGGATTCTGGAAATTCATCAGTTCTCAGACTTTCCCTTGAAATTCCCTCACCACTTGCAGCCGTTTCCATATTTTCGGACGTTTTGGTCGAATGGAAAGCGCCCAATGTTTTTATTTTGTTTTGTGTAGAAAAAAGAACTTAAAATCCGTTTAAAAACTGGAGCTCGAAGTGCGAGAACTTTTTGACCGACACGTGCAGTGAAAGTTTTAACAGTTTCAAAATAGGTCCCCGGAGTATTGCTTTTCTACTATTATTGGTTAATGTATTGCGTGGCATTCAAAAACGTGGAACAAAATAACAAAGGTTGGCGCATATTAGTTATTCAAATAAACTGAGAAATTATGTACACAGTTCAAGCGTCTTGGAACATTTACCCTCAAGATGCTTTTATTCAAAAGGAATTGTCCTCTGGTAGAAACAGTCCGAAAGGAAAGAAATGGCTAGAGAAAGTGAAAAAAAAAAAAATTAAAAAAAAATTATCTGCAACACGACAAATGGGCACTCAAAGTTTTCACGGATTGGCAAAGTGGTAAGAGTTGTTTGATACTTTTATATAAACGTGACGTCTTCGAATAGTTTTCGTTTGTTCACACGTTTCCTTTTCTGTTTAAAAACGGATATTGCTTTGAGAATTGGCCCTGAAACATCCCCAAATCTCCCTCTACTCCTTTGAAATGCGGGTAGACGAAGCTGGCCCACCAGGTCTTCCAAACAATAGGGGTCTTAAGATCCGAAAGACACGGCAATGAAAACATCAAAAAGGCAATAGGTTTTTAAAATATGCAAATTAACTTTGCACGTGCATCACACCTTTTTCTACGATTCTTTGCCGTCACTGCACGACACCGGCGTGAAAATGCCAAATTTCACGTTTTATGGAAGACCGAGACAGGGGACAAAATTTTTTTCTTTGTTAACTATACCGTTATCGTTCTTAGGAATTCGAGAGTCCGTCACATTTAGGGCATGTTCCACTTGGCACCACGAAAAGCTATACGCTGTAGTGTGAATGTAATGAATTTGAAACAAAGGAAAAACAAAAATTACCTGAAATAAATTAACTGCAACATGAACACCTATCCGATATGTGACTTTCCACTTTAGAAATCGGCGCAGCGCAGCGCAGCTTCGCTTGGTCACAGAAACGCCACAATCATTCTTGTGTGTGAACAGAGGCTCTATCCGGTATGATTTTAGAGGCGGCACAAAAGCTTAAAAAAGGATGTGAGTTAGAATAATCGCGATGAAGATTGAAAAAAGGGGAATTCACTTTTTAAGCCAAGTTCTCTCCACCGCCGCCTTTCTGGGATCTTAAGGTCCCGATCTTCTTCGGCACATTCCTGAACTCGTTGCAACCTATCCATGGGGGTTTTTACATGGATGGGGGAGGATCCTAGACGGCGGAACATTAGCTTTTCTTCATATAATCGAGACCTAAGACGGAAGGATGGTTTTTGTCTTTCGAGAGGGAACCAAAAAAATAATCAAACCAGTCATGGTGTGAGTGCATTTATTATGACACTAAACGACACAAAATGGTCTTTAAAATCCTGCATAATACTAAGGCACATTTTCAATATTTACAAAGTATGTATAAAACCTCGCGCGAAAAGAATAACCTCCTCGAAAACTAGGAGTTTGTCCCTTAAATATAGCTTTACAATAACAATCAATTTTAAGTTACTGATTCGGTATTGGTGTTTGTCCAGGGGGGAGGGGTGGTTGAGCTGGAGGAAGAATATGTCCCCCCTTGCGTGATAAAAGTGTTATTTCATCCTTTAGAGCGTCTATTTCTTGAGCTTGCAGTTGCACTAACTGAACCAATCGCTGTCTTTCCCGTATGTCTGCTTTTCGGCTGCCGGTAAACTCGGTTCCCTGACAACGAGAAAAAAGCAAAAGAATGAAAAAATTTATAAATGATGATGATTACTAGCAATAAAAAAAAAAATCACTTTTGTCACCATTTTAATATCCATGAGGTCTAGTTTCGACTATTAGCAAACGAGGAAAGAGAGAAATTTTTAAAACGTGACAGTGCTTAACTTTCAACCGGGTCTGGAACAGTCATCCTGGGATCCGGGATTTGACCATAATACAGTGCGGGATTCGGGAAACGTTAACGGGATACGGGATTTGACTGCTGCCCAGGAAACGAGATTCGCCAAAACAACGAGGTTGGGAAAGAGAGCGATACTGGGGAGAGCAATGACGGAATTTCGGGACGCGGGATTCTCCGCGGGATCAGGGCCTCCCTTTCCAAACCCTATTTTAAAAGATCATACTCGTAATCACGCCTGAAGATTCCAAGATACAGGATTGGGAAACAGAGCGATATAAAGGAGAGCATGGACGGAAGTTCAGGACGCGGGATTCTCCACGGGATCAGGGCCTCCCTTTCCAGACCCTCTTTCAAAAAATCACACTCGTTCTCAAGCCTGAAGATCACTAGAAAGACGAAAACATAGCAGTCGTGACCTACGTTAGGGTTTCTCCATGACAACCGGGCTGGGTCCCATTCCGAGATTTCTTCTCTCCACTACTTCATTCGTAGCAATCTCAATGTGTTCATATGAAAAGGACGGCTGGGGCGATTTTTTTCAACCCCATTAATCGGGACTAGCTGGCGCTCATATTTTATGAGGCCGTGTCACGTGTCTAGCTCATTCAAAAATGAACTTCGAAAAATTGTTAGACGAACAATTTTTAAAAAAAAATATGTCGATCCGTTCTTTCGTTTGTATTTCCTGTGTTATTTATACCTTAACTAATATTTTGAGCAGCTATTTTTATGTTTCACTCAGTTTGCTGGCAGTTCCGAGTGTTTGAATTTTTCTTGATTTAAAGACCATTATCAAACACTCACCAGTGATTTCTGTCGTGAGTTAAGCATCTGTTCAAGTTCTTTCTTCTCCTGAAGTAGTACAGTGTATGTATCCAGTCTCTGAGTGTTTTTACGCGTCAGCTGGGTCACGTTGCTCTTGTACGAGTCAATCTTGCTCTGAAATTGCAACACATGGCATGTAAAAAATTGTGGCCCGAACCAGCAGTGGTAAAGGGGGCATTCGCTACGTTAACAACGCGGCAAAAAACCTGAAAATGCCATCGCCACCTGATCGCCATGCCATGCAATATTGTACCGCAAGTCAAAATGAAATTGTATCCAGATTTTTCCGCGTTCTGCGGCTACAGAGGATACTCGCTATCACAGTCTCTATACAATAAAACCCTCGGTATAACGACAAACATTCTTCGCCTTAGTAATAGCAAAATGTATGGAAAAAGAATCACGATAAAGAACCCTCGTTATAGCGGGCATATCTTGCCACTGAGTTCCTCGAGATCCCACTGTATCACAGATAGGCAGATCGCCGAGAAGTGTTATAAGCCGAGGCGAATAACACCCTCCGAGGATCAGCATATAATTCTTCATATCATACGAAAGCAGAATCCAAAAATTGCTAAATATTCAACACCAAAGGCCAACTACCGAAAGCAATAAATCTTTGTTACAGCTGATTAATACCACAAAATATTCGAAACTGCGAAACCACAATCAAACCTTTTTTCGCCGTATCTGCCCTAGATCCTACGATAGTCCACATATGCCATTTCGCGGTATTATAGATTATCGTAAGTCTATGGCAAGTTTTAACTTACATTCCATTTAGCGATCTCGGCAGCGCTTTTAGACTCCTGTTGTCGCAACTTTTCCTTCAGTTCCTCCACAGTTCTGTTCACTGTTACAGTTTCAAGCTTCTCCAAATCCACAAGACGGCCAAACTTTAACATTAACATATTACGAACTTTCTCCTCCAACTCGCCGATCTACAAACAGAGACATTACCAAGTATAACCATTAGTCTAAAGTTTGAAATACAATCATCATGTAGAATACTGAATGTCAGGGTACTGGGTATCCTGTGATCAACATACTTTGGCTTCCTGTACTTTCTTGTCCCGGATAAGCTGCACATGCGTCTGGCGATGTTCCCTGAAGAAAATAAGAGATTGTAAGCATAGTATTCTTATAAGCTTAAAAGATTACCAAGAAACTCAAGACAATCTCGGATTAAGAATTTCGGTCTGTTTGAACACAACAGAGAGACTGGTAACTAACCAGTCTTCGGTCACTAACCAATCAGAGCTTTCATAGCTCATATTAGTAAATAGACCACACTCCTGAAGGGAGACGTGCAATGTGCCAAAAACATTTAAAACATGTAATTGCGCGCGACCAGAGGAGCCCGCGATCCAAATCTTTAGGGTACTATTCGTTTGGACTTCCACTATGAATGAGTGGAATGCAAAGAACGCAATCCAATCACGCGCGTTTGGACCTCCTATCGCACGAAACTAACGCACAGCACAGAGTTGGAGCAAAAGCGTTTTGACCTTCGATCGGTCCCGCCTGCCGGCACTCCTCAATCTTTGGTTATTACTAGTACAGTACTACAAATACTTTTATCGCAAGAACCTCGCGAAGTGAGACGCACTAACAAATTAATGTTCTTTGATCGCGATTTTCTTATATTGATGCTACTGCTCCAAATTGCTTCAATGCTCCTTGTAAAATACTTTTACCGACGAAATGTACCGCTAAAACATTTCTTGATCGTCAAAACGGCCGCAAATACAGTTAAACAACGGACCAAGTTTGTCGCTTGGTGACATCATTGCGGATACCAACAGATATATCACACAGAAACATAGAAATATATATGGGCCACACGAGTTTGCAGGCCTCGGGAATTCACGCACGGTTCACGCGCTGCGCGCGAGAAGAGATCGTAAACCTCCCTTGGCGATGCATTATCATTAAGATACCTGTAAAGTCGTTTTTGTTCGGCTTTCTCTTTTTCCAGTTCCTTAATTCTGTGTTGCAGCCTGACCAACCCTGGGCTGTTGAAAACCAGACACTGGGACAGATCTTGAGGTAGCGCGCTGTTTAACATGTACTGGATCTGATGAAGTCTTAGCACAACAACCACATCCAACTCGTTTAGCTTCTGCTGCTTTTCACGCTGAAGCATAATGAAATTGGTGTAAACCGTAGTTTTGAAGCATGAAAATAGAAGGTCTACAAGGTGTGAATGAACGCACCTAAGCTGAACATGAACCAAAGGTAACCGATGTAATTATATGGTAAATGTACTGTATTTACGGTTTGCTTCATCTATAGCGGTATATCGCTAATTAGTAAAATCCAACTAGTGGTCTATTATCAATGCTGCGTTCTGATTGGTTGAGCTACTACTAGGCTATATGTTATAGCCCACTTGTAGCGAAAAGCGCCGACTTTTTGGCGGCAAAAAAAGGATTAAAGTCTAGCTTTAACTGGCTAAAGTTATTTTGTCTCGATATTTTTGACGAACTAGTTGGATTTTACTAAAACAACTATTCCTCGAGCCCGAATGGCCTCTGAGTCAATATTCGGCCTTCGGCCAAATGGGCTATTGACTCACAGCCCATTCGGGCTCGAGGAATAATTGTTAAATATGCCATGTATCAATGCTAAATAAACGTTGTGTTACCTTACCTTCGGTAAATTGTTCTCTTTTTGCCTGAGACGTGGTATTTTGAGCAATTTTGAAGAATTTTAAGGAACAGCGAACTCAAAATCCGTCACAATCGCTCAAAATACCACTTCTCAGACAAAACGAGAACAACTTATCAAAGGTAAGGTAACACAACGTTTATTTAACTTTGATACATGGACATGTTTAGCGATATACCGCTACAGATAAAGCAAACATGGACAGATTGTGTGAGCCCCCTGCGAATAAACCATACAGCAATGACACAGCCCCTTTGACGGTGCTTAAACAATTACGGTGAGCGTTATATTACTTATTTCAAAGAACTGTAGTAAAATGGGTTTAGCCGACCATATTAGTGTATTTTCCATTTCATGATATTTAATGTAGCTAGCGATAGCCTTTACCTGGAAAGCCTCCAAGTCAGCTTCAGCCGTTTTAAGCGCGCTGTCGATAACCTTCGCTTTCTTGACGAGGGCGTCATATTCCTTTTTCAGCGACTCGCTTGTTTTCTTTTCTTCTGCTAACTCTTCCTCCAGGTCTAACCGACGCTCACGAAGTTGACAAACCTTCAAAGAAGAAACAAAGTTTAAAAGTGAATTTTAAAAAAAATCTGAATGAGTCACAACTCAAACAATGTCTTGCACGTAGCTGGCGACGGTGCCATTTTCAACGACCTTTGGTCATGGCAGAAGTAATATATTCTTTGGATAAAGTTTAAGTAGCTTTGGAAGGAGCAAGTTCATAAGTCCAAGATGAGTTTACGTTAAATTTTTAGTAAAGACGAAGGGCTAGGGTCACCTGTTGTAGGCGTATCAGTTATGAAAGACAGTTTATCATATCATGTACTTAAATTTTTCGGAATTTAGGCGTCTCTGTGTGGTAGTGTCGTGGCCAGGGAGAGAGATAAGCATAAGAAAAGGCCCGGTTTTGATTCTGAGTTGTGAACTTCTTTCTACTTATTAGAAAACACTATCAATGACTGGTCAAAAATTTCCTAAGTGTCTTTAAAATGGTAACGACAGTTTATGAGAGGGAAATAATAGTTAATAATAATAATTTAATATTTATATTGTGCAAAATACATGTAAATATGATCAAATGCCCATCGAAACGGCGGTCATCATCCGCTCGAAACGGCGGTCATCAAAACAACCGTCAACACTGCCACTCTCTGACGTCATGAGCTTTGCAATTTTGCGCGCCTAAAGACTTCTGGCGGGAAACACTTTTATCACGATTCGATGTCCTGGTTACGTGACCTCGAAATAACCACTGAGAATGCGCGCTGTAGGGAAATGATACTAACTTAATATAGTACCTGATCAAACAGCGCCTGGTCACATCCAGGAGGACACACACTGTCGTCTAACTCCTCGGCATCCGAGTCCTCTTCGTCACTTGACGACAAATCTTCGTCGCTGTCCTCCTCGTCGCTTTCCTCATCCGAACCTTCCTCGGCCTGAGCCTTCTTCTTCGCGCGCTTAATCTTCTTCTTAAAAACGCGTGTTAAGAATGACTCGAACTTGTTGTTCTCGCCAAGCGCGGCCGAGAAAGTTGTGTACAGCGCTTTTTCCTGTTCTTGAAGCTTCTCGATGTCTTGTTTCTTGGAATCAAGTTTCATTTGACAATCCTCTACCTAAAAAATCGATAGAAAGGCGGAACCACGAAACTGTAATGTTTGCTCATGAAACCATGGACAAAACTTGTATCTATCTCTAATTGCCTTCAATCACATTTGGCAAGACTAAACAAACTTCAAGGTCATCGCAGGTACCAAAAATCTTGAAATTCACTACTTTGGGTCCCCTGTCCCAGGGCTGTTACTTTGGGTACCCTGTGTGCGATGCAGTATGATTTCTGAGATTGACGGGTTCAAATTTGTCTTCAAGAATAGGGCCGCACGGTGCTCGGTGCTCGGGGAGTTTCGTTACGAGAGAGCAGTCCCATTTAACCTATGCATTTATATCATCACACCTTACAGAAAGCCTACTAGGTTTTCAGCAGAGTTAAAAAAATTGTCACCCATTACTGAGAACACAAATTCCACGGATTCCTTTTGTCTCACCTTCTCCTGCATCTCGTCTTTCTCACTGAGTTTTGTGTTCACTTTGTTTGCGAAGCTATTTTCTCTTTTCTCGAACTCCTTCAGTAGCATAAACTCTTCAAACAGAGTAACTTGCCTGTCGAGAAAAATGTACAGAAAAATCTATAAACCGAGAAGATATTCACATAAAGTGGACTTAGTCTTTATTTTGTTCAACAGAATGCGTAAACTTTTATTTTCCCTTGGCTACAATCCTCGCTTTTTAAATCAAAACTCAACTCAGCTAAGTAGAAAGCCCTTTTTCGCGCGCTTCGCATCAGTTTCACATTTCCCACACTAAGTGTAAGTGACGCGAAATTCCCGCCCTTGGAACCTGTCGCAGGTTTTCCTGCTTTGGACGCTGGTGTACAAGTTATCTACTTAGGCAGCGATTAGCCAACAGTAAAGGCTTATCTACTGCACTTAGCGTAAGTAGCGCGCTTTCCCGCGGTTGCAACCTGTGGAAGCTTTTCCCGCGATGAAAGCTGCGAAAAAGACATCTACGTAGGCAGCGATTAGCCAATCAAATTGGATTATTTATTTCTCTCCCACTAGCTAAGCCCGCCCTAACCAAACATTTATCGTACGGGTCTCACCTCAAGTCAGCACACTTAACGGCCACTTCTCGATGCATTTTTTCGTGCCTCAAGTACCGAAGATCAGCGTCAAACTTCTCCAGTGTAGTGTTGATCTTGTCTATCAAAACATCTTGTTCATATTGCAGTCTGAAGAAAAGAGGAAGGGAAAAATTAGGTCAATGTTCCCGACGATTCCTCGTTTTACTCACGGAAATAAAGGAAAAAAACGCTTCTTAAGTACTTGCTAACCGCAATGGCCAGTTAAACCACGATTGATTTTCCCGCTATTGAATCCTCAACCCTTAAGGCATAGAATTGTAGAACATTTCAAGATATGCTTCATTAGAATTTTAATACTCCTTTTCATTTTAAAGCTAGAGCTTTTTTTCCACGGGGAGTGTTGTGCTCATTCTAATTTAAGTCAAGAGTGGAACATGATTTATAGTTTTTGTTAGTTCAAATCCATTCACTTTTAAAAAATATATGGTTTATAGGGGAAGGTGACTTCAAATGCCGTGTCCGTAGAAAAAACCCCAAAGTGCGACAAACGGTACAGATGTTTAAGTTTCCTATGATAATGTTTATTATATTCTACTTCAGTACCACACAGTAGTCTTGAGTCTATATAGAGAAGAAATTCTAGCCTCATAGACCGTGCATTTGAAGCCGTTTTAGTATTTCATTATAACGCTTTTTTCCTGTTTTCCAACCTGATTTGTTCTTCGTATGCAATCTCCTGTTCCAAGGCAGACGGTTCCTCGCTGACCTCTTCTATCGCGGGCTCAGGGGTTCCTTTGTCCGTTAAGGTACTCAAACTGGACTTGGGTCTCCCAGAGGAATGCACAGAGACAGACGAGATGGATCGGTCCCTTTGCTGTGTGCCTGGTTTACTGCCATGAGGAACATGTTTTGAGGGCTGAAACATGCAGTGACACGTGAGTAAGCCTTAGATTGATTTTGAGGTAGACGGGAGAAGGCGCTTCGTGTCATCTACGTCTGTTCGGTTTCACCTTTTTTGTTTGTTTTTTAAACACATCTGGTGAATGATTCTATACTACAAAAGTGTGCAAACTCTCATGTCCCTAAATACATAACTGAAGGGACCACTTTTTTATTCGCCGCTTATTCTCTACTTCTTTTATTTTTATTTACTGAAAATGTGCCAAAATAAAGACTGTGATAAAAACTAGGAACTCTACTTAGTCAGTGCTAGATCATTGACAATGAGCGCGGACCGTACTTTCCTTCAGCTTGAACTAATACTTGCCAAGCTCCCGAATTTCTCTGCAAGGAACAGACCTCCTTGATGATTAAACACTGTATGGCATGCAGTAAAGAGAATTAAATATTTTAACTCACCTCATTCCCTCCCCCGCCACCAAATCCACCGAATCCTCCACCAAAACCTCCTCCTTGCTCTTCTCCTTGACCTTGACCGCCCTTGTTATCTATTTGCTTCTTGAACTCCAGCAGCTGGTCACGTGTATATTCAAGACGCCTGTAAGTGAAGAGGGCAAAGTTCTTCAATTGGGTGCAGTAAAACCAAAGTAATTACTTTGGCCAATAGTCACAGAGAGAGACAATCCAATGAGCCAATCGAATTCGAAGGAAATACTGGTCTGAAGAAAAGCGCGGGAAAACGTGTGCAAGTTTCTTCGCTTCGGATTAGCAGAAAGGTTGATTGGCAGAGAAAGTACTGCGGGATTTTTGAGCCTATCATAACAATTCACGTTTGCGTTTTGCGTTTGTTATCATTTTCGTACCTTATTTGTATACTCGAAATATCTTCTCATCTTTCTCGCAAACGTTCGGACAAAATCGGAAAAGATCACAAACATTCGTACAACCTTCTGATGACGATCAAAGAAGAGAAGACACATCCGAAGATCTCACATTACTTGGAAAAAACTCTATTTTCTACCGAGAAAAAGTCAGAGGTATTTTCTCATGAATTCTCTGAAAATGGGAAAAACAAAGCTAAGACAAATTTTCAAAGGATAAAAATTAACTTGGGACATGTTTTAACTAACGTGCGCACGATCTCAGGGCGCTCGACGTTTGAAAAAAGTCCTGATTTTCAACAAATGAAGGAAGAACAGCCAATACAACAAAATATATTTCGAAATTAAAAGCGTTCAACTTATATATTTACTTCACATTTAGTGATGCTGGACTCAGTCCGCACGTGCGCGCGCGCAAAAGGACAGCAATTTCGTCAACAATGTAAATGAAAACGTAATCCATGGCAACCGTAAACAAAACTCAAACGGAAACATTTCTTTCCGGCACGAGTTGAACAAAAAACCTCGCAGCACAAGTTTTAACCTCATTTTCAGTCTAAAAAGTAAAATGCCGGTGAAAGATCTGCTGGCGAGAATTGAAGAATTAAGGGATGTGATGACTTCATGCCAGGAGAAAATGTCAAGTCTAGTTAAGGATTACCAAGTAAATGTTTTACAAACTGCCGCCGTGATCGCAGCGGCTAAGATAACTGAGGAAAAAGCCGGGATTGAAAAGAAAAGACAGCGCCTCAGAAAACAGATCGAAAAAGAAAGAGAACGGAGCCAAGAAACTGTCAAAAACGTTTGCAGCAGCGCAGGAAAAACCATCGAAGCCTTGATTCGCGATCAAGAAAAGGAACTCCGCGAAGCTGTCAAATGCGCTGAACAACAACAGGAGGTGAGGATTTAGCGCTCGTTTTTTTATTGTATTTGCTAGCCTTTTGACTGGCTAAATACCCACTTCAATTAATCAAAACATATGCAATAATAACTTACTTAAAAGTATTTTCAGAGCCCTCACCAATTTTGGGGTTTTCGGTCAAGTCGCCCGAAATTTTGAGAAGTTGCCCGAAATGATGGGTTATGTCGCCCGGAATTTTATCACATGCTCAACAACATCCTATCATCCCTTTTACACAATTATCCTCATCATCACTTAAAGAATGAGATGTTACACAGTCATCCCACTTTTTTCATCCTATCATCGCTTAAAGAACGAGATATATTACAAACACTTTTGATTCATCTTTACTTCTCCTTGTAGTACACGTGTTAAAATTTCGGGCGATATAGCTCAGCATTTCGGGCAGGAAGACCTTCGGGCGACTTGACCGGTTATCATTTCTGATATTTTATACTACAGGTGTTTGTTTGCTTTGAATACTGACTGCTGAAATGGCTTGCTTTGTTGACCACAGAGAGGGAAAACTATCTTCAAGTTTCTAACCTTTTTCCTAGCTGAAAAAACTTGCGGGTGAATAAAATCTTTATCGCTTTAGGTGGAGATAGCGGAAACGCAAGCGAAAACCGATCAGAAAATTACAGACAGGAAGCGTAAACATTCTGCGCTTCAGGAAGAATGTGATGATTATGAAGAAGATTTCGAATGCGCAGACTGCGGAAGACGAAGCCCTTGCATGTTTATGTGTGACCAGTGCCACGCAACCACGTACTGCAATGAACTATGCCAAGAAAGAGACTGGGACAATCATCAAAAACACTGCACAGCAGAAGTTGACTAAATATTTGAAGGGTTTCTTTTTTTAAAGAAGACTGGTAGGATTAAGATAATTATTGTAATAATGCTTAGCTGTTTCTCTCATTTGAGATCAAAAATAGAAAATCACATGCCCTAAATGTTATTGAAAGAATCAGATATGGACAATTTTAATTTCCGGGTGAATATGTCCCTTCACTTTAACATTATTTTCTGTTTTTTTATTGTTTTTGTTTTTGGGTTTTGGTTTTGTTTTGTTTTTTTTTTTTGGGATGGTGGGGGGGGGGGAACGGATCTAATAACAAGTTTTCCCGCCCCCGGCCCGTTTGAGCGTTCCCGCGCTTTGCAATCGCCCCATGCACCCTGCTTTGTGTTTGTGTCCGCCGAATTGATACCTTTCTAGTCAATAGAGCGTTTTCATTCACGTGGCAAACAGCTATGCAAATCTTTTACGACAAAAGAAGGCGTTTACACAAAAAAAGAGTTAAACTCCCACGGGACTGGCTTAGGACACCAACATGGCGGACGTGACTTCATTTGAACGGCTCTTTAAATAAACCTACCTCTCCGGGCACTCGTCGGGCATCATTTCGGGAATTTTAGGAATGGTCCTTTTAGAGTACGGGTCGATTTTACGCTGTACCTGCTCAAGTTGGGCAACGGTTTCTTTCATCTGAAAAAAAGTCACAGTTCTTAGAGAATTTATCCTTATCTTTGCAATGGTTTGCAATTTTCAGTTAAGGAAAGGAAATTCAGTTTACAGGGGAGAGATTATATGTCTCCTTACCTCTTTAATAATCTTCACTTTCTTTTCTCGGAGCGCTAAGAAAGACTGGTTAAATTCAAACTTGTACTGGTGAATCTGAAGAAACGAAGTACATGATTAAGTTTCAAAAGAGGTACTTCGATATTTCCGTAAACATTTCACTCCAATGTCACCCAAGACCAACTGTTTGTACTAGAACTATTTCATACACTCTGGTTTTCTGCGATACAGAATGGAATCACGGTTTTCAGTTTGGCTTCGTCTTTGCCATTTGGTTTGAGTTTGGGTATGTTTTGCAAGAATGTTCAAATGTTTACTATTTTGGGCTTAGAGAAAGTAGCAACAATATTCTAGGGGTTATGTCCTGACTAAGTGCAATTTGACACAGTACAAACGAAATTTCACGTGGAACCTCGAAATAGCCGATTTAGCCCAATAATTCCGAGAATTCGAAACACGCTCGTTACATGAAGAACATCACGCGAACCAGATAGTGTCACAAGCATATTAGTAAGAAATTCCACAAGGCAACATTTACCTGGTCTAGTAAGTTCAAGAGCTGGATTCTTTTCTTTTCTGCATTCACTCTTTGACTTTCAGGAACAACGTAATCCTTAGCGGTTTTCAGTTTGTAGTCCCCCATATTTTCCCGCGCTTCTTTGATTGCCGCCACGTCTTTCGGATCCTGGTAACCTTCGTCGGGCTTGTTCCGATATAATTCGTTCCACTAAAAAACAAAAATAACAGAAAAGTCTTGAAGAAATTCATGCGGCTAAAAGGTATCAAATAAATTTTAAACAGGTCATAGACACAGCCAAAAAAGTTCAGTATTATAGTTGACGCTTTCAATGCTTGTCAGCCATCTTTTCAAACTAAAAAACGACAAAGGTGTCAGAAGCATTAAATAGGCTCTTGTAAGTAAATCCTTATTCTAAATCCAGACTCTAAATTTAACCGCTCCAGTGACTGTAGACAGTGTATGTTGATGACAACGACTAGCATTTGGACAAATGCGTGTTTTCCCGCGTTTTCGATCGCACCATGTTGCTTTGAATTCTGATTGGTTTATTGCTCTATTCACGTTTGCTATGATTGGACAAAAGATATACAGAGTGAAGGTAATGTACACTGCTGAAATACTATATGTTGCTAACAGTGCCTATAAACATTTGGACAGGCACATGTTTTCCCGCGCTTTCGATTGCATGATGTTCACTGCTCTATTTACGGTTGCTATGATTGGACAAAATAGTTGGCACGTTGAAATACCTCGGCTTGTCTGGCAAGTCTCTTTTGTCTTCGTGCCTCAGCTTTTGCTAATGCATTCGCCACTTTACTACCCAGCTGGCCCTGCGAGGTCGGTGCTTGTTGCTGTTGTTGCTGGTTTAGAGTTATTTTTTCTTGAGTCTGGCGTCTCTTCATCTACATAGAAAACAACAGTTTTAACAAAAATGACTATCCTTTTTTCACTCTATTACTCTGAAACTTGACAAAAAATAAGGTCGGGATGTGGAATCAATAAGCAAACGGCAAATCCACTCCGCCTAGATAAAACGTTTATAGAGGTACCTAGATGTGGTACCGTTTATTTCCCTAAGGGAGGAAATTCCAACTTTGACGATTTTCCACCACACAAAACAGTTCCTTGTAAGATACCGTATGTTCTTGGCCCCATTTTCATTCGTTCGCGACGAATTCTCAAAACTTCACAGTTTCACTTAATTCGGAATAACAAATCGATCTACGGCGGCGAGTTTTCCTCTAAATGAAAACTACGAACAAATTCAAATTTTGCGTAACATCCACGAAGAAGGTTATCAAGCTACAAGAAACAGGAAGATGAGAGGAGCCTGCAAACGAGTTTGACGTCATCCCTACCTGAGCTGAGATTTTAGTGCCACTTGAAAAGCTTTTTCTCCCCAGTCCTCCCCCGTCGGGGCCTTCTCCATTCCCTTCCGCTTCCTGTAGTAACTGGTGAAGATAATCTGGTTTGGACGCTCGGAAAGTGGCGACCAGATGAGGAGTGAGAAAGGCGCGCAAAACGATGCGGTCACACTCGATTTCATCTTTGAATCTGTCGAGAGATAAAGAAATTGTTTCCTGACCACGGCTGTCCTTCCTCCTTATAAAATACTTTGGTACTTTGAGATTTGCGTGAGAATAGAAATGAAACTTGAAAGTCAGCCGCATTATCTTCCGCGTTGCTGGTCAGTACAGGAACACTTATTAAGGAAACTGTCAGAATAAAGATCATTGAGACAGCCGACAATCTGGAGCCTGCAGACTGGGTTTGAACTCGGGGAACCCACACAAACTGTGCGAGTGTTTGCATTTTTGAAACCTAGCGAGGCTTAGAGCCGTACGATGCACGCCTTGAATCTGGTTCCAACTGCAGGGAAACGGGAAATTGTGTCAAGCGTGGGAAATCATAATTGTTTTATAATTCAGTCATGGAGTTTGTTTTTTGATTTCACGCAGGAGCGATCGTAAGAAGGAGAAAAGCGTGGTTTCATTTACACATGGACAGAATATTATTTGCAGCCAAGCACAGTTGGACGACATTGCGCACGAGCAGACCATTATTTGTAGGCAGTTATTTGCAGGTCACGTGGTGGGCTCTCGGCCAATGAAAAGGAAGAAAAATTTGCATCGAATGATAATGACAGTTACGGACGCGTTAACTTTTATAAACAAGCAAACTCAATGACAATGAGCCCAGAAAAACTCGTTATGAGTGTCAACGGCAGGAAAGCGTACGCAAGTCAACTTTTCAATGCTTTTCAATACTTTTCGGGACTATTATTTTAAGAATTCTATGATAAGATGTGTGTGCAAGGGTAGTTCCTTAAGAGTAAGCAACCCCTTGCGGAATAAACAAGGGCCTACAATTTACACTTACCTTTTCTGTAGTTTTCGCAATCCAATTGAGTGTTTCTCAGCTTCCCAAGCCATCTCTTTTCGAACGAGCGCAATCTGGAAATAAACAAGATAAATTTTGAACAAAAACAATAATCAACGTTCCAATCATCTTGCTCACTAAGGTAACAAAATAAAAATAATAAGATAAGTTTCTACCTTATTTTCCACCTCCGCTTTTTGTTCTGTGATGAGATCAGGATCAATTTCAAATTCCTAGAAAATGACAGAAACCACAATGAAATCCGCCTTGCTTCAAAAATATACTAACCGCTTTTACTTTACTTACAAAAACGGCAAAATGACAAAATCATCTACAACCGATAAATTTTTATTCGGAAAACACCAATTAACAACTGCGTCGCTGAGTGAAGGTGGGTGCCCGGGATGTCCAGGGGCTTCCACCTTTGGCACAGCCAGCCCCTAGACAGAGTTACGCCCCCATTGCTGTCAAACCCGCGCCCTCCAGCCATGAGCCCCCACGCCAATGGAACCAGGCACCCGTCACACTGATTTAACAGTGGAAGAATTAAGGGGTGGGAGGGATGGGGGTAAAAGAATGATCCAAAGGCTAAACGAAGAGAATGGCCGCCACGAAAACACTGTACTGAGCACATGGAGACGATGCAAGCAAGGCTGACCGCGCTTGAGCCAAACGACTGACTGACCGATGACCACGCTCGCGCTCCTTGTTGTTAACTCTGTTAAATAAATATTTATTTAACCTCATATAAAAATTTGTAGTTACAAAGAGATTTTTCTTGTTTTTGTCTTGTTTTCTTGTTTTATTTAGTACGTAATTTAGGGGTCAACCATTCGACTTTTGAGGTGGGGGGAGGGGGGAGGTATCGGTGATTTCGAGAGGAAAATATATCATGCACCACGCGTGGGGACGGGGAGCATTGCGTGGCCGTTTACGCACGACCTTCCATACATTGCCTCTAATTTGCGCGAGTACAATTTACGTGCGTACGCGACTGTGAAAATCCACATTAGTGTCATGATCTGTTTCTTGAACATTGATCTTCAGAACTTACAGGAATTTGATTACTTACGTCTTGCGTCAGTTGCACATGGGAAGGAAGCTTGTGATTCTTGACCGTTAATTCCTTGAATGCTCGTCTTAGGTTTACTATCTTGCGACGGATATTCTGAAAAATAAGAGAATATGGTTCATTTGAGCTTGCTAAATCTAAAATACTAAGTATAGAAGCTAGTGTGACTAAAAACTTGACAGGAATACTAATTTTTAGAAATTTATACTAAAGCAAGAGACAAAAACCGCAATGGGCAACATGAAAGAGTTCCACTGCAAGCAGGCTCACTGGTGCAAATTCGGGAGAGAGACAGCAAACAAGCGAGGATTAAGTAGTGGGTGCACTATTTGCCTTTTTGCTCCACCTTCGCACTTTCCGAAACAATTGCAATTGCTGGTTCTAGACATTTTGTACTAACTAACAACACAAGTCTTTTTTTCCCTGCAATTGCTTTCTGTCATTCAGTGAGTAAATTGTGCAGTTACGGTCCATGATAGTGCAACCAAACACGATTAGCAATGACACTGTCATCTCTTCAGGTGTAGGTAACAAGAGGACTATATCCTCACAGAATTTCATCACAGGAACGATTCGCGCGAGCACTCGAAGAACATCACACTCGCAGTTCAACAACAACAACAAACACAACACAAAGAAACACAAAAAAGCAGCTGTAGTAATCACCTGTTTTTTCTCCTCGGCCAATTTGACCATTCGATCGTGTTCTGCTTTCTGTTTTTCAAGTTCGATGCTGTAGTGATTTGGATCATCGATATCATCAATTTTCTTGACAATCTCTTCACCCTCTTCGCCTATCAGTTTCTAAAAGGTCAGAAAGAAAAAGGCAAAATGTAAGCTTTAATTCTAACAAGTTATTATACAAGAAATAAGAAATAATTAGTTATGTTTTTGAAGTAGAAATGCTTTATTAAATATAAAATTTATTTGACGAGAGTGACACCTAAGAGAATTTCTATGAACAGTGGAAACTGCACCCAGGTTGAGTGTGAAACATTAAAATAACTGCTCAAAATATGAAAAGAAGGTAAAAATAACACAGCATAAAGAAGGCGTGGGTGTACAAATTTGAAGAAGATTAAAACGGATGACATTTATGGTTTTTGAAAACTTGTTAACCAAACAGTTCTTTAAAGTTCATTTTTGTTGTTTGCAACAATCCTCGGTAGACATATTTGTTTGAAATGAAGTTGTGATTTTGTTTCTTCACTAAAGTTAAGATCCGTTGCGAAGAAAGACGTGTAACTGGCAAAACTAACAAATGAACTAGACAGGCGTGTCAAAGTCTCTTTTAGGGTTAATAAGGACCTTAAGGAACATCGACGAAGACGGCAACGAAAACGTCACTTGAAAAGTGAAATCGCGCTGCTTCAAACTTTATCGCACTTATTCCATCTCGTTCAATCTCGTTCAATTCGCCAAATGTTGGCAAAATTGAAGCTGAATTCTAAAAGACTGTAGCGAAGTTCAAGAAAGTCGTTGTCTTCTGTTTACGTCCTACACAAAACGTGAAATTAAGCATTTTCACGTCGTAGTCGTGCAGGCAAAGAAACTGATGTACAAAAAAGCGTGATGCACGTGCAAGTTGTTCTTTTGCCAATCTAAACCTATTGTTTTTTGCCGTTCTCGTTGCCCTTGCCGTCGTCGTTGCTTAAGCTTCCTACTCTTACCTTTGGCGAAGGAATGGACACTTTATGTGGAACTTTAAGTCCTTTTACAGCTTTATCCATGAACTTAAACACGAAGAAGTTGCCATCCATACCGGCGGTGAAGACGTACTTATCATCGAAACTCGTCTTGATGTGTCGGACTGCGCCATGTTGATTGTCATGTACGTTGAGTGCCCAGTAAGAGCTTAAATGTTCGAAGTCATTCTTTCCGTCCAAAGGGTGAATTCGGACCACGCCATTTTCCATTCCAAGGAGGAGGAATTTACCTGAATGACTGAAACAAAAAGAAAAATAAAGTTACAGATGCTGAGTTTTCAGGGGGAAGGAGAGATAGGGGATGCTTTCTAAATGGGTTAAATTTGACCTAAATTTGGAAACCGCTGAATTTCTCGCGTTGGGTCTTCGCGATTTTGGTGAAACTCTGTTGAACGCAACGCACTAATGCACACTATATGTAGCCGAGAGATTTTTACGAAAAAATGCCGGCAACAGCAAAATTTCGACTCAGACCCCAAAGAGGCGTGGCACTATAACCACGTGACATTTACTCCGATCGCCAAAAAGTTTATGCTATATGGTAGATTGATCTATATGTTATCCATGCTATATGTTAGACTTACGATGAAAATAAAGGTGGGGATACCAGAGAGCTTCAAAGTAGGATGGTACCCCTACAAAATACCTGGGTCGAGTCCCCTTAACAGCTTGAAGTTAATACAAAACAACTACTTCTTTACTTTCGGTGTCAATGTATTTAGCACATAGCACTTATTGAAGATACCGTGTTTAAAATTTCCCCTTGTGGGTGCCACCGCTTTTGACAATTGTACATAGTCATCCAAGCCAAGCGATGGTTCATCTGTTTGCGAGGCAAAGGCGGTAGCTTCTTCCTCAGTTATTTTAAGGCCCTGAGTGTTGGTCCGGTCCTAAGAATCTAGCCTGCGACTTCCTGCTGTGCAGGCCAGCGCTCTACCAAAGAAACTAACGCTTCTACAGTTATATGTTTGTTTGGTAAAATTGGCGCGTGATTATGTCGACAATCAATGAGCATAGCGCTATAAAATCAAAGCAGTTACAAAATCACTCCTGGCGCAATGCTAAACCTTTCTTAATCTACCCACCTAAAACACACAGATCTGATTGGTTTATCGTCACTTCCGTCCACGGGTATAGACCTGATTGGTTCATCTCTTGTGTCTTCTTGTCCTTCCGCGGGAGCGGGCTTTTTGCCTTCATCAAACTCACATTCATAAAGGTACCCTGCATCCCACCCACCCTGAAATAAAAATGCAAAAACACAACGATCAGAGGAACTTCAAAACAGGCTCCTTAAACCAGTGATTTTGTTACCTTTGCGTCCTGCGTATTTGACGCATAAAAATCCTCAAAGACGCAAAACAATTCATGGCATGCACCCTGTAGAACGAACGCAAAGATCGACCCACTGATCTGAACATGTGTATTTGTAGAAATATCCCGTTCGTGTAATTCCTGTGGCAGTTATGGATGTTGTTTAACGATGCATATTTCTTTTAGCCCCTTTTGTTGTGCTTTGAAATAGAAGGACTATATTTTAATTTCAGTATACTGTAATACAGAGTTTTGGAGTGCTTGGTTACATAAAGGCCCAAGCATTTTAAGCTTCGGACTCGTTTTTTTTTTTAACTGGGACTTGTCGGTTCTGGAATGGGACTCATAATTTTTCAAAAGATGAGTCCTAAAACAAAATCACTGTTAAATGCTGGGGAAGAAACGATGGAGCCAGGACTAGTCCTACGCGGTCTTTCTCTCTTCCCCTCCCCTACTCCTCCCCTCCCCTCCCCCCTTGTCTCCCTTTCTGTGGTCACTAATACCGTTAGTTACTCACAGATTAAAACTGAAGCGGTCAGGTTAATAAACGTTACACCTAACTTGGATTCGAGAGTCTAAAATAGATTTATTAAGAGGAGTGTTGTGTGGTTATAGAGAAAAATAAGAAAATTGGAAGCTGTGAGAAAGAAATGCACTAACAAGGTTATGACTAAACGTACCAAGACAAAATATGAGTGGATGAAAGAAACATGTTGGACACTCAAGGCGAGCAAGGGGTTCATCGGCCATTTTGAGATGCGTCAGAGACTGGGTCAGTGTTGTCTCCAATTACACTATGGACTGTTATTTATTGACTATTAGGAGGTTACGCAGGAACTGGTCAAACCAGTCCCATGGTGCAATTCAATAAACCACTGACCCAGCCTCCACCACGGCCTAAAATGGTCGATATGTGACACACATCCTGCAAATTTTGGGGATAAACAGGGCTTGAAAAAAATTCCCGTGTGATCGTCCAGGGCAAGTAAATTTTGCTTCTTTGGCAAGGAACTTCTTAACCTCACTTGTCCAAGGGTCCAGTCGGTAAGTCATCTGGTAACTAAATCATTAGCTAAGGTAAGGAAGCAATGGACCTGTGAGAGCTGCTTGCCCAAAGGACAAGCTGGAATTCAAACTTTTTTCGAGCCCTGAGAAATGTCCCAAAATGAAAGTTGTGTGAGCAGGACTCTTGCGTGGTATAGTAAAACTCGCTGTGCATATGATAATTAAGGGTGAGAATTCAATTGAAAGCTTCTCTTCTCCTATTTTGCTGCACATTTTTTCTTAAATGAACGTTGAGATTATTAAACACCACTCAAGGCTATCAGGAGGCCATAACCTGTAGCGAGTGAGCAACTCCCTTGTGCCCATGCAACGGCGTTCTCACAGACCAGTTTATTTTTAAATCCATTTTCCCGCCAATTTTGAACAACAAATAAGTCTTATAAATCAGTCATTAAAAACTGGAGACTAGAAAAAAAAAAGTATTTCTGATGTCTTGCTAGCATTTACTTTTTCTTTTTGTAAGATTATCGTACTATGGGTGCGCACGCATGATGGAATGGTACTTCCATTTTCGCGAGGAAAAGTGCTCAAAAATCATGCTAAAAATAACTTGATCTGTGAAAACGCCGTTGCATAAGCTAAGTATGGGAGTTGCACCCTCCTGGTTATAGGCGCCGGTGGCTGTACATTGAACAAACATCCTACTAAAAAGACCTACCATAGACACCCAGAATTTGTCTTTCTTGCCATAATAAAATCCTTTGATGATTTCTCCTGGTTCGCGGTGTTGTTCTTCCTCGGTTTCCTCGCCCTCTTTCTGTTCCTCTTCATCTCCTTCACCTTCCTTCTTCTCTTCTTCCTCTTGTTCCTCTTCATCTTCTAAGCCTCGCGCCCGCCGCCGGGCTCGTTCCTCCTCCTTTTTCTTGCGCTTTTCTTCTTCTTCTTTGGCCTTTCGGGCTTCTTCTTCAGCTTTCTGAAGATCAGTAAATGTCAAGGTCGGGTTTGGTCAAACATTCTTTGCACTTATTTTTACTTTATGAGGTCAGCATTAAAATCTGTTTACCTCAAGAAAATAGACACATACATACTAGAATTGTGAACTGAAATAGTCCAGTGGACTCTCTCTCTCTTTCCTACAAGAAGGACATCTCGGTAAAATGGACATCTGAAATTGGTCCCTACCTTCCTTTACACCCCTTTATTTGACCCTCCATAGACGGACATCACTGTTAGACAGACTTGATACTGGCCCCAAAGGTGCCCGGCTGTCTTAGGGAGAGTTCACTGTTGAAGCACTCACTCTTGGTTCTGCCACGCTTTTTACGTGACAATTGTAGAGTCGATTACTAACAGCTATTCAGGAAATGATCTCGCACTACGCCCCCTTCCGCGCCGCTTCTTTTAATGCTATTAGGCTGATTTAGCAACACGAGGGGAACGTCAGTTGACAACGGGAAAGCGCGCGAAAAGGACTAAACGCCACTTCCAGTGCCCAATTTGCAGCTTTGCCATTGGTCAAGCCAGTTGTTTAATTTGCGAGCGCCGTCGTCAACTGACGTTCCCGTCCTGTTGCTAAATCAGCCTATTGTCTTTGACTACAACGCTTACCCTGAGTTTATCCTTGACACTTGTGAAGTGGTACTCCTTGGTCTTGAGATTTGTCAGGGGTAGGTGGTAAGTCTTACTTGTATCATATTTGCCAGGCACGGGAGCCTCCACATGAAGTACAGTTCCATCTTTACAGCTGACGAGTATGCCCTTCGGAACCTGGTGAGGAAGTGTAAGACATCACCACTTAAGAGACGAAAAGGGAACTGGAGCCGAAATGCATCAAGCAATCGTTTCTGGGATCGTTACCGGGGACGCGCCGGTCCATAGTAACAATCCCAGAAGTCTTTGCGAAAGTTAATTCGGGAGAGTTTCCCTCTCGTTTCTCTCGTTTCTAGAGTAGCGAATTAACACGATTTGCGCAACCTCGTTCCAGAGAACCTGGGAACGAAGTTGCGATTTCAATAGGCCATTTCCGAGTTATAACAGGCCCAGGCCTCTATTTCAAAGTGAAGCTAAGTGCAAAGCTTTCGATATGAAAATACTTTTATTTTTATTCTCAAGTAAATAAAACTCATTCTCATCAGAAAGGTTTTGCACTTGGTCTCATTTTGAAAGTGAGAATTTTCGAGCTCGGAAATCGCCTCTTTTTCAAGCTTCTTTTCGCAATAACTTAAAATTGCACGCATAAACGCGGCGACCATTTCTCCTTTTAATTAAACTTCCACAAATTATGTATTATTTATTTCATACTGACTTTACTTGCTACTACCGTACACACACTCTCTTGTCTTCGCCTTCGCCATCTTAATCTGTGTTAAAATACTTATTGTTTTATAAGACAAACACTATAGATATATAAACTCCGCGACGAAAGATCGAGATAATTCACCTTTCCTTTCTTTTCCGACCATTCCATGGCGACAACCGGGGAGGCAGTTTCAATAAAACCAACGGGTTTGTAAGTATCACCAACGGTGAAGAAAAACACTGTACAGTCATTGCTCTGAAAAGAATAACATCTCCATGTCAGTGGAAAAAAATAGATGGAAGACAGTAACATTACTTCATTGTTACATAACTAGTACTCTTTTTGTTGGAAAACCAAGATTTAAAGCAATGTCCACCACAAATGTATGTCAGATTTACGATTTTCGTCCACGCGTGAATAAAGAAATAATAAACGATCATCGAAAACGACTTCTAGTGTGGATGAATTCCTAAACAGATAAATATCGTTTAGATTCGTGTGGACATATCCTGAGAAAAAAAAAACTTGAACATACCTAAAAACACGCGAAAGATTTCCAAGGACGTCTAAATATTACGTCCAATGTTCTAACGTTCTCCCAAAAAGGACAAATTTTACATCAGAGTACAAAGATTTTTTTTTACTTCTATTTACATTTTGCTCAAAGGTGTGTGTGTGAACGACAGATTTACTGTTTAGTTTTTTTTCTTTTACTTCTTAAACGGTCTAAAATTACCCCGGTAGCCAGAAGTTCGCCTTGCTCATCAATAGCCATAACGTTAACTGCTTTTGTGTGAGGTTTGAAGACTTGTTCGAGATTAAGCTCAAACTTCTGCTTGGACTTTTTCGTCCGAAGCTGTGATGGATCAACCTTATTTAACGCCAGTAGACGAACCACACCATCAGCAAAACCAGCCAAGAGTTTGGTACCTGTTGTTTCAACCTGAAATACGGATAAGCGATAGTTCTTTTTAGTTTGTAAGTCTGTTTTGCTATAGAAGGTCACGTAATGTCACTCTTATAAGAGAACCGTTTCCTTAAGATTTCGTCTTATTCAAATGCATATGTATGCAAAATTTATTGTCTGCAAACAAACTATCGTATCTATTTGTGGGATATCGTGAAAAGTCACGTGCAACGCGAAAGAAGACGTGGGTCGAGATGCAGGGAAAGAAAGGAGAGCTCTCCTTTGCTCCGCCCCTCGCAGCTTTGCCACTCGCACGCGCGTTCTGTCGCACCTCGCTTCGCTCGCCACTCCAAACGGAGAGCTTGCGTAATAACAACCTGGGCCCGGTTCCTGAAAGACCGATTAGCATAAATCCAGGATTAAAATCTTATTCCGTTTTTGCATTTTACATTCCTATGCATTGCTTAGGGTAACATTTTGTGTTATCATTACTGTAACTCGTAGTAAATGCTCAGCAGTACTTTGTAACCTCGAGTTGCACGTTCTTAGACGAGAAAACTGTGCTTAAAATTTGGCTTAATCCTGGGTTAAACTTAACCACCTTTCGAGGAACCGGGCCCTGGAGATTAGGATTGCGGGCTCGCATTAAGACGGGCGTTTCTCCAAGACGGACACCGTGTTGTTCCTAAGGCTATCCGTCTTATATACAGGGAGTTGAGTGTATTTGAGAGGTTTTATGAATTAAACAACATAACAGCAACAAGAATCACGACTGGCCTCCCCTAAACATGTATGGGATTCTACTTCCCGTTCCTCTCCCCAGTCTTCCGGTTGAGTTAGCTTAACACTTACGTCTTTAGGTACCCATAATAAGCTGGAGCCACCTGAGTTGTACTTTGCTTGACACATGGGAGTCTTGGAAACATAGTCATACACTCGCACAGTATCTGCCACATAAAATAACAGTACGTGTTAGTAATAACTAAAGTAAATGTCTTGTAATTTGTTTACCCAACGGGAAGGAAACTCTTAAGAGTTAAAAGAACTTGTTTGAACATGTGTGAGCTCGTTCCAGATCGAACTATACATGTAATTTGGAAGTGTTGGTTTTTGAGGAGTGAGGAAAAAGTGGAGTACCCAGAAAAAAAAACTCTCAGAGCAGGGAAGAGAACCAGCAACCAACTCAACTCACATATACATATAATGTTCACGCCAGGATTTGGGTCCGGGTGAATGCTCTACCATGAGCATGCTATATCGGTATGTGCTGCTATGTAGGGAATGGCTTTCATTCAGTATAGTCTAGTAAAACAAACTTAAAGTTCCCCAGAATTAAACAATATACGGACAGCGCTCATTTATGTTCAGTGCTGCCAGCAGTGCCAGTGCTGCAAGCTTGTGGAACAGACTTTCTGAGGAGCTGAAAGACTGCTCTACCTTGATGTCTTTCGAAAACAAACTTATTGAAGTCTGTAAATTGTAATGGACAATCTTTAGCAATTCCTCAGTCAGTTTATCTTCAAATTTCATATAATCATACCGAAAAAGCTCTGGTATAGACTATAGATTCCAGAGTCCCAGTGGCACATCCTCACCCAAAAGTTCCTAAAGTAACCCCCCGGGAAGATACCAATGTCTGTTTGTCATTAGTTACTTACGATCTACTCCTGTTGTGGCCACAAAATGTGCTACAGGTGAAGTATCCAGTCCAGTGATTGGTCCAGCATGATATGAGTACATCCTTTCAGGGGCATGGCTCTGTGGCAAAGAAGAAAAGATGGTAAGATTTTCAAGTGAAGGCAGTAAGAAGTAAACTACTACAGTGGAACCTGATTTTATCATTGTCAATTTAACAATATTCCTGATTTAACAACCAACACTCTGTGTCCGATCTTAAGTTACAGTAAATTGTATGGAGCAGAATCTCGATGTAATGACAACCAGTTCAATGATATTCTTTCAACCCAAGCATAAAGTTTTTCCAATGACAACAATCAAAACCTCATGAGCGATTGAATGAACTGTGAATAATGCGGCATTTAAACATGGAACAGTATGTTAGATGGCTAAGTTTTAGTTAGAACCTCCCTTACAGTTGGTGGGTTTTTATCCAGAGCACTGTTGCCATATCTACCGCTATTTTCAAGCATAAATGTACATATTGTACACTGCAACATATACAGGGTATTGGTATAACTACCAGTATCAAAATGTCCAGTTTACAATCAAGCCAGGTCAAGTATACCCCACAAGATTCCATTAATAAATCGACTATGTGAAAAGTGAATCCATTAGTCATTGCCACATTCAAATCTGCATTCCTGCATGCATAATGAGCAGTGAATTTTTTACTTGAAATGAACAGAATTGCTGTGAAGACATTTCCATCAAAATTCAAGAAAAAAGAGGGGGTTGAAATTTCATAACTACCTCACGTGTGAATTCACTGCTTATTACGTAAGCAGGAATGCAGAGATGAATATCTGAAATCTACAACTAACGACGGATAAATTCATTAATGGCTTCCTGGGGGGTATGCTTGAACTGGCTTGACTGTAATAACGAATCACATATGTAGTACTGCTTGTAGTAATAAGAAAGATGATCTTTACTACTTACAGTGTGTGTAAATGACAGATCCAATTTCCAAATACCACCAGCCGCATCCTGAAACAAATTTAAACAATGTGACATGGGCAGATTTATTTCCAAAATGCATGGAGGACTTCATGACTCATACATTTTACATGTATGTTAATAAGATGATCCGATACATACCTGAGCATACCAGATGGGAGCTTCAGTGTTAACAGCTTTTACCATTGACATGAGCTTCACATCCGTTCCAACCTGCATAAAATCAAACATTCTCGCTATTTTACCGCAGTTTGTCATGGCATAGATTTGATTGATTGACTGGCTTGCAATGTACCTTGTGTGTAACATTGCATGCATCACAACAAACATGAAAATAGGACTCCCAGACTCAGCGAATGTACTACCTTATATGGCCTATACGGGGATGTGTCACTGGACAGTATGGTTTTTGTCCTCTCTGTCCTAAACAGGGTAAATAATTTTACGTGCGTCTGCCTCAAACAGGGAATATAATTTTGTACAAGTCTGTCCTGATTATGAAAAGGATGTTGCCTGCACAATTGATTTGATTTGCTTGATGAAATTTGTTTGTACTTCAAGTATACAAATTAAAGCAATGAGTACAATGTGAATTTGACGGCTTTAAACCAAGATGGTGTCAATTCTGTCCTTTGTCCTAAACAGGGTAATAAAATTGAGGGTGCTGTCCTACACACTCAGGCTACGTATTTTAGAATTTTTTTGTCCAAAAACAGGGTCAGGGTTTCAAACCCTCAGCGGCTGACCTATACCCAAGTATTGGTCAAGTAAACTCCCAGGCTCAAAGGGTTCCAGGATGTGAATCCTCACCTTTAGCTCATACATTGGATCCATTTCAAAAAGCTGTCCCTCCTCAGTAGTATCTGCGTTGTCAATACTCTCAAAGTCCCAAACTTTCACAAAACCATCAGCACCAATTGTCATGAGTTCTCCCTCATCCATGAAGAACTGTTCTATCATGCCAACGTGACAAGGCTTTCTGCCTTTCTTAGAAATTTCCACCTTAATTAAACCACCATCCCAGAGCAGCATGTTACCCCATTCTGAACCAGAGAGTACTTTACCATCAGGAAGTTCAACAAAGCCTGCATGTTACAAATATCATACATTATGACATAACAAAAGTAAAGAATATATACGTACAAAATATTCACTGCTTGCCCATGGGGACACGCTGATGAGAGAAAGCATGCACTGAATTGGTCAAGAAATAGGCCTATTTTGGTGACAATGTTAATATAAGAAAGAATGTGATATTCTGGCCCAACAGTGTGTGGGAGCTTAAGATAAAAGCTTTGTACATCTCACCTGAGTATGTGACACCTCACCCAACCCGACTGGGCTTACAAAAAAATCAACACCCTTTTTAGAGGGTTTAAAATATAGCCCCCCAAAATATTCCCCAACCCCCATGTGGGTCATTACAAAATAGTAATAAAAGTGTCCATAAAATGAAAATGTAGGTTCCTGCCTTCTTTCCACTAAGTGGGCTGTACAGAGCTATTAATCTTATGTTTTTACCTTCCATAGACACTTTTCACGCTTTAATCCTTTATGTCTCCATTCCCTACCCACCTCCCTCCCCCCCCCCAAAAAAACTCTACCCTGTAAAAGAATTGGTATAAAAGACACCAACCTTCTATATCAGACAGCTCCTTTGCACCAAACTTTCCAATCTGTCCTTGTAACTTCAGCCCAGTGAAGGTGTTTGCCATTGTCCAGAATCTGACGAGAAAAAATTTATATCAAAACCTCTTTTCAGCAGCTTGGACAAATATTCACAGTAATGCTTCCTTAGACAATTCACTTGCCCTATATTGCCTCTCCATGTATATGACATCAATAAATTAGAATTTACACATTTGCTGAAGGGTAAAAAATGATTTCCCGTCAGTTTTGCTTTACTTATTTTTTCCCTTGTCCAATTTTAAAAAAAGGCATAAAACAAGGGAAAACAAAAAAAGACATAATTATCCTTCTAAGAGTAGTTTGACCAGTGGAAGGTAGCATGTTGCTTCCAGTTGCTTGATGCTGCATAAATTAGCTAAACTTAATGAAGGCTAGCCTCTCCGAGGGGTGTGGACTAATTGCTGGAACAGGAAACACGGAGATTAGACTGTTAGCAGTTCCCGGTCATGTTACATCAAAAAGCCAAAGATGGAGCTTAAGAGACTGTGGCAGCATATAAGTTTGGAGGGATGAATACCATGGGGGGTGGATAGCGTATTATAGGCCAAACCCACACCCTTTTGCAGACTAAACTGCTTGAAAACCTTTAATTGTTATCCTGCAGAGCAGCACATGAGCACATATAAAAGTACCCCTCTGCAATGAAGGGAAGGGGGAAGCTACACACCTAATATGGCCAGAACCACTAGTACACAAATGGCCCTCATCTTCAGGGGAAAACGCCACTTTATAAACATCCTGTGAGAAGGCTTTGGACCGCAGGATGACCTGCTCATTCTTCCAGTCCCACACTGTTAGCATGTAATCTGGTGCACTACCAACAGACGCAAGCTTGTCACCCTTTGGTGAAAAGTCAAGATGAGCATAAGCTTCTTCAGTCCCATCACGAAGGATGCGGTGAAGCTTAAGTGATGGATACTCAAATATGTTGACGTTTGGTTTTATGCCTTTTTCTGCCACTGCAAAATATTTGCTGCTTGGATGAACCTGTCAAAAATTCCAGAAAAATGCTCAATATGCATATGGGAGACAAATGCACTGCCAAATGATTATGCCACAGAAAACTTCAAAACATTAAAATAACAGCTTATAAGTTGTTACAACTTCTGCAGCTGTCTTAATGACCCATTGCTAGGTACTTTTTGTAGTAACTTTCCTTGCAATTTGGTTAAGACACAAGTCACAAAACAATTAATTGCATAGTATAACAATATCTCAAATTGTAGACGTTACATTTAAGAATTATTAATGTTTGCTTTGTTTTTCATTGTGTTTTTGTTTATCTTTAAAATTTTTTCAGGTATTCCTTTATACCCTATGCTTCAGGGGAAACTATCACAAATACCTGTACTGGTAATGTGCTGCCAAGAAATTTCCTCAAATGGGGTATAGTTTTTCGAGCGAGAGAAAAGGTTCAAATATCTCACAACAGTACAACACAATATTGAAAGCAGTTGAGTTTGAGAAAAATTGCCTTGTATAACAGGTCCTTGAACCAGTAATAACGGTTAAGAGTTAAAAATTAAGCCCTTACAGCAACAGCTCCAATCCCTCCACCACCTGTTGTGCGAATGTGAGTTTGTTCCTGAGTCTTGAGATTGAGAATTTCTACTGTGTTTCCAGCCGAGAACAAAACACAATTCTCATCCAAGACATGAAGGTTTGACCTCTTTGTACACTCATAACCAAAAGAGTGGCTAGTGGAGGGGAAAGAGTCAAGGTGCACACACTAACTCAATGATCCTTATTAACTGTAAAAGAGCTTAGATGGGTTGAGCTAGAAAACCAGTATTAAAAATTCCTTCTCAAAAATTAAGGTGACAGTCTATTAAACAAAATTTTCAAAGCATAACTGTATGAAAGAGAGCTTTACTTACGGTTGTTTTATGACTTTGAAATGGTAAGAAAAAATTCATACAAAATAACATATTAGCAGGTAACAGGAATGGATAGTAATAGGGGGAAAAGTCACATAAAGGATACTGAAATGACAATAGCTGTAAAGGGATGCCTTCTGTTGAAAATGCTGTTGAAACCAAACCATCAAAATCATAATAGAAATCATCTGGAAGAATTCTTTCTGCCTCTTCTTCCTCTCCTCCTTCACCTAATAAAGGGTGAATTACATATGTTACAGTTGTATTTCCACAGACACCCCGATATAAATACACAACATTAATCAATGGACATTAACTCTCCGTACTAGCATTTTCTCTTTACAAACATTTTGAGACCCCAACCCTGCCCCACCCACCCCGCCCATCAAAAAGCAGACATGGAGACCCTTACATCATCGCAGAGGATTAAAGAACCTTTCTTGAGGGAGTCTTAGAAGAGATTAAACACATTAATGTTATCATAACATAAGCAGTGGCAGATCCAGACCTTCAGATAAGGGGGGGAACAGTCATCCAGACCCTGAGATAAGGGGGGGGGGAACCTGGTTTCCCAAAAATATTTTTTCAGCCCTTTGGGCTGGGCTTCTCCTGTGGATCCACCCCTGATAAGAGTAAGCTTGAGTGTATGCACCTGATTACTAGAGTCAACACAACATTATTTTGATGTGACACCAAACAGGGAGCAAGCCTGTGCCACAGAGGAAACTTAAAGTCTAGACATCTGTGATCAAGCATCAAAACCCTAGTTCTGGGCCCCCTCCTATGTATTAGGACTTGAGGATGTGCCATGATTGGCCTCGTAAAAAGCCATTGTCGAATTTCCAATCAAGTTAAAGAGAAATTCGAAACACACTTCTGGTAATTCGTTGAGTCCTCTGGGGGGGCAAGAACAAGGATCTCAGCACTGCTTGGCAGACATTACTAACAAGGATTAGATATGTCTGCAACCTAGGCTAACAGGAAGCAAAAGTGTGGAAATGGTGAGGGTACTGACCTTCGACTAACTAAGCCCCCTTGAATTGCCCTTGAATTTCTTATAAATGTTGGTGGCCATCCACAGAAATCCAGTAGACAATTCTACTTTGACTGGACATTAATATGGTGCACAGTCGGTTGTCAATTAATGTGACCACCAAAAAAATTATTTTATGTTAATTACTTGCAGGGCTGTGCTCTAGCAGAGCCTGGTGGCCCCTGGTGCCTAACTTTTGTTCTTGGGTGACTAGAAAATCTTACTATCTTCATACAGATCGTATGTTGGGCACCCTAAATTTTACTGTTTCAGAGCTCTGGGGTCCCTTCAATTTTCCTTAGAGCACAGCCTTGACTTGGCTGTTTCCACCAAATTACTCTTGATATTTTTATACTTTATCTTAACTGAGTACCATAAATTCCTTACCTGGTGCACTTTGTGTTGGTTTTGTTTGGTTTGGTTCCTCCACAGCTTTCTCTGTTTCCTCAGCTGTGTTATCTTCTTCATCCTCAACCTCCTCTTCCTGTCCTGTACTCTCCTTCTTTACTTTCTTCTTCGTCTTTTTCTTTTCACCACCTTCTTCTTTCTTTCCCTCAGTTTTATCTGCCTCAGTGTCACTCTTTCCCCCTTCTGTCCTTTGTTTAACAGACGCGTCATCTTTGTGGTCATCTTTTTTACCACCTCCATCAGCTGCTTCTGTCTCTGCTTTTTCTTTATTATTTTCAGCATCCCTGGCTTCATCAGATCCCTGTGCCTCGACAGACTGCGAGGTCTTTTGGTCTGTAGCAGCCGCATCAGCACTAGATCCATCTTTCCCACCAGATGTAGCTGTCCCTTCTTTTCCATCAGGAATATTCTCATCTTTTGGACTATCTTCTCCCTGCAAAGATTGTGAGACATTTTTGCCTCACTAGATTCTGGATCACCTTGGCCAGCTTGTTCAGAACTACTTGACTTTTCTTTACCAATCTCAGTACTCTCAGGTTGTTTGCCTTCTACAGCATCTTCACCAGCTTCCATGCCTCCAGGATCCTGTTTTTTATCAGAGAGAGAATCAGATCCCTGTTTAGAATCAGCAACAGTAGCTGTAGAGTCTGACCCTTCATTCATAGGGGGTGACACTTCATCACTTATTTTATCATCATCTCCTTCTCTCTGCTCTGACGCAAATTTATTCTCGTCACTTAACACTTGTGCAAATGTGTCGCCAGGAGATTTATCATTTACATTTAAATTTGACATATCACCAAGGGGTTCCTTCCCTTCTTCAACTGAATTAGCAGCTGTTGTTTGAGATCCACCCTCAATTATATTACTTGAAGAAGATGCCTGCTCACTTATCGAGTCATTTTCTTTAATTGCCTCCTTATTTGTGTCTGATTGAGAAAGACTGACTTCACTTTTAAATGGTTTGTCACCCACTGAAGTACCATCTTTCCCTACGTTTGTTTCTCCAGCAACTCCTCCAGAGGATACATCTTGTTTGACAACTCCCACTTCGCCGCCTGCAGCCTCTCTCTTACTTCCTGACTGAGGTCTAGACCTGGTACGCGCACCAGATCCCGGTCTACTACCTGTATGAACTTCATGACTTGGGCCCTTAGACCCAGATCGTGATCCTGGTCTAGACCTGCTGCGATCGCTTGAACCAGGTCTACTGCTTAGTTTCTGATCAGTTCCCTCCCCTTTACCGGCCCCCTTGGAGCCTGAACCCGGTCTTGCCCCACTTGATCCAGGTCTAGACCCAATCGATGTTCCCTCTTGCCCCTGTGAGCTTGAAGGCCTTGAATCCTTCCTAACTGCATCAGTGACATTCTCCTTTGAGTGTCCGTCTTGCATTACAGAGGCATTTTGGTCCTCTATACTTTGATTCTTGATCTCGCCGCTTGGGTCGCCACCTTTGTTCGCATTCATATCATCAGAATTTTGTACGCTTGTGGGGACGGGCACGTTTTCAGTTGAAGAATCCCCAGCAATGTCTTCAGTTTTCGCTGAATTCAACTCCTCATCAAAACCTCCTCTTTCCCTAGTTTCGTCGACATTTGAATCACCACCGTTTTGATCAGAAACGGCTAAATTAGTTTCCTTGCTCGCAATATCAGGTATTTCAGGGCCATTTCCTTGCTTATCGCTCATATCAATCCCCTCTTGTGCATTCTCGTCGTTTTGATCCTGGTGGTGGGCTTCTTCATTTTTCGCGCCCTCGTTCTCGTAATCAGCATCCTCAAGCTGCAATCGCCGTAGAGCTTCAGCTTTTAGTTTATGAGTGGCATCCTTTAACGAAGTAACTTTTGAACTGTCACCTCTCTCTTCGTCTTGTGAACCTTGGTTGGAATCGCTGCCTTCGGCTTTGTCCGACATTTTGAAATCGACTGCACTAACTTCATCACCATGGTAACAAGTTTATTTAGATTTTCACAAAGATATGACTTCCTTACAACTCTGTAAGTGAGTTTACTTTGCTTGAAACACTTTCCCTAAGACTTTTTATTTCGTATACTTTAAACTACGTGGTGTTAGCTGTAAAGTTGCTTAAATCTAAGTATCTTAACTTGCTTTGTGTGGCGCGGATCGCATTCAAAAAAGAAAGAAAAATGTCACCGCGGAAAAAAAGTTTCTCCTGAGGCGTTGAATACAACCCGAAACACGGCATGAATGGTGAATTTTTTGTGTTGACAGTACTTTTCGATACAACGTAAACATAAAATTTAAGCATATCTCACACTCTTACCTATACCTGAAAATCTGTACAAAGAACAGCAAGGGTTTCAAAAATTGTATGTAAAACAAGCGTTAATATATTCCACCAGATAATCCGATTTGGAGGAGCCCATGGGCTCCTAGATTTGATATGGCAGAAATGAACTAATAACAATACAACACAATTAAGCTTCTTTGCGGCTCACTTACTCACGGGTTTACAAAGATGGCCGGCCAACTGTTTTGTAACCTCTCACCTTTTAATTTTCCACACGATCAGACAATGAGTCTTTTCTCTCCACGGTTCTCGACTCGGTAGTAAATTGTAGAATATATAGTAGTTGTTTTTTCTTTTAGGTAGCGAAACTAAATAAGACAGCTCTGATTTAAGTCCAGAGCAAAAGTATCTAAACAAAGTATGATTTTCACCGACTACCGCAGAGACGTCGGCAGTTTTTTTTTTTATCTACACACAGGATGCAGCTGCTATTTAAAACTGCACGCGCGTGACAATTGAGCATTTATGTCGTAATAAGAAGATACTTTACTCGTGAAGACAGTACGACTCTTATTATTATTTAAACAAACAAAACTTTGAAAAATCTTTCTTCTGCTAGTTCTCAATTCAAAGGGATGCTTTTGTAAACATTTTCTCTTCTTGATTTAAGTCTTTAGGCCAGTTTGTGACAAAAAAATGAAACATTAAGGCAGATTAACTTGCAGTTTCTCTCAACCATCAATGAAGTCACGCAAAATTACTCCTTTTCAACAAAACCCTCTTTGTTCAGTTTCTCAAGGGGACTTTGGTTACAATCCTAGCCCGATAGTAAGGCTAATTATGAAACTGAATGACATAAGGAAATCAAATTCAGTACCTTTTGAAATTAAAATGTATTATCATAAATTACTAGGAAATCAAGATACCTCAGTACATGGGATTTTTTTTAATTCGTGGTTTTAGGAAGGTGAGGCATTTGTTCCACCTTCAGTGTTACTTTTCTCTTTTTATTTTATTCGTGTGTTTATTGATGTTTATAGTTTGATAAAACCTCAAGGGTTCAATCTTTTTCAGTCTTCGTGTTTTTCCACAGGCTGGTTTTTTTCGTGTCCGACTGTTCCTTGATATTTGATCTCATCACCGGCTGCGGGAAAGTGGAGGCAAAATGTTCCACTTTCAGTGGCTGATCTCTCAATCTTTTTCAGTCTTAAGTTCCGACTCCGATCTCATCACCGGCTCCGGAAAAGTACTGGGAATAGTAACACCCAGGGTAACACCCTGGTAACACCAATTTCTACCAAGAAATATTGCATAGTCAGAGCGATGAAGCAATAATGGGAAGGTGCTGTTGTTGTTATTTTTGTTGTGGTTGTTTTTATTGTTATTGCTGTTTGAAAGATACTTTTTATTTTTCTTTCGATTTCAATAGGCTTTACTGAGATCCTCTTTACCCTGGACGAAATTTTAACTGCACTAACTAAGCCGAATTCTTTACGAAAGAATCTGAAAAACTACTTTAATAGAAAATGGCCGTTTTTATACTAGAGGACGATTTATCTAAGGTCGTTTTTAATAGTAAGGACGCATTATCCGTCTGGACGAACTTGGGCAAACACTTGTAGTTCGTCTGGCTATGCGTCTCAAGTATAAAGACGGGCACAAGACGCATTATGAACGACGCACTTCGAAAGGTATTTCGTCTGGACGCATAGCCGGTACCCGTCTTTTTACTAGAGACGCATAACCAGACGAACTGCAAAATGTTTGCCCAAGTTCGTCCAGACGGATAATGCGCGGGGAAAATGAGAGAGAAACCTTTTCCCTCAAAATTCTCTCATCGTTTTTTGTCCCTCGTCAATTTTTTAGCCCATGCTCTGGACGCCTGGAGTGAGGCTGGAGTAAATTGAGCGTTCAAAATACCTCGAGTACCGTATTTATTCGATTAACTGCCCTGGGCGCTTATTCGAGGTGGGCGCTTATTCGAGGCTGGGTGCTAATTAAATTTTCAGCCAGTGAAGTATGTTGATTTTGCAACAAAACAATAAATGCTAATAACAAAACGCGAAGGAGTAACGAAGCAAGGTTTCTGTAAAATACTCTGAAGAAAACTCCGTCCTCAGGGAAGTCTCTTAGAATTTATTCACTCAAGTGGGTGGGGTGGGGGAGAACGCTTATTTGAGTTTGATAGAGAGGAGGAGGGGGTGAGCGCTTAATCGAGGCTGGGCGCTTATCAACTTTTTCTGCCTTTAGGATTTGCGCTTATTCGAGGTGGGCGCTAATTCGAGGTTGGGTGCTTATTCGAATAAATACGGTACCGCATCCTTTATAGAACTCACAGGCTGCCCAAACGCTGTGGGAGTTCGCTGGACTTTGAATTTATAAGAGAATGTAAAAAAATAAACAAAATACGTCCTAAATTCCACTTTTTGACAAAAATAGAAATAAAACTGAATTATCTTGTGTTTGTGTTTTGTTATTTACTGTCTCTTTGCCTCTAGGGCCATTCGGAGGCCATTTTATCGACGTTTAAGATCTTTGAGATGTACTAATAGTAGGAAACATTTTTCTTACTGTTAGTACAACTCAAAATCTTAACAAAAAATCAAAACAGAAACACAAGATAAGTCATCTTTATTTCTACTTTTGTAGGATCTATTTTGTTTATTTTCTTACATTCTCTTATAGATTCAAAGTCCAACGAAATCCCACAGAGTTTGAGCCGCCTGGGGGGCACTTTAAGTAGAATACTGAAATTATTCGACAAAAAGTCACCGTTTTGTCAGTACTGAAACTCAGATACGTAGGTTATATTAGCAGTCGCTGTAACTGGGCAGCGTGTTCGCAGGTTATTGATGAGAAGCAGGACTGAGATTGTAATGAATATCAAAACAGACTAAATTTCGGTGGCTTACTGTCTACATGGAATAGTTTTAATTTTGCATAACACAGAAAAATTAACGCATAGTTACTTGGCTAGCCTAGTCATGCATATAAAATCCCGTCTAAAAATATAAACCCAAGAATATCGGTAGCGTATATGAGTTCAGTGCATGAAAACGAGGGAAAATACGAGTCCCCGACTCACCGTTCCTATGACTGACTGTATAGATTGTGCAAGGGCAAAAAATACAAAAATTAATTAGATTATTAACATCAAACGTCCTATATCGCGGAGCCTCGTTCAATTTATTTTCCAATGGATCAGTGAGACTGATTCAAGAAAACATTTCTCCTGGCGGGAGAGACGTACGATGAGAGTTTTGACGCTCGAAGACTATTGCCCGAGTCGCCTATTTTGTCACTTTTTTTTTCCTTTCAAGCGACTCTCCTGCCTGGCGACTTGTTGGCTGTCCTTGACTCTTCAGTTAGAAGAATACAAGATTTCTTGTTTCAGGACAAGCTGAATATCATGGATGAATATTTCATTCAGTATATGACTATCTTACAACTTATGACTCAATCAATACCATACCGTGTCTCCATTAAATCGTCAATGTTTCCTGAAGAGTTATGTTGCACGAATATATTCGTGCTTTGATAACTGTAGACAAATATTCACCCGAATTAAGTGTATGTGAGTGTTCTTTAGTGGTAAAAGAATGTTTTAGTGATATGACGTTTAGTAGAAAAATATTAGTGAATTTTAGGGTTGCAGTCGACGTCAACGAGCAAAGTACATTTTGAAACATGTTGGCACTTCTAACTCGTCTGACTCGATCTAATTGCAAATTAAATGGTGACCTTCAGATTTGACTACAGGTATACGAAATCGAGTAAGCGACGACTTTGAAGTTTGGAGCTTCACGTATATCCCCTCAACTATAACTTTGTAAAACTATTTCTTGTAGCTGTCCAACACATGAAGAAATGGTCAAGGATAAGAGTGCCGGTGTGATGGGTAATTTTAATTTAAGAGGCACGTGAATTTGGTTCCTTGAACACTTGTATTCCACCCGGCAATCTCGTACTCGAAGTCCAATCTAAAAACCGCTTATGAGCATTGTCGTATGGTGTTGGCGCATGAACGAAATCAAAATAGTATTCTTCCCGAAAATGAAAAGCCAAACTGGAGAGGCATCATTCCGCGAGCCTTCCTCTTTTGACTGACTCATTTTTCTGTCATTTAATTCTTTTGTTCACGTTTTTGATAAAAGTCCGTATTCATCAGCCCATAAATTCCAGTTTATCACGTGTAAAGCATAATGAAGAAATGAAATACAACAATACTAGGCCTCGTCAGACATTTGTCACCGTAAGCCTGTCACGGGCCAACATTTTCAAAGTGCGATATTTGTACAATAAAAGACAGTACCCTCCCCACCCACAAAATATCCGTTGCGGGGCTTTATAAACAGATCACGTGGTTTGACCGGTGGTTTCGCGTGGTGCGGCAAGGCTTGCAAGATGGCGTACGCTAAACAGGGAACAGAAGGAAAGACTAGACTTGAACGTATGCAGGACACTCTCCGCGATTTTGGCAAGTTTCTCTACAGTCGAAATGAAGACAATGAGGTCACAATTATGGGCCGGAATGGCGCGAGCTGGGGTAAGTCTTGTTAGATCCTCGAAGGTTAATAGTTCTTGTACAGTTGAAATAACTTAACTAACTAGATATTGATGAATGTTAGTCGTTTGTGGAGCCTTTCCTTTAAGGAAAAATGATGTAAACTTAAGCCTTTACGTTAAAAATATTTATCATAACTTTTTCTATTGAATTTCAGCAAAGCTCGCCGTTTTCTTCTTGATATTTTACGGCTGTTTGGCTGGGTTTTTTGCGGCCATGTTGTCGGTATTCATGACCACGGTTCCAGAGAAGGCGGATGGGCCAAAGTTTACTAAATTCATAGCAGGAAAACAAGGTATCCCTATCTTTTTCTACTTGTTTTATAGTTATTTTAACTCTGTATTTAGTGGAATTCTTATTTCCTCTTGGAAGCTCAAATCAGGAAAACTAATCAAGCTTACCGTAAATGAGTAAGCCGGCCGCCTGCATGCACAACCACCAAATCCGGTTGTACTCTTATTTGCAATGCAAGCGATTCTCAAATTGAGTCGTATCTGGTGTGTTATGTGCTAATATTTCTATTCTGGATTGGAGATTACGGCGAAATCCTTATTTTCCTGGACTACACTCCTCTTTTCAGCGAGTAAAACCTCGAAGATTTGATTTCACTTGTGTAGTCCCATTGGGAACGAGCACTGATCTGTGGCCAGCTGAAACGGTCGATATTTCCTCTGATGAAATAGATTTACTTGGTGTTTTAATAGATCTTTATACCTGACACGATTAAAGCAGTCGCTAAATATTTTTTTGTTTGCTTAATACTTGTTTTCGGTCAATTTATTCGTGTGAAGATTGGAACAGACGAGGGGTGGGTCTGCTAAGCTTGATGCCCGGTAAGAATGGAAATTGACAAGGCGTTTGTTACATAATCCAGCGCCTTATCGGATTGTTTGCTACACATCGAGTTACTTCTGCAGTTTTGAAAAGCGTTCCCGCTTTTGTGAACGTGGAGAATGTTCTCAGTTTGCATAGGTTATACGCAATACTGTCCCCATTAAGAGATATATGACGCGGCAAGTTTGTTACGGGCTTCGATGTTGTTTGAAGTGTGTGGTTTTAGTAATATTGATTATGCGCATGATTTGTTATTGTGGCGTCATCTGTTGAAAACTAAATTGTCATTCCAATATATAAAACTGTCATGGTATTTGATTTATAACCTACTCTATTCCAGTATATTTCTACATAAAACTAAAACTTCTATCAGTATTCAAACTGTATTAAAACGCTCACTTGAATTTTCTTATTTCTGCTTATGGTACACTGTAGCTTTGCCATAACTAGCAAAGGAGAGCTAGTTGAAGGAACCATTGAACTGGAAAGGCTTGCAAAGAAACTGGGATTTCTATTGGGCTGTGCACAATATTTCGTTAGAGGCTCATAAACTTTGACAGAATATCCTACCACAAATGTTGCTTTTACTTTATTGTAGGAAATTAATGCTAGTGTTAATTAAGGTTTTGAAATTAAAGCGAATTAAAGGGAAAAATACTTCCCAATGAAAGAAATTAATGCAAAAGGTGGGGTAAAATTTAAAAAGAAAGAAAATCAATGCACCGTACAAAAAGAAACAAAAGTTGTTTAAACAACAGGAACAAATTTATTTAAACTTGACCGAAATCCAGGAAGCAGATGTTGAGAGTTATTCTCCCTACGGTGACCATGAAGATGAAATGTTGTGACAGTAATCAATTTGTGAAATATTGATCTGAAATAAAGTGCGCAAAACTAAAGCTATTCAGTTTCCTAGGCATCAAGAATGTCTGGATTATGTCAAGAATTTGGGGCCAAAATGATAGAAACTAAGGTCACAGAAATTAACGTTGCACTTAATTAATGGTGCAGAAATTAATGTTAACAAAAATTAACATAAAATTTGTAAATTCGCATTCATTTCATAAAGCGTTAATTTCCTATAATAAGGTTGTCCAAAGATAGTAAAAAAATGACCTTTGAACATTGCACTGCACTTGAGCTCCACCCCTCCATCCCACTGCTTTGCTTGAGTTGACCGTACCACCATCACCCCCAGGTATCTCTAACTTTTCATTCCTTTAAAACCACTGTATCATTTCATTTGAAATTTTTCATATTGCCCATGTTACTAACAACATAATTATGATTGATGTATCATGTAGTCAGCCTTGTCTTCTTAAGTTTCTCTATATGTCAGTTCATCGATACTAAGTTAGTTTTGTCTTCTTATGTTTCTCCTTCATTTATTTGCACAATGCTAGTCTTGTGTCTTTTGTGTTTATCTTTACATTAGTTAATTTGTAGAGTGTCAGGATTTTCCTGTTTCTTGCATCATCAGTTTCTCAGTTGTAACGTGAGATCAGGCGCAACAGTAGTAGCTTCCATAAGTTGTCTTTTACATGGTTGAGCTAAAATTTTCATGCCTTGATAGAATATCTTTCTTGCTTCTCCGTATTGGCATGATCTTCTGAAAAATAGTACAGTCTTTTGCCCGTTTTAGTCTCTTATTTCTTTGTAGGTTTTTGCTTAACCCTTTAAGCCCTAAGAGTGATCAGCATCAAATTTCTCTTTGTAATATCAATGCTTTGGAAAACAGAGTGGTCATGAGAATTACAGATCTGATCACACGATGAATTTGCTTGATATATTATCAACTTCTCACCACTACTTCTGTAGGAAGTGAATAGGGACAACAAATGAGAATTCAAATTTTGATCTTAGGGTTTAAAGGGTTAATCCAGCTTGTTTGTACATGCATGTTCAGGGGTTTCAATAAAAATTGAAGTAGCCAGCAGATTTGAATAGAGTAACCGACTGTATCAACAGTCCACGTTTTCAAGGGGTGTCTGGGGCATGCTCCCTCAGAAAATTTTAACATTGCAAAACCCTAATAAGCGATTTCCAGCATTTAGGGGACTAAACTGAGTGGAAAAGAGCAAGTTTTCCATTCAAGAAGATTTGGGTTTTAGTCAAATTTTGATTTATTAGCCACATGATTAACTCCTGCAAGCAATGAACGAATGATCATGATACTAAGTTACATACATTTCAGCGTCAACAAATTCTATTGTTCTCCTCAACATTATTCAAACTAGCAGCTTCTTCTTCGGAGAAAAAAATAGCCGACTTCTCTGAGCAATGTAGCCGACGCATTTCGTCGGTCGTCTGTGCTTACTGAAACCCCTGCATGTTGTTAGCCTAATATTGCCTTATCTATGCTTTTCTTAAACTAAAAAATCAGTTTGTTCGAGTGGTGTTTGAGTTGCTGGACAACACAGGGCACTACTTCATTTTACTGCCGTGAAACACACTACTATTATGATTAGAAGTACAGGTCAAGGAGCTGTCTGTTTTACACGACTCGCCAGTTGGCGAACAGATCTTAAAATGAAGGCTCATGGATTGTATTCTTTCCCCACTCGCATCTTGCCTTCAGCTAGACATATTCTTAGCCACACCCTATCTGTACTAATCAACAAGTCGGTTGAACATGGAATATATCCCACTAAATTAAAGCTTGCTAAAGTAATCCCAATCCACAAAGCCAATGACGAATCTGACCCATCCAACTACAGACCCATATCACTACTTTCAGTCTTCAACCGAATCTTTGAAAAAATGATGTACATTCGCTTGAAATCATTTCTTGAAAAGTTCAGTATTCTCTATGATTCACAGTATGGATTTCGTGAAAAGCGGTCCACTGAACATGCTATCTTGGAAATCACCAATCAGATTCAAACTAATATGGATAGAAAGCTGTACACCTGCAGAATATTTATTGATTTACAAAAAGCTTTTGACACAGTCGACCACTCAATACTTTTAAAGAAACTTGAACATTATGGTATATGCGGGATTGTGAATGACTGGTTTACTTCCTACCTTACTAGTCGCAAGCAAATAACTGAATTTGGCCCCTCAAATATATCTAAGAAAGCGACAGTATTATCTGGGGTTCCCCAAGGATCAGTCCTAGGGCCTCTGCTCTTTCTTGTTTATATAAATGATATTCGTAATAGTTGTAACCGAATGAAGTTTTACCTATTCGCAGACTATACGAATCTTTTATATCCAGATAAAAACCTAAAATCCCTGGAATCTACGGTAAACGATGAGTTCTGTAAGCTTTTCGACTGGCTAATAGCGAACAAATTATCTCTAAACATTAAAAAATCTAATTATGTTATTTTTCGACCAAGACAAAAAAATGTCAAATACGAAGTTAATTTTAAAATATTCAACCATCATACCAACTCTTACACATCTTTGGAAAGTAAAAGTTATGTTCAATATCTAGGCGTGCTTATTGATGAGAACCTCTCTTGGAAACATCATATTTTACATATAGCCTCTAAAATAAGCACATCGATTGGCATTATTGCTAGGCTAAGACATTTCGTACCACTTAATGCTTTACAACATATATACAGATCGCTGATTCAACCCTATTTGTTAAATGGCATAACGGCGTGGGGCCGAGCAGACAAAATCCACAGAAACAAAATCCTATGTCTTCAGAAACGTGCCCTTCGCCTCATGTTTTTTGGTGATTATAAAGCTCACGCAGTACCCTTCTTCATTTCATCCAGTCTACTACCTCTAGATCTTCTTTACTTCAAGTCAGTTGCTGTCTTAATGTATGACGTCTCAAATAACACATCGCTACCTCAAATAAGTAATTTATTGAATTACCAACATAATATTCATTCACATAACACAAGATCATCAACAAGAGGCAACTTCTTTCTCGAATACCCTAGATTAGACAAGCTAAACATGTCTTTTTCAAGAAACGGTGTTAGAGTCTGGAATAACCTATCTAATGAAATTCGTCAAATGCCTAAAGTGAAATTTAAACGCAACATTCACAATATGCTCCTTCAGAAACTCTCGGAGGCGAATGAGTATATTGATCTATTGGATTTGAATATGTCTTGAAAACTAAACTCAGTTCATTCTATTAGCTTTCTATCTACATTATCCTTCCAGCTTCCCATGTAATCTGCCTTATTTCTCCTGAGAATCTTCCTTTTTTTTTCCCAAATGTTATTAATACTAGTCAGTATTCAGTATTCACCTTATTTTAATGTATTGTGCGATAATAATTAATTTTACTTAGTATTGTAATTGTAATTATTCACTTTGTATTTAGTATTCAGCTTATTTTAATGTATTGTACGATAATAATTAATTCTACTTAGTATTTAATTGTATTGTTATTGTAATTATTCTACTTAGTGTCAAGCCACTGCTCGCCTCGAATAGCTATAGCTAACTGCGAGCAGTGGTACATCATATTTTGTATTTTCTCAATTTTTCTTAATAAACTTGAAACTTAAACTTGAAGTCGGCAGGGATCACTTTTTAGTCGTATTGGTGGCATGTGCAAGTCAGGCTTGTTAATGCTCTGATTTCTCTACAGGTCTTATTCCCACACCACTTGAAGTGAAGTCTGGACAAAAAGATGATCATGTGGAGGCCATAAATAAGTTCTTGGAACGTAAGTTTCTGTACATGTGTGTTTGACTGTATTTTAGAGGTGCCTTTGAATCACTGAGTTTTTCATTTTGTATTTGATTGGAATCAAGATAATTGTTAGTACATTGCAATATATATGAATGGGTTGTATTGAAGTGTGTTGTAGCAGAGCTCTCGTGCATGCTTGCACAGCGGAGCACCATGGGTAAGAAATGTGGTTATCTATGCATCCAAGAAATTTGGGTTCTGAGAAAATCATCCATGCATACATCCACCCCTTCATGTAACCCAGGGGGGCGGGGAATTTTGCATTTCAAGCACCCGCACATTTTGGCGGTAAATTACATGGCCACCCTGACCTTTAGAGAGAACAAAACAGCCGAGTCTTTCTTTCAACTAAATTTTAATGTCTATGATGTGGTTCAATTTTATCCTTGGTTTAAATTTTCTTTTCTTTTGTTCATGGGCATGGTAATGTATGGTGATGAGTTTGAAACAAAAGAAAATAAATTTAAACCAAGGATAAAATTGATCCACAACATCTACATTGATGTCATGTGGCTAACAGAAAAAGACCTACAACGAGAGATAAAAAACAAAGGAGACCAATTTTGTTCAAGGAAAAACATGAAAATTTGAATTGGGCAGTGAGAAAATGAAAAAAATGCTAGTAGCCACCAAGGTGAAAATGAGCAGCAGTGGAAATATAGGTGAACAGGAACACATACAACAATTCCTCCATAATACATGTAAATAGGAAGTTTCTCAAAGTTTTACGTTGTAGTCATGCAAAACAACGGCAAGCAAATGTACAAAAAAGTGTGGTGCACATGAAAAGTTTTTTTTTTTTTCACAAATTAGAACTTTTTTTGTTGCTGTTCTTGTTGCCATAACCATTTAGCATTACATGATTATATATTTTGCTATATTATTATATATTATATTAACGAGAGCTTTGCTTTTTGCCATGGCTAAATCTATGTCTTACACTGTCAATAAAGTTGTGGTGCAGACACCACCACTAGTAATTAATTAAATTATTGAAAAATAAGAGGTGGTTGCTAACTCTTTACAACAACTTTCCTAATTATTTATTTGTTAGCATACAAGTCTGCCATGAATAATTCTGACAGCTACAATCAAAACTGTACAGAGGAGACTCGTTCTAAGCGTTCCAAACCATGTGCCATGGATCTGACCACTCTTGGAGAGTGCTACAGCAATGATAAAGACTTTCAATATGGCTATGATGAAGAAAAACCATGCATCTTTTTTAAAATGAATAGGGTGAGTTTATCTTTAAATTTGATTCAGGGCTTCTGAAAAAGTGCCTGTACCAGAAGACTACTGGCTCTTAAACCTGACTGATCTCCGCTCCGTACATTTTCTTAGTTAAGAAAATTTGATAAAAGATCAAAGCATTTCCCGATTAGTTAAGAGAATTTTAATAAAAGATTAAAGCATTTCCCCTTTCTTGATCATTTACTAATTCTTGTAACTTTTTCTCCTAATGATGTATTGATGTTGTTAGGAGTAAACTCAGGTTGTCACCCTAGGGACTTATAAAGTTAAAAACAATATATGTATAATGTATATGTCAACTTGAACCTCTGTGTGCTATCACCTATTGTAAGCAACCTCTTATCCATCACCACCACTACCATCATCATCATCATCAACTGGGCATGCTGGTTGCTCAGATTGCTAGGACTAGTGCATTTTGTCCATCTCAATCATCTTAAGTAGTCATCTGCCGATGTATCTTGCACCAAAGTACTTATAGAGGACACTGTTTTTATGTCTCGTACTACAGAGGGGACTGCCATTTTTCATGATCATCCAAACAGGCAGGGGTCTAGCTGTTTTACAGGGGAAGGCAGTAGTCATTTTATTTTTCGGTTATTTTTACAAAGACCCTGAGGATCGGGGATCAAATCTGTGACTTAACACTCTGCAGTCAAGGGCTTTTCTTACCGAGTAGTGCTGCTCTGGCAAAAAAATGGTTTAGACAAATATTTACCATAAATAATCTAATAAATGCCCACCCTCAAATAAATGCCTCATGTGATATACACCACCCACCCACCCCCCTCCCCTGTGCTGTTAATTTTTTATTAAACCCCCCTCTAATTAATGCCCCCCCCCCCATGAAAATTGCTCCAAAATACTAGGAAATTGCAAAATAGAGTAAAATCAATCAATGTATTAGTTTTGATTAACATCAGTTTGTGTATCATGTCATGTTCGATTTCAAGTTCAGAGTAAGGATAGCGCTCTTTGATCGTCTTGATCTTGGTGCTAAACATGTCAGCAATTTTTTCCTGCCTGTTTGAGCTTGCTAGCATCCAGGAATGACACTTCGCATTTTTGTTTTCTGCAAACTTGGACAGTAAGGAAATTCAATTCAGGCACAGCTAGAAAACCAGCAAGGATTCTGGACAGCTCAATAGGGATGTTTCCTGCTAAAACCAAATTGTCTTGCTTGGGAGATTGTTTGTACACACTAGCAGCATTAGGATCATATTCGTTCGCCTCTTCTTAGTTGCCTTTCTTGCAGATTAAAACGTCTATGTCCCCTTGTAAACATGATGCCCGCGTATTGCTGCCTTGATCTTCATTTCATGGGACATGAAAAAACTAAAATTGTAATCCGTTTTGGCCATAATGTTCTGCAAGCTCTCGTTGAACTGTTGGCTGTTCTTGAAACACAATCATGAAACGCATGCGCACAGTCCACAACTTTCTGCACATAGGATGAAAACATGACCTGTAACATGACTTTATAAAAGCTTGAAGTCAGTCCTTCACTTCGCAATGTCTACTTCACATGGTTCAGCTATATCGAACAAAGAGAGAAAAAACGAAGGTTTACCATGTACCTTAAATGTGAGGCAATAGCATACACAAAAGGGAATCCAACCTAGCAGGAGAGTTAAGCACATCAGAGAGTGGCATAAAAACAAAGGGTCAATCAAAGAATTGAAAGATGACTATTGCCCTAAAAGAGCCAGATTGCCCTATTGATCAATTGTTATCGTACATCCTTCAAGTATGCAAACTTTCGAAACAACATGAAAATCAGCCTCCATGTATCACAGCTATGGATGAAATGCTTGTGTGGGACGATATGGTCTCTAACACTACCATCAATAGAGTAGGGGTGACATCCATCAGCCTAAAGATGACCAGATATGAAAAAGTCATGGTTAAAGTGTGTTTATCTGCCAGAGCTGATGGGACTTAACTAAAACCATTTTATGTGTTTTGTGCTGCCAAGCAAGAGACAAGAAACTGAAAGAAGATTGCAGGCATAAATGCGTTGTAACCATATCATCCAATGCCTGGACGAATGAAGAATTAACTCTACAGTAGGTGAAAAGCGTTCTTGGAACATTTTCCTTTAACAGGCACTTACTGGCGTGGGATTCTTATTAGTGTCATATGATGAAGAGTGTCAAAGAAGCACTTAACCAAATTAATGTTCCAAGTTATAGCTCCCAGTGGTTGTACTAAATAGTTACAAGCACCAGACATAAGTTGGAACAAACTGTTCAAGGATGGCTAGTGGTGTACAAGAATACAGCTATTTCGAGAAAGGTTGTCGGAAAAAGTGCACGTGCCAATCCTGAAAGGTATTGTGGGTGGTTTTGAGTTCACTGTTCTTCAAAGAAATTTGAAAGAATGGCACGAGAGGCCATTAAAGTATGTATGCGAGTTTTGAAGTAAAGCAACAAAAGTAGGTTCGACAGCTACAGTGTCAGGAACAGTGTATTGATCATGTCCCATATTACCTTTTGGGATTGTCTCGTGCACATTTTTTTCCAACAACCTTTCTCGGAATAGCTGTATACAGAAGCTAGAAACATACAACTGCCATCGAGAAAGATGATTGTGGAATGGGTGTTGACAGCCTGGTCATGGCTCTCTACAGATGTGATTGCTAAATCGTTCATGTCCTGTGCATTGAATCTCGCAGTTGATGGCTTTGAAGATCCAGAGATTCATTGCCTCAAGAAAAGTCAACCGTGTGAAGTAGGAGCAGAGCATTTAGAGGCGCAACTCTCCATTATGAATGAACCAAATCTCCCAAACCCTTTCCAAGTCATAACCGACTCAGACATCGAAGAAGTTAACCATGAAAACAAAATTACTCTGGATGAGGACTCTGATATTGACGTTGAGAGCTAAAAGATGTGTTTTTTCCTGTCAAACACCACTCCCATCCCCTCTCCAAATTGTCAAACAACTCTTTGAGAGCTGAGGGACTTCAGTGTTTGAATAAAATATGAAAGCAACTTGCTCTCATTAAGGCACCCTCTTGATTGTAGCAGAAGAAAAATTAAATTAGAAACCTTGGAGTGCAAAAGCCATCAGCCTGCAGTTGAGATTCTGTTAACACAAAAACATGTTTGGCCGAAAGCATACTGTATACAGTTTTGCTGAGTTTGTTAAAATAAGTTACAAGAATAAACGCCTCTCAAATAAACACCTCCTATCTATTGAACGCCCCCTTTTGGACCCCTAAAATTTTATAAATGCCCCAGGCGTTTATTAGATCATTAATTTACATTATTCAAAATACCTAATTCATTCAGTTAAACCAGGTAGCCACATCAGTGCTTACAGCCTTCTCTCCTTTCCCCTAACCACTAGAGATGTTTCGCAGGAAGAGATGTGTGCGATTTGGCCCCTAAAATTCTATACTGATTAGTTGAATCAATGTTTATTTTGTAGTTTATTTTTTATCGCTGGTAATTTTTATTTTTCTTTTGTTTCAACTTCATTAGCATACATTACCATACCCAAAAACAAAAGAGAAATTTAAAATTACGCGAGATGAAAAATTAATTACATGTACAACATTTACATTATGATTGATCTGATACTCATGGCCGGGGTTCCACATTTAAATTTGTCTGACTTTGTGTTTCTCCTGATCTATTATTTTCAAGTTTTGAGTTCTTCTGCAAACAAGTGGCAACAAAACTCAAATGCTTCTTGTAATTTATATTCCACAAATTATGACTGTTTTTTTAGTAGATCCATGGCATTTACATTTGATCTTTGTGACCTTTTGTCTGTCAATCTTAAACAATAGCTCAAAACAAAAAAACAGAATAACTACCCCAACCAATTGGCACTCCTTGACCAGTTTCCAGACAAATCTACATCATCAGTATTGAATTACCAAGGTCTCTCCCGCAAATTGTCCTGCAGTAATGAGCAAGGAGAGATTGCTGTATTTGCAGGCTGCACAACACCGGCATTGTGATTTTTCAGCGTTTTTAACCACCTGAAGTGACATGCAGTCTGATCTCCCACCCAGTTGCAAGTTGGACACTGATAGTGCACAACCCTGTTTAGACAACATGTTTTTTTTGTATTATTCATCCTTTTCTTGTTTTTTGTTATTGTGAGAATGGTTCTTCTTGAGACAGTCACACAAGTGACTTGAATGTTTTTTTTTTCTGATTCATCTGTGTCACTTTCTCGTATATTCACTAAACTGGGAAATTCGTCAATGCGTTGTGTTGTTTCCTGAGATAAAATACTTATTAAAAAATTTTCTTCTCTCTAGGTGTATGGCTGGGTCCCTGAACCTGAGGAGGGGTTGGATTATGTTAAACTGGCATGCAAATTTGAAGATGAAAGCCAAAAAGTAAGAATAAATACAATTGCATAGCCATCTATATCACTGTTGTAGGAAATAAATTCTGTACAGTCAATGGGGATTTGTACATGTCATTTCTTGCTCCAACAAGTCATCCATTTAACACTTTAAAACATGCAAAATACTATTCTTAACATTGTTCACCATAGTACATTTGTTATGGCACTCGTGCAGAGAACTTGTTTAAACAATGAGATACCTTTGTGTCTGTTTTTCTTTTGTGCCTTTTGGGGTGCACAAAAAGGTACAAGAGAAAAAACAGAAAAGGCTGCAAGATTGCATTTGGTAGCTTAACCATGTACGGTAAATTTGGCAGTTTATCTAACTTTGAATGTTTTTTGTTGCTTGACTTTCTCTTATCATGATTCCTGGCAAACTAAAACCTTATAGAAAATCAACCTACAATGCATTGCAAACCCTTTCAAGTACCTCATGTACATGTATATATCCACGAAATATATGCCCTGAAATGACTAGTGCCCAGGACCTTGCAGGGCTACCAAGTAGGCCTTGTAGTTGTTATTGTGACCTTTTGTCAAAACTGTTGTAATTCACCACTTACACATCTCCATCTATGCACCTTATTTGCCCCCCAAAATTTTGCATAAGCATTGTTTTCAATTTTTCTTGGAACAGCTGTAATACCCAGGAGAAAAGGAAAACAAAGGCTATGCAAAATTTTGGGAAGCGAATAAGGTGCATTATGGGAGATGTGCAAGTGGTGAATATAACTAAAAATGCGGTTGTTTTTGGAAGGAAAATAGTCTGAAAGGAGCCTAAAGGTTTCTAAAAAATCGTGGTTATGAAGAGAAAACATGCATTTCTAGAAACTCTTAGTGCATTGCTCAGTATTGTGCAGAATTGTCCAGTCCAGCACCCTTGTACCCTGTCTGAAGCACTGATGATATTATTTTATTCATTTTAATATTTTGTACCAGTGAATTTTACCTTCAACAACCAAAATGCGCATGTTACTTGTCCGATGGACATAAAAAAATAGTTGTCTCCGACAAAGAAATTTGTTACAAGAATACACATACCTTCAATTTTAATATCCTCCATGATTCCAAGTTTTAGTAATTTTGGTTAGTAAAACATAGAACTATTTGTTAACATTTCTGGCCTTGGTTGTTCAAGCATTGGATAGCACTATCCACACTGGATAAATCACTATCCAGTTGTTCTTGTTGGAAATCTCAGGAGTCATAGATACATTTTTGGCTTTTATTTAACCCGGCTTGTTGTATTGGGTTGTATTATAATGCAAATAATTGTATTTTGTCTTCAACAGGGCTTGCTTCCCTTCCCATCAGACAAGCCTGGCTTTCTCGCCAATTTCTACCCATTTTTTGCTGAGGATGATTGGCTTGGCCCAATTGCTGCTCTTAAAATTAACACCACAGCTAAAGGAGTTCTTCTCTGTGAGGCCCGCGCTCAGAATATCAAGAAATCTGATACCTACCGACTCAACCGAGGTGCAACTGGAAGAGTTCGCATCGAGCTTGACTTGTAAAACCGCTTTGAATTATTGTAATGTTATTCACTGATTCCTTGCTAACAGTCTGCTGGTATAGTGATCACAAGTATTTTACCATTTGCACGTTTCATGCTGCAGGGACTGGTGATTTTGTGACATATTTTAAGGCTTCTCTTTTTTGTCTGTTTGTTCCTCAACAAATTAGAAGGGAGAAGATCAGGGAAGAAATCAAACGCTTTTTTGGTGGATCTTCGTAATACAAGTAGTACATGAGAAATCTCAAGAAATAGGTTGAAAAGTTTCTTATGTTTGAAAACAATACATTTTGAGACTTTTTGCCATATTGAAGATTGTTCTGTGGCAAATTTCTTCAAACTGTACTTGCACTTTAAGCTTGCTTTTTTTACACTATTACACTTTATTTGAAGGAGGTTTTTTCATTGGACTAACAAGACTAATATCAACTGTATGATTTAGTATTAGCAGTATTTAGGTTGCACACCATCATAACATAATTGTGGGTATTCACTCTTTCGTGTTAATTTTAAAGGAGTTCTGTCTTCATACCTCAGAAAACAGACAGATGTTTTGTGCATTCACACTTCCCACGTAAAGTGTGTGTGCTTGCAGCTTTCAGAACATTTCAATCGTGATTGTGCAAAAGGCAATAGAGACCTTTATTAGATTCCAAGACGAGTACGACTACGAGTCGAGTACGAGATTTTCTCCATTCCTAGTAGTGCTCGCGCGTGAACCAGCGTCATTTTGGCGGGAAAACGTGGTAGCCGTCGTCAGTCCACTACGAGTTATATCGCAAGTGTCGTAGTGGCGGGAACAAGTTATCAAATGTTAGAAGTTTTGGCATTTTGCAATCGGGAGAGGGCTCAACCTCCTTCAATAAAGTGCAAAAAAAGTGCAATAAAGAATTCCAGGGTGTCTATTTTTCGAAAAAAACTTTAAATCAAATCTCGTACTCGTAGTCGTTCGCGTCGTCGAATCTAAAGCTCTCTAATAGTCTACTTAATGATCAGGCGCCAATTGTTCAAAAGGTGGATACTGCAGTTGATTTTCCCACTTCTCCACTGGATAGCAATTTATCCAGTGAGTAGTGTTATCCATCTTTTGAAAAACAGGGGCCAATACGTTTTAATTACAGGCATTTGCTAGTCAGAAGCTTGGTGATGATTTTGGCGAACTTGTTATTTTTTATGTTTGACTTTCAATTGAAAGGTCAGTTGTTCAAATACAGTGAAGACAATGTTGCCATGAAATTCTCTGGTCAATACGGTGCATTTATTATCGTCTGCATTGTATTTATCTTTCTTTGTGAATCATAAACGTTTTTCTTTTTGACTTTTTCAAAGTAGATATTTCGTGCTCAAGGTTTTACATAATTATCTAAATTTAGGATTTCACGTTGGGTCATCCCCGTATTTAGCATCTTTTATAACTCTTGATATTCTATTCATGATTTTTGTAACGGTACTTCAATAGTTATTTATAATTACCCTCTAAGTATTGCAAGCTGTAAGGAAACTAAGCCTTTGCATCACAGCTATTGCTAAATAGATTCTTGCTTGTCCGTAGTCTGGGCACAAGGAGTAATTGTTTGCCTTTACATGTCGTGCAAGACAACGCAACAAATTTTATGCCCTTTGCAATATTTCTTCTCTTTTAACAACATTAGCACTAACTGAAAATCAATTATTATTGCCCTTAGGTTTCTCTGGGGTAAGTGGGGTGATAAGTCTCTAACTCGCTTGTATTATTTAACTATCGCTTAAAGCCACATATTTGTATGGCAACTTGCCGTCAAACTCAGAAAACCGTGAACACCTGAACATTTTCAGGAAAGTTGATTGTGTAGTGACCAACGACCAACACAGTAAAGTTCAGGACATGCCAGCAAACCTCAAAACCACAAACCAATTACTGTTGCTTTTTCGGCTTAGTTGTCTCCCTTTAATTGGCTTTTTCCGTGAGAAACAATAGTATTCCATAAATATTTCTGGTGTTCACGGTTTTGTGAGTTTCACAGTAATTTTTAAACCATGACTATGAGCTCGGAGTCAGTACAGGAGAAGAGTACAAGTCAAGAGTTAGGTTACATACTTTTCTCTTCCACTTGTTCTTTCCAGTAATACCCAAGGACAAGTTTTAGATCCCTTTCTGTCAAGGGCTAAACTTTGTCATTCTCATGTTTAGGATTAGTCTGTAGAGTCGGAAAATATTATCGAAACTGATTGAAAATTGGAAAGTATTTTTCGAAATTCACAACCTGGTTTAAGATCTTGGTTCTTTATTTAATGTGGTTATCCAAGAGACAATTCGTTGATTATTGAGGTAGGACGGAAACGGGGGAAATAAGCGAGTAATTTGTTCCGTGTGTCCACTAAGGTAGTTGAGAATGTCTTGAAAAGGTTGTTCTTTTTGTTCCTTGGACAAAAAGTTTAACTCTAGTTGTTACTCGCTCAACAGTCCCCCCCCCCTGCCTTTTCTTTGCCCGCCAACCTTAATTGTGACAGGTCTCTTAAACTAAAGTCGTTTTACTGGATGTAATCATTTGTTGTTGTATGTGTGTTATCATGGCCTTGATGGCATATTATGAATGATCTCATTAAACTTTGTTTTCAACTTAGTTAAAGCAAGTTCTTTCCTTTCCGTCTTTAAATTTCTGTCTAACCCTTAGCTACTCCCAAGTCGAGAGCTTGCTCACAGGCTGTTTTTCCAGGCCCTTATTTTACAAAACCTGCCAGGTTCGCCATGGACTTACACCAACGAAAGGAAAGGTACGAACAACGTAGTATTAATTATTATAAGGGACAGGGACAAGAGGAATGAAGTGAGCGAACGAAAAATAACCTTATTCCACTTTTCAGGTGAAGATGGCTTTAGGCTTTTCAGTTCCAGGGATCGTAGGAAAAAAAACTTTTTCATCTATGAATTACCGAGCCTCTAACCGCTGTTTTACGCCTTTCACCCCTAACTCCAACATTCAACGGAAATTTCAAATTCCACGTGAAAAGATTACTCCGGATGATGATGGTTGTGATGTTTTTTATGGTGATAGCTTTAGAGTTTGTCGTGGACATGATGATCTCGTAGCCTGAATTTCATCCGATTACTTCGAGTCGTTATTACTCCTTCAGTTGCTGAGAGGAGAAAACGAATTGGGAATGGCGATTAAAATGTTGACCGTGATGGAGATGATGTATCGATAGCGATGATGGTATTGGTGACGGCTATGGAGACAGCGTTGGTGATAGCAAAGAACCTTGTTATGGCGATGGAGAGGGCGGTAATGGAGGTGGTGATGGTAATGGCGAGGCGATTATAATGATAGCAGGAGAGACAGATTCTGATTGCTCTGGTGGTGATAAAGAGTACGGTGATGACAACGATGGTAGGAGCGATGATGGTGATGACAGTAGAGATAGAGATGACGGTAACGGAGTGGGCGATGATGGCGATGTGCTGGAGAGGGCGATAATGGAAATGGTGATGGCACTTGTGGCGGATGTGAAGGAAAGGACGATGATGCAGATACTGATGGAAATGATGGTGAGGCCGATGATGGTGAAGGCAGTGAAGACAAAGATGGCGATGAATGACGGTGACTGTGATGACGGTGGTGGCGACGATGTTGATGGAGAGGGTGATGATGATGGAGATAGTGGTGAGGGCGATGATGGTAATGGCAGTGGAGATTAAGATGGCAATGATGGTGACTGAAAAGGCGGTGGGTAATGACAGTTTATAGTGGCGATGGTCGTGGAAAGGGCAATGATGTGATGGTGATAGCCCTTGTCGCAGAGGTTGTGGAGATGGGCTTTGATGCAGATAGTGATGGTAAGGGCAATGCCAGTGTAGGTAAAGATGGCTATGACGGTAACGGTGATAGTGGTTGTGGTGGCGAAGGTGATGGAGAGAACGATGATGGAGATGGTTATGGCGGAGCTAATGGAAAGACCAGATGACTGGTGATGGCAATGGAGATAGTGAAGGCAATGGCGGTGTTTAGAGAGGTCGGTGGTGACAATAGAGATGGTGATGTAAAGGCAGGCAATTGTGGTAAAGGTGATGCTGGAAATGGCGATGTTGACTTAGGAGATGGTGATGAAAAGGATGATGATGACCTTAATGAAAATAGAAAAGGAGGTGGCGAGAATGATAGTGATGGAGAGGTCAATGATGGTATTCAAGATGGTGATCAAGTGGCCGGCGATTGCAGTGAAAGCGATGATGGTGAATGAGATGGTGATGGAAACAACGATGATGACCGCAATAGAGATAGATATGGCCATGACGAGAATGGCAGTGGAGATGGTGATGGCCATAACGATTTTGATGGCAATGGAGATGGTGATGGTGAAGGACGTGAAGGTGATGATGAAGTTGGTGATGATGGCAATCGAGTTGACGATGGGTGTAGTGAAGGTGACAGCGATGGAGCCGAAACCAATTGTGGAATTGCACACATTTTAGGCATCCTACTGATGAACAGTTGTGACTTTTAGAGTCGAGCAACAACAATTTACCCTCTGTCCAATTTGAATTTTGGCGCACTTAGCAATAATGGAAAAGATGATGGCGATGGAAATGGAGATGGTGATAGCACTGGAAGTTGTAAAGAGAACCCCACTAGTAATCAGAACTGTCCAATCAAATCGGAGTTTTTTCCTTAGTATGCGTGCAAGGCCCTGATGGGGTTTTAACGAAAACTCTTGAAATAAGCCCAATTCGTTTTCAAAATCGGTCGGGGTAGTCTGAGATGTTATCCGTTTCTTCGCCCTATCCTCCAACGGGCGTCAAGGCAAGAGAGACTCTCCAGAGGATTTATAAGAAGAGAAGCTTAATATTCAAAGTTTTCTGTGTTCATAATAGACTCCAAACCAATCGGATCTTTTTTCACTCACGCTACTGCCGTCACAGGTAGCCCAAGCTCAAAATATGAGCATCGGCGAGCATCGGCATTGTTGCGTAACATTCAAAATATAAGGATTTGTATGGGAAAAAAACCTATCGTTTCTCTAACC